ATGTACCGCTACTTCGATTTCGATTGGGATTCGAGTTTTGATTTGATGGCGAGGCCGCGTCCGTCTGAAAACAGTTCTTCGAACCTGAGTGCACCGCCATTGTGTTTGCTTGCGACGTGGCTACCGCCGCAGCTGCCACCGCTGCTGCTGCAGTGGTCGATACCGGTACTGATCCCGGACCATCCATGCTGGGTGAATTGGCTGGTAATCCCAAAGCAGCACCAGTGGTTCGTGGAGAAGGCAGGGATAGGTTGTTTGGACTCGATGGATTTGGAGATTGAGTGGCAATCGGAACGGAAGCCGACCGCTGAGTAGAATGATATGGCGGCGGAGGTCCTTGGAGAGAGTTTCGCACCTGATTGCTGCCGGCAGACTGCTGATGTGGTTGTGCCACTGGCGGTCCTGAAGGTCCTGCCCCTGGTCTGGCTTTTCCTCCTTTCAAGCGCTCTTCGAAAAATTGCTGTTGAATTTTTGACCACTCCATTTGGGCCATTCCCGCTTGAGGCGCCTGAGATAACCCATCCTGCAGTTGATTTGGCATTCCTTTAGACATATCTGGCCCGTTTCCTATGATGCCTATGCCACAGTTCGGGTTTCCAAACTGGTTTCCCAGCAAATCTGATGAATTTGCAATCAAATTGCCGTTTGGGGCTCCAGAGTTTGGGCATTGCATGTTAACGTTTATTGATCCTGCTCCAGTCACAGGTGTCGCTCCCGGTGCTGGCCCGCACTGCAGGCTATTTTTTTGACCACTATTGCACATTGCAGTTCCCATTTCGGACATTGCATCTCCAGCCAGCAGTACATCTTCTGACAGTCCTGAGCCCGTTATATGTTCAGGCTTCATATTTCCTGGCAAGTGCATATGACGCATTTGCGGATTTACAATAGGGGACCCGGCTCCTGCACTGCCTCCACCAGGAATGCTCATCATCATGTCGGTTGGCAACTTCGACAACTGATTTCCCATTATTTGATTTGCTCCACTGCCATTATCGTTCTCTGGAAAGAGAAATTGATTCATTTTCTTGATCTTGGCAAGCTGCTCTTCCCGATGCTGGCGCTGCTGAGGAGTAAGGTTCTCGTCTGGCACTTTAACCCCTTGAAGCGAAATAATGTTGTTCTCGTGGCTGAGGTTCAAGTCGTTAGACTTTCCCTGACCCAAGTCAACGCCCGCAGCTTCCAAGAGTTTTATTGCTTGTGACTCATTGGGTCCGTTGCAGCTTTCGATGTTATTTCGAGCGTTGGATCCAGAGCCGCTTCCGGTTCCTCCCGCAACCGCTCCCACTCCGGTCTCCCAGCACATTAGATCGTTCTCATTAAGGTTATCTGGCTGATCAGCAAAAGTACTGCCAGGAGCATTCATAGAATTACGTTTACTGTTATCAGCTTGATTGAACTGCGGTTGCGACTTTTGAAGACTGCCCGACGACTTTGATTGTGGCGTCGACTGCTGGGATAACTTTGATACAAGATTGGGACCCGTTGCAGTGATTCCGGGTACAATACCCATCCAAGGCATTCCTAATGAGCTCTGCCGTTGCAATTTGTTCATTTTCATCGGATTTTTCATAAAAAAGTCCTCCAGAAAACTTTTTGTCGCTGGCTGAGTGCAGTGGTAAGCAATGATAGTTTGGAATTGACCACTTAAAACCGATTCAGCTCCTTTGTTTGCAAGCTGAGTGGAAAATACAAATATGTGATTCTGCTGTTGCATGTAATCCAAGCAATTTCCCACTCCCACGCCGATAGAGGTACCTCCATTGCCTGTCATTAAATTTCCCATTCCAACTCCAACGCCACATCCTGGTCCTCCTGAAGTGGCATTGGCATGTGGAGCACTTATGTTTAAAGCCACTCCGCTGGAGCCGGGCGTAGTGTTGGAAGTTTCGTTCATTAAATCGGAGCTTAGTTGATTGCAGCCAACACCTCCCATGCCTCCCAATTCGTCAGTGCTCAACGCCGAGGTCGTTTTTTCGGAGCTGCTGCTTCCGACATTGAGTTCCATTTTAACTAAATTGGATAAGGAAAATATTTTGTATCAATAGGTATAAAAATCTAAATAGGTAATTCTAAAGATAACCTCCCAGATCGGCCGCTCCTATATATGACATAATGGCCAGCTATAATTTAGGCTTAATTAAATAACTGTGTTAAAAAAGTAGATATTTTCGGATCGTTCTTATTTAATCTTGCTTTTTGTCAGACTTATGTATCTTCCTATTTTCCGGACCATTTATAAATACTGCCTGAGGTACCCGAGAAGGGTTTTCAGACAGAAAGTGCGGACAGATAGACTCACATCGTCGAGCAAGAGAGGAAATCAACTTTCTGCTCCCGTATTACCCACGAAATAAAGTCTACGAGGTCCAGATAGTAGGTTAACGGTTTATGAGTCCAGTCGGTAAGTTGGCGATACAAGCACAGAAACTTATTTTCGGAGCGGGTTTTCTATGGCATCATGCATGTCTTTTGAACGTACCAGTCGCTACTGCACTCTCCTGTGCATTCCCAGATGGGCCTCCAATTGAACCAAAACCGACAGGTGACATGTTTGGTGAGTGGTTCTCTTCTTTCTTCACATTCACCAAGCTAGTTAAAACGTCGGCGGGTTCCTCTTTGATCGCAACGGAAGCAGCGGATAACGATCCCGATCCTGAGCCAGCTCCAGAACCTAAGCACTTAGCTTTATTGGAAGCTTTTTCTGTTGGAACCGTAATTAAAAATAGTTGAAAAATAAAAAGATAAATAAATTTACCCGCATCTTCATCCTTGACAATTGTCTTTTTCTTCTTCGAATGCTCATCCTGCTGCTGGACAAGATCGCTATCACCCATTTGTGCAAGGGCAGCTACCGCAGATACATTACTGCTATTGGAGTGTTCACTGGTATTGTTTGGAGAGGCCACCAGACACGAGTTGATGCTGCTCGAGGAGTTCTGCCTCAGCATTGGTGTGCTGACAGCGCCAACTGCAGAAGACGATTGTTGTCCATCGGCGTTAGCCGTTCCAGAGTTACCGTTACCCCCTCCACTCCCATTTCCACTTGTGCCGATGCCATCTTTCCCACTCTTTGGTACTCCATTATTCTCGCTCGCATCGTCTGACATTGCTTTTGTTTGATCTGCAACGATTAGCAATTATATAAAGAATCAAGAAAAACGTGTGCTGGACCCTTACCGGGCGATAGAGTAGCAAATGGTTCACTTTTGGGAGAGTTGCCACTGGCGCATCCAATCCCGATCCCGATCCCGATCCCAACCGACGATGCACTTGTTGAAGCATCAACGTTTGCTTGTGTCTGTGCTTGAGCAGGGCTAAGTGGCATTGTTGTCGACAGCATTCTACATAAGTCTACATGGAACGAAGACGAAGGCGTTTTTTTCTGGCCAGTGCTAACAATTTGCTTAATTACTTAGTCCATGCTCCAGCTACTAAGATGTACATATAACTTTTGATTTATTGCAATTAAAATTCTAGGCAAACAGAAACGAAACCCAACCGTAGAGAGCAGAGCACATATGTATGTCACTTTACGCACACTGCCGCATTATTGCATTACCATACACTTCAATACACTCCACTCACTTATTTTAGGCAACGACTAATTCCTGACTACTCTAATTGATATTATATTTTTCAATATATCTTTTCGCCACTCAACAATCTATTTATTCATAAATGTATTCATTCTAAGGATCATATCATGCCTACGCATGTACATATGCCCCAAGTTTCACGATTTTCGGTATACAGAGGCATGGACTGGACTAATACTATTACACTTGTACAAAAATTCACCAGAACAGCCAGAGAAAATGTATAATTTTAGGACTCAGCGTATGAATTGAACGGACCATTTACATATGGTAACAGGCATTAATTCTCAGCCCTTTTCGCGCGCTATTGCTTAGTTGGTTATCCGAATTCTTAGTAAAAATATCCAAATGTGCATTATTATTGTTTCTCTTAATATTGCCCACCAGTGTGCCCGCGGCTTTATCGATCAAATATACCCATCTGACCCTCATAAATATACTAAAATATTCCTTTTCATTTTCAAAATATACCGTAAATATACCGATGAAAACGGTATTTTTTAGACAGGTTGGCAGGGTTGTCCAGGGTCGACAAATGGTGTGACCCTTATATTAATTAAGACGGCAAAATATACCGAGGAAATAAAACTAGTATCGGGCTCAAATAATTATTAATTATTTTTGTTGTTGATATTTACTGGTTACTAACCTGATTAAATAGAGCGGGGTTAAGCTATTTTTCTTCTCGGCTTCTGAGGTTTCTGAGGTTCCAGTCACACTCGACAAAACAAATCAAGTGAACTATTTATTTTTCCAAATATATACATTTGAAAATGACCACCAAACTCATTTAGCGCACAAAAAATACTGACATTTTTCGCTCTCAATTCGTGGTGGGTTTTCCAAATTTTCTCTCTTTTCAGAGGTGAAGAGAACGTTTTCGTGGTGACTCGCCCCTCATTTTCGTGGTGTGAGTAACATGCATCTTACGGAAACGCGTAGCAACAATGAATCTCGCGCCCCAAATGCTTACAGAAAATTTTGAACGATTTGATTGGCTGAAAGTTGAAAACAGTTGAATCTTCTTCATCGTTATTGTTATGATTTATGTTATGATTTAAAACATTATCAATTGAAATTTTTTTGATTCTCAGCGGACTTGTGAAGAAGAATATTCGGCACTATTTTCTGGTTTCATGGTCGCGCGAGCATTTTTTTGGACTTTGCCCAGAAAACCACCCCAAATGCTTACAGAAAATTTCGAACGATTTGATTGGCTGAAAGTTGAAAACGCGTTACTTTTGTAACGGATTTTATACCGAAAAGTATTTTTTGGGTACAAAGAGATAATGTTTATTATTGTATATCAAATACATACATGTATAAACTTAAGTAAGTGACAAAAATTGGTTAACCAACAAACAAAAGGACAACATTAACAGCAAATAAAAAAAGTTTAAAAAAAAATTTAAAAAATTTTAAAGTGACAGTGTTGACAACATAAACAATTACAATACGAGTACAAGTTGATTTGGTGAAAATGGCAAAACGGTTTGTTTAAAAAATTTAAATTAATTTTTCCATGTGTCAAATAAGAAAATTTATCCTTTTCAGTTTTAAACTAGATCTCGAGGGATACGAGGTTGATGACATTGTCAGGTTGTTTTCAAACGGCCGCTTGCCGACCCAGGGTGTGTTTGTGTCATCGTCGTCCCAAAACCAGAATGCATCTAATCAAGGTGATCCAGATAAAAATCCAATATTTTATCCAGCATACGACGACGACCCCGAAGCAATTCCAACCCCAACAGCCGCCGCAGTCACTTTTAATAATGGTATGCTACATTCAACATTCGTTTTATTAATATTAATCAATATTTTCTCTCCATTCTAAATCAGAACACCAACTAACAAGACCAATGCCCCCACAAACACCATTTTCCATCGATTTTGTCCAAGAAAACCAATCGTTCCCACCGAATACTATCAGATGCCGCTCCTTACACCTCCGGTTGAGAAGTTTCAGGAAATTCAATCAACGACGACGACAACGATCCCAATCCCAATAGCATCAACGTCTTTCCCCCTCAATACAAGGGAAGAGCGGGCTCAATTTCTTCTCCAATTGCATGATGATCCTAGACAGACGTATGATGCTGTACCGAAGCTTGTAGGGATGCGTTTTCGGAAAATTCTTCCCAAGCCCAACCTTACATCCGGCGATGGCGGCGGCTGCTCCTCCACAGCATTATCAAACAACTGCGAAATCTCTAGAGCCACCACCACCAACTTATCAGAGTCACTGACTCCCTTTCATACACACGCAATTTTGATGGCCACCGTCAGGAGAAGGTCAGAGAGGGGAAAAATATGAAGAGACATTTTCAAATCCCGTCTGGATTTGAAGAGCCAGAGCCAGGGTTTCGCCATGTGCAACAGGGCTCCAATCAGTGCCAGTACTGTGGAAAATGTGAAACAATCAAACAAAAACAAGACCTTCACGAGACAACTTGCAAACATCTCCACAAGCCGTTCGTGTGCCTAAAGTGTGGCTTTTGCACCCCCAAAGAGTAAGCTACGTTCGTCTGGTGCCCATAAACAAGGATGAAGCGTATGGTTTGGTGTACTTTTTCAATTAATTGGCTTGGTATGAACTGAAAATAACGTGAAAAATACGGCGAGTCTGATACAAATTATTATCGTCGAAATTTAAAAATGATTATTATTTAAAATTACGGGTTTTATTTGGAATAAAGATTTATTGTTGCGTCATCCCGTAAGATGCATTTGATTTGTATGGGAAAATTTTCAGCAAGATGGGGAATTGAAGTAACAGCATTGTTTTACATCTTTGGCACGGAATGAGCAACAATCTGCATACCTTGGGCAAATGGGCATTATGGACTTGACATTTTTGTTTTAAATATTAACGAAATTGTACAGCTTATGGGTACCAATAATAGGTATCAGAACCGGGATAAATCTAATAAAACACAAAACGTATGCATTAATAAGTTAAAAACATGTCAATCTAGGATCAAATCATTATTAATGTTTTAAAGCAGCTTGGAACAACAAATTTAACAATTGCACGAGTCTGGCAGCGCCACAAAAACGACGTCACTTTCGTTTTATGTTGTTTTTGTTTGAACCTTAATATGTAAATAATCCAATAAAAAGGACTTCTGAAAACTTGCCAATATTGTAGAAAATGTATTATCTATCGGATAAAATTATTTGTTTAGGGCTGAGAGTCCCAGCTAGCTAGTAATATTAAACGGAATATCTTATTTTATTTTATTTTATTTCCCTGTATTCTGGACGCGTACTCCTGCCTTTCGGAGGAGGGAATATTAAATGTGCCGTTTTCCTCAAACTATCGAAACAAGCTACAAACTAAAGACTACAGAGACTGTATAATATCCATCTTGACCTATGTATAACTAGGAGGGAGCATCGATTCGAAAGTGGAAAAGGGGCAAGTGGGAAGTGGGAGGAGGATAGGGTAGGGTAGGGGAGAGGACCATAAATGATAAATGTAAATATACAGATTGGAGAAGCTTCGTGCTATCTACTCCTTCTTCGCCGTCAGCTTGGCCTGGGCAGCCGCCTCCTTTTTATAGTTGTGCACATAGAACGAGCTGAACATGTAGGTGAAGAGCCCAGCGTTGAATGTCACAAGGGCGGCAATGGACTTGGGGAAGTTGCAATTGGGCTGGAACTGGATCTGCAGCGTGTACACAAAGATGATTAAGAATTGTACCTGCAAAAGATATGTCGAGATTTAGCCAAAACGTTCCACTACTCCCATTTCGTTAAATGGAAATGGCACGTTCTCCTCCACATCAAGACATGCTGGCATACATAGACGGGAGTCAATAAGATCACACTACTCGATACCATTTTTCCGCTTCGAACCAAACTAATTATACCCGTACTCAAAAAAGAGTTAAGGGGTATATTAGATTTGTGGTAAGAGTGGATGTGTTTCCGACCCTATAAAGTATATATCTTCTTGATCATCATCAATAGGCGAGTCGATATAGCCATGCCTGTCTGTCCGTCCGTCCGTCTTGTTGAGCGCCTAAATCTCAGAGACTATAAGAGCTAGGGCAACCAAATTTGGTTTCCAGACTTATGTGATATCACACTGCTACAAATGTATTTCATTATAGCATTATAATTATAGCCAGAATGAAGAAATTCATTTTCAGTTGGTTCCCCCTCCTTCTCCAGCGCTGCTGACGCTACTGATTCTCTTTCTCGCTCGCACACTCTGCCTCGTTCAGTGCGCCAGCAACCCCTAGCGGAGGAGATGTAGAATATAAATGGTACATCTATAATCTACATATTAGATGTAAAATATACATTTTAGATGTAGATGTAGATAACAGATGTAGCAAAAAAAGGAATATGTAAATTTTTTTTTTTAATTCTAAAATTCTACAAAATCATAAGCTCAAAAATGTATATATTGACTGAGTACGGGTATAAGGAGAGTCGCGTCCCAGAAGCGACTCACACGTTTCTTCTCGTTTTTTCTATGGCAGAACTTTTTTTAAAGAATTAAAAAATATTTTGTATGCTTTTTTTCAGAGGTAGATGTATTTTCATATAAATTAGATATCTTACATCGGGTTGTCACGAACTTTGCCGTTCTATAAAGCTGATAAATGTAGATATAAAGCGCTCATCAAGAGGGACAGACGGACGGACGGACAGATGGGCAGACAGACATGGCTATATCGACTCGGCTATTGAAATTGATCAAGAATATACGAAGGCTGTACATTGTATATGTAGATGTAGATAACAGATGAAGCAAAAAAATGTAAAATTTAAAATGTTTTTTTTTATTTAAAGATTCTAAAAAATCATAAGCTCAAAAATGTATATACTGACTGAGTACGGGTATAAGTATAGTCGCGTCCCCAGAAGCGACTCACACGTTCCTTCTCGTTTCACATAAAAAAGTTTACCCTCTTGGATAAAGATATTTAAAATTTAAAATTTATCATTTTTGTGTGGTATTTTTTTTTTAAGTTTTTATATTAATAACTCAGGAAAAGTCGAAAAAAATGATATACCTACTGTGTCTTTTTATTTTTTGTGTATAGGTGCAGTTACTAGGCTTCGTTTAAGGTATTGCTCATACAAATCAATGGATAAACGGCTGAGCTTAAATTGGTTGACCAACCCTCTGAAAATCACAGTTTACCTTTTGGAACGTTGCGTGCCAGCAACGTTTTGGGCCTTTTATAATTTTTACTCAGAAGCTGCAGCGCAAATATTTACAAAAGCTAATACGTTGACAGGAAATTTTGTTTACCTTTCACAGTATTTTTGATTCTTAGAATTGAAACGAGAAGGAACTTGTGAGTCGCTTCTGGGGACGCGACTCTACTTATACCCGTACTCAGTCAGTATATATGTACATTTTTGAACTTATAATTTTTAAGAATTTTAGAAAAAAAAAAAATTTTACATTTTACATTTTTTTGCTACATATGATATCTACATCTACATATACAATGTATATTCTACATCTAACATGTAGATTGTACATGTTCCAGATAGATTCTACATCTCCTCCGCTTGGGGTTGCTCGTGCACTGAACGCGGCAGAGTGTGCGAGCGAGAAGGAAAATGAGTTGCGTTGTTGTTGGCAGGAGGGGGCAGGGGAAGCAACAGAAAATTAATTTCTTCATTCTGGCTATAATTATGATCCGATCAGATCAGATTTGGCAATCTGGTGGATATGGGCATTCTCTACGATACTGCGTTTTAGTTTTATCGTATCTTTGAAATTGTGCCTGCCGAGGAAGAGTTGATGTGAGCTAGAGAGAGAAAATGAGTGAGCGATTTGTTCATTCTGGCTTTAATAATTCGGCAAACTAGGTAATGCTATACGATTCCGCGTAAAATTGTGAATGCCACAGATTGTTGTCCTTTGTGTTAATAGTAACTTAAATGTTGAACACTAAATAAAACATCATCGCGGGTTAGGTTCAGATTTAACACATATGCATATGTACATTCTGCTTGACTTCTGCTTAGCATGTTCTCTATATATTTATTTGATTTTAGTTTAACTGAAAGTGTAACAAAAACATTTGTAATTCATAACGACGTTCTCTAAAAGTGCCAAAGCACATTATGAAATAAGCAATCAAAATGGATTATAAAATTTGAAATTGGTGCAGAAAAAACGAAAAAAAAACTGGATGGCTATAATTTGTTGTTGCTTTTTAAATTGTATACATACATATATATAAGGCATAGATACATACATAGGTACTTACATAGTTACGGTTGGTTGCCTTTAATTTATTATTGCATTTACTTGATTTTTACAGACACTTAATTTATGAATCGGTCTATGTCTATACGTACGAGTAGATGTGGATGCACACTATACGAGTGCTCTTAACCCTTAACCCACCCTTTGCCATTGCAAAAATTTTATTTAAACTAAATTGACTAGCATACATACATATTCATCTTATTGCATTATTGCATCATTGCCCTTCACCTTGCCCTTCCTTTCAATTAGCATACAGATACAAAAAAGTGCTTGTTACAGCTGCAGTTGCAATTGCAGTTGAGTATTATTTAAACTTTATGATTGTATACATAAAGCATATACTATACATACATACATACATATATATGTAGGGTAGTTATGTAATACGAGTTTACTAAATTATTTGGTGTGAGCTTTTTGGTTGTCTATTCTTGAAATAAATAGTAGCATTGCATATGCATCTGCATTCGATTTATTCGTTCGAACAAGCGATCGAATAAGGGCAGGGCATAAATATATGTTTGTAAGTATTTTGCTTATTTACACCTCATTATTTGCTCAGTAACTCAGTAACGTAACTCAACTTAATATGGATTTTTCATTTAGCATTTTGCATTACTTGTTGCGATAAATTATTTGCACCTTTCTAAGTTCTATGTATGTATATAATGTAGTGTGTTGTTTATCTTATAAATTTGACTAGATACAGTTACATTTTTAGACTTTTGTATCGGTAATAATTAAGTTTTGGGAATCCTTGTCCCACTACCTCTACTCTACCTCTGCCTAAGGCCAAATAGGGACCTAAACTTGGCCTCTCAACATACATACATATGTACATGCACTGACACTCGAACAAAACACAACACAAACACACAATACACAATACATGTGTGTATGTGTATGTATGTTACAAAAATACTATTGTAGATAAATTTCTCTTGAAAGGATAATTCATTTGAATTGTGCTATGTGATAAGTGTTACTGGATTTTTCATCTATGTATACTGCTTAATCTTTTTACACCTTTGGGTTTGCACGTTTTTTTACAATGGAAACAACTTTTTGAACGTGAGTTTGAAATCCTTAGCAGACTATCATGACTTTCAGGTCATCCAGGTAATCAGAAATGCCTAAATCATCAATACAGATGTTGGTTTGATGCTGTTGCAGCCCATTACTTGAGCTTGGGGCCCAATTTTCATCCGCGTCCTTAATCTCGGCCAAACTATCTACATAACCCTCTCCATCTCCATCACGATCACCATCACAATCATCGTCTGTTAATAGAGTATCTTCAACCTCCACCTTGCGTGGAATTTTATTGCTTTGGACTCTCACTGTCCTTTGGGAAGCAGATTCAGATTCAGATGCAGATGTAGATGTAGATGCAGAAGAGTAAATCTCTATATCGGAGCGCATGTGTCTGTGGGTACTTGTGTGGTGTGTCCGGGTGCGGGTGCGGGTACGAATTTCAGATAGCTTGGCCTCCACCCCATTCGGCTTGTTCTTGTTGTCTGATTGTTGCCTGCATCGGCTATGCTGTCACAACATATCGCCCTGATCGTCACTGTTATCCCCATGTTCGTCAACTAAGTCAAAGTCGTGACTTTCCAGCTCCAATTCCATATCAGCCTCGTCATCAAAGGCCCCAATGGGCGACATCGCTGTCGTATGGATATTTGCGTAGCTTGCATGTGATAAATTATTGCTTGGATTTTGGTTGTGATCCTGTTGTTGCTGACGGTTCTGCATCGAATGCATTGCATTCTTGGTATCGTCATCGCGCCACTTGTCCATGGATCGACGACGAGCGTTCATAAAGAAATTACCCACGGTGGTGGGCTCCAGGCCCAGCTGCCGAGCAATCGTTACTTGCATCTCCTTTGAAGGCCTCTTGGTTTCCTAAATTTGTTGTTCATTTAATAACTTATTTTTAAGAAGCAATATTGGAATTGGAAGCTCACTTTAAAAATTGCTTGAAGAGTGCGTCGCTGAAGGTCGGTAAAAACCAGACGAGGCTTCTTTGGCTGCGGCATTTGCTCGATCTGCGGTTCCTCCTTGCGACGACAATTGACAATACTGGCAACGGAACCGCTCGAAGAAGAGGCGGACGAAGATCCACTGAGCAAAGCTGCAAAAATCAAAATGACAGAAATGATAGAAATCCACGTGTATGCACATTTGAGTAAAAAACCATAAGTGCACTCACCGTTTGCCGTCATCGTGGGCATGGCTATAGCCGGTGACGGTGACGAGTCTGTAGCCGTTATGGTCGAAGTTGCCGCCCCTGCCCCTGCCCCTGGCCCTGTCGATACCGATACCGATGCCATGGCCACTGAAATCGGTGTACGTTGTGGTATTTGGGCAGCAGCCATCCGCAAAGCGGACATACGTTGGAACTCTGGCTCCTGCAGCCATTTGAACATCCTGCGGAACGTTTCTCGTCCGGACTTTAGCTTTGACCATGGCTTTGGGTTGCGCAACAGATCAGATAGTGTTCCCTGGGAGCGGCAAAGGACGCGCTGTGCGAAGATTGCCTGTGGAATGCTGTATCTCTTCAGTTCAGCCGAGATACGTTGAGCCAGCTCTTTTGTGTTAATCTCTTCCATATCACTTGCACTGCTGGTTCGGCTTCCGCCTCCACTAGTGCCTGGGTTGGATTTTGGGGAATTTGATTTTGACAGCTGCTGCTGTTGCACGTTCTGGTAACCATTCTGATGAGACTGGGCCTGTTGATGGCTTGTGTTGGCCTGTGCGTGAGGGTTGCACTGATCGCCACTAATATCTTGGCTTTTGTGTAGGAAGTGTTGATGTTGATGTCGTTGACTTGGATCGTCGCTCATTCTCATGCCTGCAGCCCCATCATCCGTCCCAGGTGGAGGTGTAGGAGTTAGAGAGACAACAACAGGCATGTCGGCTGTGAGACTTTGTATCGAGCCATTTATGTTAGGCAAGGTGACGACCGATGTGGGCGAGTGTAGGGACATGGAAACAACTGAGCCGGCGGAAACTGAGTGGGGACTGAGTGTTGGACTATGCTGAAGTCCGGCCGTGGAACTTGTCGACGAGGACGTGGCCATTATCAGCTCATGGTCATGGTGATGCCCGCTATAGGATGACTCATAATCACTCACAACCACACTGTCCCCTATAACACCGGTCGGAGAGAGGCATATCACCTGCTTCTGCAGAGTTACGGGTACCAGCTGGAGTCCGTGTCCGTGACCATGACCGTGTCCTTGTCCATGTCCATGTCCATGTCCATGGCTATGTCCGTGGGTAGTCACTGCGTCTCTCTTTTGGCCGTTGACGTTGACTCCTATCTGCAACTGAGGGGAATCCGAATGCGGGGAAAGAGTCACACATCCACCAGTTACTGGGGAAGGCACTGACACTGAGGAACTGTGCGTATGCAGGTCGCACGAGACTACCATGCCCGTGAGCCCGTGGGATGGAGAACCGGAGTAATTGTGTGGGGGCGGAGAAATCATCGAGGGCAACTTATCGTAGGAGGAATACGGCGACTGTACTCCAGATAATCCACTCAGCCCAAGGTGGCCACTGCCCATCGGCATGGGGAGGCTTGAGAATGAGCTGCAATCGTTGTTGCTGCAACCAGAAGAGCTGACATTACCACTACTGACAGTACCGGTCTCTGCACCGCTGCCGGATGAGTTGGTTGTGCCTTCTGCTACTCCTCCCCCTCCTCCCCCTCCTCCCCCTCCTCCACCTCCTCCTCCTGCTCCCCCTCCGGAGATGTGGCCTGAGTAGGCGAACTTTTCGGACATCGTCGATATGGGCGGAAGTGGTTGGATGGGTGTCAGAGTGGCGTACGAGGTTGGACTAAAACCGGGCGGTGATATGCGATCATTGACCGATGTTAACGTTTGATATGAGCTGTGCTCCAATACAGGACTGAGTAATTGACCGCGTCCACCGGAGTCTCGATCGTCGTCGTCGTCTTCTTCCGCATCCCCATCCACATCCTTGTCGTCTTCGTGCGACTGTACAATGACCGATAAAACCTCGCTGTGAACGCTTCCATTGTGTCCTAGTCCCAGCTGGGCTGATCGATGGTGCAGATTTTGATGTACTTGGCCATGAGTTTGATGGTGCGTTAAATGACCGTACTGATGCTGCTGTTCTAGTAGCTGTTGATGTTGGTGATGTTGGTTCAGTGTGACTTCTTCCTCCTCGCAGGCTAAGCCGTCTGACGAAAGCTCATCCATTATTCCAACACCGACGTTCGAAACGTCTCCATCCATATTATGGCGTTTGCTGGCTTGAGGCGCATTCCTAACCTGGCTGAAACCGTGATCTCGACGCACTATAAGAAGCTTGTGCTCCTGCTTGACAGATACCCCTTGGGACAGCACCGAGTTCACTGTCAGTCCGTCCAAGCTAATATCCGAGCCAACAAAGTCCACTGGGCTACTGGCGATCATCCGCTCCTGTCGCTGCTGGTGCTGGTGCTGGGCCTGGTGGTGGCCCTGGTGCTGGTGCTGGTGCTGATGCGGGTGCTGGTGTTGGAGCAACGACAATGGAAGTGGCAAGTTCCTACCCTGTATCTGTAGCTGGTGAGGCACAATCTGATACGCTGTCTGCACACTGCTGTGCCCGATTTCATCAATGACCATCACAACAGAACTGGGCTCCTCCTCGCCAGCGCCGTCCGCCGAGGACATCATTGACTGCATGGTCATGGCAAGGGTCTCATTGCTGACACCATGTAGACTGTGTGACTCGGACTCGGAGTCGGCCTCTTGGTGCTGGTTCTGGTGTCCAACGGTAATGAACTCATTGGCCTCGTCCACCAGTTCCTGGCTAAATGTCTGGGAATCAATGATTTCGTTAATTGATTCCATTCCTTAAAAAGCTTCTCGGGCCACAGTTGTCAATAGCAAATGGTTGGAGATTCCACTTCAGTTATCATCAAAGTTTAACTGCAATAAACGAATAAACGACGTCAAACTGATGAAGAGAATTGCATGCACTGCATGAGTACTGTATTGTATCTAAAGGAAACAGAACCGGAAACGACTTCAGTTGAGCTCTTGGTAAATTATGTAACTGTAAGGCGAGTTCATCTTAGAAGAATAGTTCTGCCTTCCCTAAGGTGGATGCACTTAAGTATGACTAATAAAGATATGCGTTGCAGGTATTACTTAAATTTTCCCTTCTACATAGTACAAACATGTGTACATATGTACATACAAACATACACACTTATGTGTATAGTCGCATGCAGTATGGGTGCATTTACATACGGACGTATGTATATATGTACATATATGGAAACAAATGAACATATTATGTACCTATATGCAAATAAATATTTTTACGCATAGCTTTTAAGTTTACTCTGAGTGTGTGTGCGTTCGGTGTGTGTGATATGCTGGGGGGTCTGGGTCTGTATTTATTTCTTGTATTTTTGTTAGCCATGGGTTCCGTTCCGTTCCGTTTCTTCATTGTTTTTGTCGCTTTTGACGTTGCCATCCATCCATCCATCCCTTAAGGGTTGCTCCGACCTAGCTACACGCTGTACATACATGCTTACGCACACACATACATACATACATTTGTAAATACATACATATGTATGTACATTTACTGGTATAGGGTCGTAGAGGGGGTTGGGGTTGCTTGCACTTTAGAAATAAATTTTATTTTCACCTTTTGATGTGTTTTATCTGTTCAGTTAACCAGTCTCAACTTTTGTTCGCTCTCCCTGATTTTATATTGTTGATAACATTTACCTTAAATGGATGCTGACTCGAAAACTACATCATCACGAGAGCCGCGAGGCGAGCTTCGCCCCACTTTGTGCAACTCGATACATTTTTAAAACGTACACAGGTACACAAATGTTTCCGGATAGTATAGTTCTCTTTTCTGGACTTTTTACACAACAGAAAAGCTGCAATTTAATTCCGATTGCTTTTTGTTAATTTGATAAACTGGGCCTAACTGCGATTCCTGATTTCGAATCGATGGAGAATTATAATTAGAGCATTTCTTATAGCGAAACCTTCAGTTGGAAAATTCTCTACGCATGTAGGTGTACGCGTGTATGCATGAGTGTACATGTACATGCACACACATGTGGGTGTTATTTTGTGAAACTTTGTTATGTGACGACCGCCGCGTTCCATGAAGTTTCGGCTACTGAGCAGCCACAACACGCCACCCCTCGCGATAAGGGTTGCGTTGCCGATGCCGATGCCGTTGCCGTTGCCGTTGCCGTTGCCCGAAGGCGGACACAACATACACACGGATACGGATTTGAATGCTTGAGCATGCGCATTGCATTGCCATTGCCGTTGTCGTCACATCCACATCCACATCCACATCCTGCTCATACCGACCACCTTTTGTACTTCAAAGTGCCAGCTGGCGCTGTATACTTTTTGGAGCGCAGCAGGCAAGACTTACCACATAAGAAAGATCGCTGCTGTGGAACTTGAAAATAATCTGATTTGAATTGAATTGAATTGAATGGAATTGGAGGGGACGGACAGTGGATCGACAAGTGGATCTCCTTTCCGGCGGGGGCAGAAATTAAGAAGGGCAAGCAAACATGTTCCGTTCATAATACTCTTACCACCACCCACTTACCACTTGGTAAGTTCTCATAATATTCAATATTAAAATTTTAGAATATCAAAACACAATATAAATCATTTCTAAATATTTAGACATCCCGTGTTTTCGATAAGAAATGGAATTCGCCTAATAGTAGTAATTTTTCCACTTTTTGCATAAACCAAAACAACAACAAATTGCGAATTCCGGTTGAAAGAAAAAATATCAATATCAATAGTTGGCATTGGTTACAACTGTTGTCTGTCCGTAATTCCTAAATTTTTCGATTAGATTTAATACCTTTTATCAAGATGTTGAATGAGCGACCAAAATGCTGTGCCGAGCCAGAATGTGAAAACAAACGAGAAGAAATGTTGTGAGTCGCTTCTGTGGACGCGACTCTACTCTACCCGTACTAAGTAAGTATATCAATATGTGAGCTTATGAGTTATGTAGAATTAAAAAAAAAATTATATTTAACAGTTTTTTGCTACATCTGTCATCTACATCTTCAATGTATATGAATCGATAAAAATTGTGGCTGCCTGAGAACTAGGCGACAAAAATGAGACGAACAGACAGACATGGCTATATTGACTCGGCTATTGATGCTGACCAAGAACATAAGCACTTTACGGGGTCGGGTCGGAAAAGTTTCCTTCTCTGCGTTGCACAAATCCACTTTTAGCACAAATACATTATACCCCTTAACTCTTCGTGTACGGGTATAAAACACGGAACGGGTGTAAAAAAAAGGAGGGCGTCAAACGACTATTGAAAGGGCATTTGCTCCTCATGCAAAATCTTGGTATTGTATTGGTATTATACATAGTATAAATGGGTTTTTCCCAAATATATGGCATTTTAAACTATAATATTTCAATTTCGAAAAGAAAAACAGATTTTTTGTATCAAGACAATTTGAGAATGGAACACTATCGATATCAAAAAGTTATGAAAACCGGAGCGCACAAATTTAATATTGATTAAATTGCAATTGCGATTGCCTCGAGTGCAGGATTATTCATTTGAGCTGCAAAGGTACTCTAAATCAATTCGCTGGCAAGCCTACACAACCCTACATATCAAATGGCTCGCTGAGACGGTGTCCTAGATGTCTGCCAATTGGTTTGCAACTACGTCGCAAGGTGGGAATATTGAATTATTGAATTATTATTGAATTTTAATTTAAGTATTATATAATTTTGAGAGAATTGCCAATTAATTAAGGATTTGGTCGAACATGCAACATGTCGTTTGCATGTTGCTGAATTTGTGAAATTGAAATTAATCATTAATAATATTAACACTCAGTAACTTTTTTATTTAAATTTTTGAATTTTAAGAATAAATATCGTACATATATGAAGAATATACATACATATATAATTTTAAAACTTGAACAATGCACCTGACTGATTTGTTTATTTGATGGTTTGGTTAAGGTACTCTAAGTAGTTGTTCATTTAGTAATGAATTAAGCTTAAGCCGTACGATCAAATGCCTATCAGTTCCTATTTATTGTGCTTATGAGAAGCATAGATTGGAAAGTGCATTTTCTGTTAACTTTTGTATGCATTTAGAATGCAACTTTCAATGAGCACATACATACATGCATACATACATCCATGTGTATGGATGTATTATTTGGCTATCTACGTCTTTAATCAATCAAATCCCCTCTCTCCAGTGCTAAATTGTATTTTAAATACTCGCACCGCTACGCTGCCGATTCGAAGAGCAATGATGTTCCACCTGTTCTTCGATGTGTAAGGGGGTCAATTATACAGACGATGTGGCATTTCTTTCGCTATCGATGGTCAAACTGGATGCGCGCAAGGAGGCCAATGAGAGATTGCTGTGATACAAAGCCTTCGGAGACAGAAGCGTCGCATTCTGAATACTAACGCCTGGCATCGTTTTGTTGATATTGCAAAATACAGAAGACCCATTGACTGAACGCGATTGCGATGACAGAGCTTCGGATTTCATCGCCAAGAGTCCATCGACAGAAAGCGCATTAGCATTCAGTGTGACCGTAATGGCGCTACCCCCATCAATGCTTTCATTCTCGCCCACCACGGGTACAGAGCCGCCACCGCAAAGGTGCAGGCGAGAGTTTAACAACTTGTTGCAGGCTGGACACGATCTTGCTGGTCCGTTCTTGTCGCGCCGTCGCATTATTTCGTGAGCGCATCTGAAATGAGTGAAAATAACATTGCCAGACACAATTCAATATATATATTTTACTTACCTAGCATGGAGAATGTGTGCACAGGGTAGAGCTTCTAGGTTTCCCGGCTGTAGGCCGAATAGTTCCCCACAAGCACCACAGTTCAAGCCTAGTGCAGCATCTGTCTGATTTGCGAGACGGAAGTGAGTGTTATACTGATCCTCGTCGCCCAACGCACGGTATATTAAAGCCAGTCGACAACGAATCTTGCGCACCAGAAGCTGCAATAATCGTATAGATGTAACATACATATGTACATATGCAACTTTCCGGATCTAATATTGGATCTAATAGTCACCTTGGCACCAATTGAGCTGGCAACCTCCAGTAGACGTGTGTTAAATTCCAAAGGCCTGCAGTTGCAAATCTTGTTCTGAAGACGTAGAGTCTCCAGGCACCGGGCAGCCCCATCCATAGCCTCCATTTGAGCCATGCGATCCCCTAGACTTGCCGATGTGCCCATTGCCTGCTCATATTGTCGGAAAGCCCGCTGATGTAAGAGTTTTCCGTCGGTCAATCAAAAAATAAAAGGAATAAGTTATAATAATAATAATGATAATATAGAGATTTAAATAAGGTTAGGTTCAGGCGGCCGTCGGGATCAAAAGGATCCCGACACACTTAGGCTGGTTTCGGCCCGTAGAGATTTTACATCTACATCTACATTTTATATATGTATGTAAATATGTATACATATGTCATTTAACTATAAATACCATAAATGCTATCGAAATGGAAATTTGTCGATTGTCCGAATAGAAATCTCTTCAAACTAATTCGAAATAAAGAATTACGGATAAATATTTTTTGCTTTAAAAATCGTGCAGGAATATTTGATCTCACATATGTACATATGTATGCACTTACATATGCACATGTGCATGTGCATGTGCATACTTATGCGAGGCTACTTATAGTTTGCGCTAAAGTGCAAAATGAAAAAGTACAAAAGTTTTCTTAGGGCAGAGGGAGGTGACAACTTAGTTGCATTTAGGCCATGCCCAAGCACGTTTTTTGTACAAACATCAATGTCCATTTTTTTCCGGTATATGTCCCCCATAACGCGGATACTTCTAGTGTATGTGGCCTGATCTCCGGATATGAGCGAGAGTTTAGTTGCCTCCTAAAACAATGAAATTTATCAAAACTTGTCGACTAATTTGATAGATATACCGTCAATTACCTTACAGTAGTCCTGCGCATCCCCCAGCTCGCCCTGCTTTCGCAAGGAGGCTGCCATGCGCAGCAATGCGGCTCTATGATGACACGAATTAAGGTCACCCAGTTGTAAGGAGCGAGACAAATCGTAGGCTTTGGATGCGTAGGTGGCACTTTTGTCGTTATCCTGCAGTCGGCCGAAAAGTTCGGAGAGTGCCACGTACACTTGCAGCTCCAGCGAAGGATCGCCAATGGCTGTGGCTATCTTGTGTGCCCCCTGCAGGCCCTCCAATGCTCTGGAGAACCCGCCCATTTCGAGATACACTCGTGCCACTGTCAAGTGGACGAGTCCACTACGGCATTTCGTTCCGCATTCGTTGTAGAGTGAGTGGCGGGCGTAGCTTAAAGCTCGCTCCAGACCACCTAGACTAGCATGTGCCCGACTGAGGTTTAGATACGTCTCTGCCCGCATGTTGGGTGAATCGAGTTCCTCTGATATGCTAAAAAAAAACAAAAGCACCGGTTAACCCTGATCTTGATGAGACTATGAAAGTATTTAGGCCAGACTATTACAGCAGCCAGTCGCCGGGTTATCTGCTCAATCATGTGAAACATGTGGTCAAAGCAATAGTATAGTTGAAGGCTAACCGAATATCGAATGGTATTCGACACCATTCCTTTCTAGATCCTTTCTGTTCCTTTCTAGAGCTAGAGCGCTTAAATATTCATCGCTATATGCGCTTGTACGCTTCAAAGAGGAATGTTACATATCGGTCGAAGAATGGTCTCTCAATTATTAGTAATATTTGGTCGGGCATATGTACAAAGGAGTATATCCTAAATAATACCTATCCTATACACACAAGGGAACACCATTGTACTCACCCAAGCTGTTGATGACCGAACTCAATAGCTTCACGAAACTTTCCCCAATCCATATGTGCCTGATACAAATAACCCAGTAGCTGGAAGCAGTCCTCGCGACGACACGTGCCTTTCAATGCACTACGCCAGGTGCGGACTGCTGCTGTTTGATTATTCTGCTCATAAAGCCGAAGACCTCGTTCAATCTGTGAATATGCACATACATATGAAAGCCGTAAAGGTACGTTAGGGAAATATTCACCTTTCGTTTTGCAATATACTGTCTAAGACTTCGTTGGCAGGCCAAAAAACAGCTGATTACAGAACCAGAACGTAATAGTCCTTGGCCAGTCCAGAGAGAACGCGAACCTGCATCTGGACTTGACCCATAGCCCGCAACTCTCGAATAGCTCTCATCTAATTGGCATAAATCTGCAATCAAATGTTGTCATGTCCTGGTATGTACGTGTACTTGCTTATGTATGTATTTTTAAGGACAAACCATTTGAGTTTTCCAACAAGTATCGCGATCCATCGGGTGACGCTAGAAGGTGAGTCGCGGATAGATTTTGGCTTGGAGGAATGCTAAAATTAAAAGGAATTAGCCTCCATACGTACGAGTATTTGAGCAATATTTGCTGAATTCATATACCTAAGCAGATCCTTGGACGCAATGCTCTCCCATGACATGACAAGCTTTTTAATTATTTCGTACTTGCGATAGACCTTTAAAGAGTACCGTATCCCGATGGTGTAAAATCTTTGGCAAGATATACATATGTAGCTTTATTTAATGGGATTGTGGTACACTATTTACGTCCAGATTCGCGTTTTTTATTTCGGGTGAGTTCCACATGTACATACATACGTATGTACGCACATAGGTATGTTCATACATACCTAAGTACGTCACACTTGACCTAATAGAGCGTTGCACAGTTTCAATCTGAGTGACCTTGCACAAGCTTCCCGTACACTACACACCAGCAATCCTGCATTCGTATACGTTAATACATTCATACGTATGTGTATGCAAGAGTCCTGCATGCCTCTTATATCAACACCAACACTACATACATTTCATGCAAAATGGATTTAATTTTAAAAATTGTTATCATTTGCTTACTAACACGCTTTCCGAACTTGTTGTACATGTACAATTAACTTGTTTGTACTTGCTTTGATTTAATTTTGAGCATACTTATCTGCGTAGACGGCAGGGAAAATCGAGACTGACAAAAGCAGAACTTGGGTGGTGGTTGTTTTTCTCTCTTTGCTACAGGCTCCTTGCTTTGAGGCTGCGCGGTCCATTCATGATGTGAATGGGTCAAGAACTGAACTAGTTTCGCTCAGCTGCACTCTCAAAAAGTGTTTCTCCGAATTACAACTAATGGTGTCCTCTCGTAGTACGTATGTGTAATACCCTTTAGTCAATATAGTAAGTATTTTGTTCTTTTGCTGGCTCCAACAGTGCTACAAAATTATAATATTTTAATGTTTCTTAGGCCTGCTTGAGTAGATATTGTGAGCATCGTTAAAATTTGGAATGTATCCTCAAAATCGTTTTAATAAATTCAAACACTGTTTACACACACATACATATGGGCAGTTCCGCCAAAAGGTCCACCAGGCCAAAAATCATAAAAAGTCAATAAAAACCGATTTCCATATAATTTATTCCGGATATTTTGTTCTAAATTTATTGTAAGGTAACTAATTTACTTTATTGACATATAATTTCATTAACTTTCATCCTAAAACCTTTAAAAATAAGAAAAAATGTTCACATTTTTGCTATTTTCTGGTATTTTTATAGACATGTTTTCTTTTACTATTATCTCCTAGGAAGAAGATGATTCTTGATAAAAGTTTCTCCTTAATGTCTTTCTAACATATTAAACTACCTTAAACCATTATCACAACGCTTGTCCAACCTCGGCTAACAGTATATTTTAAGGCTTTTATAATCGCGGAATTTGGTAACGTCACGCCAGTAATGCTCGCCAGATGCCTCCGCGGATTTTTAACAAAAAAAGAGGAACACTTTTTACATTTAATAAGTTTGAAAATAAACTCTCAATACTTCATTTATTAGCATAAAAAATGTTATACAGATAGCCCTATCCAATTCGCAGAGTTTTGTCATTTTTTGGAGAATATACACTGACGAGCAAAACTGTAACACGATGTCAGTAGTCTCACTTCAACGGTCTGTATCTTCTGTTCTCTTTTATGCATGCTGAAGATCTTAATCTTGTTTTGTTGGTGATTAAGCCTACTATGTTTTCTAAAAATTGCTTGCCATTTGATAGGCGGGGAGAAATATTCCAAGACAAAATGTAAAAAAAGTCAAATGTTACAGTTTTGCACTGCAACTATATTTTAAATGAATATTTTTATTGAAATTTTTTTAGTAATGTGTCCACAACCCTTTTGATTTTTCGAGTTCTTTAATGCGATTTGGCATACTTTGGGTGTATCGTTGCACAAATTCAGGGGGTATAGAGTACCAAACGTCCTTGGTCCTCTCCCACAGCTCCCTCATTCCAGTTGGAGGGATCGCATACTTCGCAGTGCAAAACTGTAACATTTGACTTTTTTTACATTTTGGTTTGGTACATTTCTTCCGGCGTATCAAATGGCTTCAAATTTTCAAAAAAAAACTAGTTAAATGATTCACCAACAAAACAAGACTAAGATCTGTAGCATGCATAAAACAGAAGACAAGCTACAGACCGTTGAAGTGAGAGTACAGAATTAGTGTTACAGTTTTGCTAGTCAGTGTAGGTCTAGTGTAGGCTTCAAATTTTCAAAAAAAAACTAGTTAAATGATTCACCAACAAAACAAGACTAAGATCTGTAGCATGCATAAAACAGAAGACAAGCTACAGACCGTTGAAGTGAGAGTACAGAATTAGTGTTACAGTTTTGCTAGTCAGTGTAGGTCTAACCAAAATATTCTCCGAGGATAATCTTTTTTCCAAATTTCAGCTTTTTGACTATTTTTTTCAACATTTTGTCGTACGAATATAACGTAACGCCAGAGAGGAACTACTCATATGTACATTAATTACACTGTGCGACAGACATTTTGTACTTTGCACGAGGCAAAAACTGTGTTGTAGGCGAGAGGAGTAGATCACTTCCTCATACTTCAAATGTGTAATACTTATATCCCCAAAATCTTTTTTTTAATTTCAAAAGGCGCGATTTGATGACAATTTGTACTTTTCTACTTTTTACTCAGAACCTGCAGCGCGGCTATCCAAAAAAGTAATATGTTGAAGCAGTTAAAACTGATCCTACATTTAAGTCTTTATGTACATTGTACACAGGTACTTTGTAATCCAGTTTTAGTGGTGAACGGCTGTTTATTAGCCAATGTAGATTACAAGCTTTAAATTTAAGTATATTTCTCTTGGCGCTATGTGTTTACGCCAAGTAAGCTTTCTATCCAGATGAACACCAAGGTATGTTACTTCGGTGGTTCGTGGAATGTTGATTTTATTGAGATATAATGGAGGGAAAGTTTGTCTGTTTAGGGTAAAGGTGAGTGCGCCAGTCTGCTAGCCATTTTTCTATAGCCACGAGAGGAGATAATAAGTGTGCCGTTGCTCTTGTTGGGCACTTGGAGCGACTTAGTATGGCAGTATCATCAGTAAATGACGAAGTTGTTGTTAGGCTGTTTGTCGGTAGATCTGCTGTGACGATGATATACAGTGTCGGTCCAAGCGCCCCATTTCATCATACTGTTTAATATCACAGTAAGGAAATATTCTGCACAGCTCAGCAATTCTATAATCATTTTAGGGGAGATGAAATCGTGGCCCGGAGCTTTCTTTTGCTTTGAGATTTGGTCTTTAATGACCCTTGTGACTTCTCCAGATTGGAATATGATAGACGGAGTAGCTTCGGGATTGTTGTTTGATGGGAGCACAAAGCTCTTTGTTGGTGGGTGTGGTTTTAAGACGTTTTCGAGAGGGACGGCAAATGTAATTGCTTTCTCTTTGTTGCTGCGAGTCATTCTCCTGATTGTGTACGCAAAGGTGATTCACTCTCGATTGGTGGGCATACACCTGATTTAGCTTTCCACAGTTTGCTAGTGGAGAGTTTCTCCGTATAGGATATTTTAGCTCGGTTTTTTTCATCTTCTAGGGCTCTGCGTATTAGGTGGTTGGCTATTTTTAGCCGCTCTATCGAGGAAGGTGATCTATGGGCTTGTCACTCTCGGCGAAGCCTTCTTTTATCGCGTAGCAGCACTTCAATGTGCCTAGAAACACGACTACTGTTGGAAAGTTTATTAGATGCTAATATTGGTGTTGAGTGTTTTGCCGCCAGTGACATTGAGGATACTAATGCTACGACTGACCTATCAATGTCATCTTTATAATAAATGTTTGGGCAGCTATCAATATGAGAGCTTATGTACTTCCTGTATTTGAGCCAATCTGTTTTGCTAGAAGTTAGAAAGTGTGGGCGTTCCGAAAGCTGTGGATGGTCTAAAGGTGAAGTAGAATTGGCGAGTGATCCGATGATAGATCTGTTAAGTGATCTACATGAATCTGAGCTTGCAGAACTCTTCGTATAACTGCAAAATCAATCCAGTCGGGTTGCTTGTTTGGATCTTGCCCGGAGAGATAAAGTCTAGCTTCTTTCGTTATAAAGTTGTGTTCCTTTCGGGTTGGTAAGTCGAGATCCCCAATGCTTGGCATTGTAGTCACCAGCTGCTATAAATCGGTCACCTAGTAGGTCGAAGAATCTTACAAATTCTGTTTCGGAAATGCAGAAGCGCGGTGGGCAGTATACTGCGGCTAGGTTTAGGTAGGTTCAATGTACGCCAACGCCAGTACCTCCATGTGCCTTACCATCGGGATGATTTGTCGCATAGAAGTTATAGCCATCGAGGTGAAAATAGTTTTTATTTGTCAGGCGAGTCTCTGATATGAGCATGGCGTCAATGTCGTTGTATGTAGGTTGTCGTTCGTTGTATTGCTACCATTGTGTTTGTTATAGTTACCAGCATTGACTCAATTCCACTAGGCAATTGGGATGGATTTGCAGTGAATGCTGGGCAGTAATTTCTGGGATCTGATTTGATGCCTGATGCTGCATTATTACTGGTGTTTGGTGGTAGTTGGTTGAAGTGTCGGCTTAGAGACTGAGGGGTATGACCCGTTGTTTTAACTTAACGCCTGAGCAAAAGAACCTCCTGGAGTCGTAGCTAATGGTATATACATATGATAAGTTTTGTCGGACGACCGGGCTTCGAGCTGCAGTTATTTGTTGGTTTAGGCGATTTTTCAATTCTTTATAGACAGGACAACCTCTATAGTTGGCAGTATAGTTTCCTCCACAATTGCTACATTTTTTTGCAGATGGGTCCTCCTTATTTACGGGGCAGGCCTCAGTGAGATGAACATCACCACAGGCAACGCAGACTTCCCGTAGAGTGCAATAAGTTTTCGGGTGTCCATATTCCTGGCAATTTGTGCATTGGACGGGTCCATTTCGTTTGTGTGGTTCCAAAACGGTGATCCTACGGTGTAGTAGATATTGAAGCTTGTAGATTGGGTGAACTTCATTTATACCCGTACTCAAAAAAGAGTTAAGGGGTATATTAGATTTGTGGTAAAAGTGAATGTGTGCAACGCAGAGAAGGAAACGTTTCCGACCCCATAAAGTATATATATTCTTGATCAGCATCAATAGCCGAGTCGATATAGCCATGTCCGTCTGTCCGTCTGTCCGTCTTGATGAGCGCCTAGATCTGAGAGACTATAAGAGCTAGAGAAACCAAATTTGGTTCCCAGACTCATGTGATATCACACTGCTACAAGTGTATTTCAAAATTTCGCCCCGCCCCCTTCCGCCCCCACAAAGGACGAAAATTTGTGGCAGGCACATTTTTAAAGATACGATAAAACTAAAATCGCAGTAACGTAGAGAATGACCATATCTACCAGATTGCCGAATCTGAACTAGATCGGATCATAATTATAGCCAGAATGAAGAAATTAATTTTCTGTTGGTTCCCTCTCCTTCTCCAGCGCTGCTGACGCTACTGATTCTCTTTCTCGCTCGCACACTCTGCCGCGTTCAGTGCGCGAGCAACCCTTAGCGGAAGAGATGTAGAATATAAATGGTACATGTACAATCTACATGTTAGATGTGGAATATACATTGTAGATGTAGATGTAGATAACAGATGTAGCAAAAAAATGTAAAATGTAAAATTTTTTTTTTTAATTTTTAAATTCTAAAAAATCATAAGCTCAAAAATGTATATACTGACTGAGTACGGGTATAAGTAGAGTCGCGTCTATAGAAGCGACTCGCACGTTCCTTCTCGTTTTTACTTACATGCATACTGTCAGGTGTCAGATCTACCTGGAACATTGGCTGGGGAATTTTATTTCTATTTATGATGTTCATAGCCATTTTGACTTGGAAGCCCTTATCGTTAAGTCTATCTATTATCTCATTGATTGGGATTGTTGGTTCGATTCCTTTGATAACCACTTGTAATCCTTTTCTTCTTTTAAGTTGGTAGGTGAAGTGTTTTCATTTTCTAGGTATTTCGCAACTGATCGAGAGTTTAGTTCGTCATTGACTTGTATTTTTGTTTAATGGACGTGACATAGAATGTGTGTTGGCCAATTTGATCAGTTATTTTTTTTTTTCTTTCAGCACAATTTTCCTGTCGAACATAAATAGTCCTTGCAACGAGACGAATCTAATTGCAAAAGGAGAAAAATAGAAGACTTTTTGATGCAAACCTTAAAATTGTATCTGAAAAAACTGGTCAGGGCAGCAACAAATAGTGAATTCGTGCGAACAGCTGTGGCAGCACGATTTTGTTATCGATAAGACTCCGTTAAACAAAGCAGAGGCCTTTTTGTATGAGCTGACATGCGTTACATGGGTATAACAGCAGTAAATTTTGTGCTGAACAGTAGAGGAGGAAAAAACACAGTTTTGCGAATGTCGGACCGCCTTGAAATGAATAGTATTACTTTTGGCTGAAAACGTAAAACGCTCAAGTAAGTAAAAGCAGGAGCTTGTATGATTACAAAATTTGAGTGGCTCTTTAAAAGTTGGAAAATGTTTGAAATTGGTACTTTTGGCTCTTCCGTCTCTGCCGACTACATTGTAGTATACTAACCAGATATGATGAAATCAGAAAAGCCAGGAAGAAAGCTGAAAAGGTCAAAATGTGATTCTGGTTCAGAATTTTGTTTTACTCGCAGCTGCCTGCCACTATAGCTGTGTACTGCAGGCACAGTTACAAAATAATAAAAACCCCATATTGTATGTCGCTGATTCTGTACGTACGTCCCACCGCAATAATAATTATCATAAAGTGATTCGCGGTTGGTTTCGACGTCCGCGATAAACTAGAATCTAAAATGTATGTATAGTTTTAACCTGAATGTAAATTCAAATTTTTTTATTTTCATTATTACATTTTATCATTATCGCATGAAATTTCTCCACTGTTACTTGATCGGTTCTCTTTTCGTTCCTGCTCGTACATAGTTTTTGTCTTATGCATTTGCTTATTTTACCCCTTATATGGTATAAGTAGATATTAATATGTTGCGCTACCATTACAAACTACAATATACTTCTCATTTTCACCAACATACAAATACATATGCATACATGCTATACGAATCAATTTAATTAAATCAATTTCTTATTGATTGATCGGTTCGGACTACATTGCATTTATGTGGTTTACAATGTGATGTTTTGTTATGTGTTATTTGTGCATCGTACATTGTATAATGTATTATCCAAATTAAAATGACCGTGCAATTTAACAAAGTTTTCAAACATTACTGATCTGTGAACGGTGTCGGGTTGTACTAATTATGTACAACATGCATAGTGTGACCTTGAATGTGCGTGTGAAAAAAATTAAACCTGTCCAAGAATGATATCAAAGCAAGGGGTGTAAAGGGAGCACAGACACTCGTCCTCTTTGGCTCCCACTCTGTCAGTCTCTCGTCCCCGTTAAGCCAGGGATCATCTTTAAGTTGTATGCCGCCTTCTCCCCTTCCCTCCCCCCGAGTTATGTATGTATGTATGTTGTAATGTGTACTGGATGAGTATGTGTTATTCTAACGATTTTTTAATATTATTCGGACTCAGGTTTCTTATGATGTGGTAAGCTATCGTTCTATTGTATGTATGTATCTATATGAATGTATGTATGTTCTTGTATGTATTTTTTCTTAATTGAGTGGTGCATTGTATTTGTTGTACGTTATGTACGTTCGCTCTGTGGTGGAATCTGGGACTGAATCTAGAGTTCGGTTATTACCGTTGGATGGTATAAATTCGGTTTAGTGGTCAGGTTAGCTGTGGCAGTACAAGAACAAAATTCGCCTAGAGTACGAAAGAATTTGAGAAAGAAGAATTTAAGCATTTTGGGATTGCTTGGGCTATTTAAAAGTGCACGTGCACATACATATTCGCGCCTACGTATGTGGATTGTGGATTACAAAACAAGTCGAAACTAAAAAAACAAAACTACACAGTTTTTACAAAATGCACAATTAACGTGTTACTTTGGATCTATATTTGCAGCCATCTCAGATTTATTCTTAGATTACACACCGTCTGTTATTTTGTCGGTCATCGACTATAATTTGTGTCTATTCGCTGTGTCAAGAACAGTGTTTTGTTTTTTATGTATACATATATATATATATATATGTGAGTGTGTGTGAGTGTATATATATAATTAAATAATACACACGATTCTATATGTCCACTTATTTAGTATGTTATTCGAATTCTTCAATGTTCATGTAATGTAAATTTTAAATCGCGTCACTTTTACAAAAGTGGAGTAAACGATGCAGTATTGTTTATTTTATACGATATTTTAGTTCGTTCCTTGATCTGATTTTGTTTCTTTAGTTTTATTCAATATACAATGTCTATAACGTTTCACCTAAACATTTGTTTTGTATATAAATAAGTATGTATACTATATGTATATACACATATATTTTCATTAATTTGAAGAAACACTTCACTATACTGCTTGGTTCATTTACAAAATAAGAGTATGATTTAAAAAGTAAACATCAAATAAAAACAAAACTTAAAAAGAACTTAAAACTTACAGTTGAGTTCTTTGAATTTCACCTTTACCATATTCAAAATACTTAACACGAATGTTAATATACATAAATGCATACGAAACATACATACATATACATGAGTTGTTTCATTTATCATTATATACGCGGACATCATCTGCTAATGCATTAGCACTAAGCTGCCTTTGGATACCTTACTCGCTAATTTTCTACACGTCCTCTATATAAACGTATTCTAATAAATATTGTTATAATTTCAGTCGAAATGCCCATCGTGCAGGTTATTGCACGAGGAGTAAATGTGTGTATGCGTGTGGTTTGGTGAATGTGTATGGGATTCAGAGCGTTTAGGTAAATTCAATTTCCAAGCCATTCCCAAGGCAATTAACTCTCTTTAGTAACAAATTCGTAATTGGCACCTCACCTCCATCTTCCTACATTTTCACTGGATGAACCACGAAATTCGGGAATGATAATTGACACATTTCCAGCCATACTTATCAACTGCCAGTTGTTTGTGTGATCTGTTTGGCTGAACTTTGTGTCTTTTTACATTGCCGTAGACTTGGATGTTTCTGAAATAAATGTGAACCTACTCCATAAAGCGATTTTACAAACAGAAAAGGGCACAATATCGATGAGGATCGATGATGTTGTCATAGTGGCTAGTGGCTAGGCACGTGACGGTGTATATATGCATTTAGCTATGAAGCTAGTGCCATGTATACCTGGCCCATTGTACTGCACTTAATCTCAATTGCTGCCGACATCCTTCATTTACTTAGCCATATCACTTATGTCTAGATTACTACGTCTAATTTTTAATACGATTGAAATAATTAATTTGTTTACTTATGAATTCTATTTCACCTTTCTCCTTTCTTTCTGTTCTCTTTTCGTATATTTTCGAATCACTACGATTCGAATCAATTACAATTACATTAAATCATTAAAATCAATAAATACAATCTCACCCCTCCGAACTCACACAAATCCCATCAAAATTAATATTTTCATATTTTCGCATATTATGATGAATGGAAAATAGGAAAATTTAGTGTTAAGTGACATTTATGTTATAAATAAATATTTCTGAGCGTAACGGGTCAACTGGTGTTCTCAACAAATTCACCGATTGCCCTTGGTGTTGATGATTCCGTAGCTCTTGCTGGAGGAGGGACTGAATGCCATATTTTCTGGGCGGAAACGCTGGGTGGGCAATGTTATCCGAATTACTTGGTGCATTGCAAGGATCGCAAAAATGCTGACTAAAGACGAACTTAACCAATTGCCAGACATGCAACAGGTTAACGGGGAAGGCAGAGGCAGCCAGTAGGATATCCAGATCCAAACGTTGAAGTTATTTCTACCTGCAATCGCCGAGCCACTGTTGTATGTAAGCTCTTCGTTCTTCACAACCTCGTTGGGATGTTTGTCGTAATGGTGGTGATCATCTACAAATATTTAACAAAATACCATTATTAAACTAATGAAACATATATAAAATAATATAAATTAACATAAACTTCTTTCATAAATTATAATTTATCTTTAATTTTCAATTAATTATTCATACAAATGAAGTTGGTATTGGACGTAGGGTGTAAATATTGTACGTACATAAATGTATGTAGATCGGTAAACTGAAATATTGAACATGGTGACATTGTATTTTATCTTCTTCTGTCAATTTTTATCAAACTTTTTTTGTATATTTAGTAGGCATGCGAATAGGTCGTGAAGTATTTTTCATCTTCCTACCACTGCCCACCATATTTTAGTCGGAAATGCTCTATTTCTGAATGTGTGTTACACGTTTTGTGACTGAGTTTGAGAGGTTTGTATGCCGATTTTTATCAGTAAGAACTGCAATTTGGTCAATTTGTGTGTATTACAGTGAACAAAAAGGAAAGAAACATACGAAATAGTATAGCAGAACAGTCGTACGAATCCAACAAGATAACGAAAATGTGTGTGTGAGCATGTCGCAATTGCGTGAAGCCCAATAACAAGAGCACGGGTTGAATGAAATCCACAACGACTATTGGACCGGAGACAACGGCTTGCTCACCGGCACGGATCCAGATTCATGTTCACACGTTTGAGTTATCCGTAAAATTCCTGTCATTGTTTTTACTAACAACAAGATATTTTTAAGGAAAACTAATTTGTTTCCACGGGTTGTGTTTCTGCGAAGATCAGAAAAATTTCACCCAGCAAAATCTCACATTCATTTACTAGTAAAACTTGTACCATATATGTATGTATATGTACTATGTAAATTCTACTAAGAAGATTGCACACCCCCATTAGCTTCATATATTTTATTTTGTTTTTGTTGTTGCAAACATGCAGATTCTTTACTGTTATCTCTTCTGCTGTTATCGTATGCCCTTTCACTGGAAAAAATTAAATGCGTTATTTATTTTGAAGTTTACCAAGAATCCAAGATTTCAACTAGTGAAATATCCGAAAAAAAAGGAAGGAATCGCAAAGCTATATCTAATTTTGTATGCAATAAATCAGAATATGGTAAAAACAACAAAGGCGGTAATAATAGATTGATTTTCAATGCTGACTATAGAGCACTTTTTAAGGATGCATCTCCTCCTTTAGCAAAGATCAGAGAAAAAGTTGATGTTAAAGCGAGCTTATCTACGATTCAGAGATGGATAAGGAACGTAAACTGAAGAAAAAGCCCCCACTTGACGATTCCCGAACAAAGATACGGCTAAATTTTGCAAAAGAGCATCAGACTTGGAATTCTGATTGGCACTATGTGGTCTATTCGGATAAAAAAAAATGTAGTTTAGAAGGTCCTGACGAATACAATTACTATTTCCATGATCTAAGGAAGGAAGAGCACCAATTGGATCGTCTTAATAGTCGGGCGGGAGGAGTGATGGTGTGCTATCTCCTACTATGGTCAATGTGAGATTTTTTTTCGAGATTTAGCATGAAGTTTTCAACATGACAACGCTCCGATCCACACGTCCCTTGTGATTAAATCAGGGGCTGAAGACGAAAATGTTAAATTAATGCAGTGGCCGCCTTACTCACCCGACATAAATATAATAAATACCCCGTGGGGATTGCTAGCTCGCAATGTTTAAGAGTTTGGTAAACAATACTCTATTAAAGAAGAATTTATTGAAGTCATCAAGAGTGCTTGGTCAGCCATTTCTTTAAATATAAATTTCCCATCTTTGAGGTCATTCTCAACAAATAAGTTGGAATAATCGAAATTACAAGTTTAAAAATTTATTCATATCTCAGAAGGTTAAAACAAAATTAAAAAAGCGATATGTGCTAACCTGATGACCAAAATAAAAACTAAATTTTCTTGTCACGCGAAAAAAATTTGTTAAAATATTAAAATAGGTAGAATCAATTATTTTTGTTTTATTCAACGAAGAACTTAATAGCCTATAAACAACAACAATTTCAAAATCTTAGCTCTGTTAGTTTGGTCAGAATTGAGCCAAAATAGCGAAAGCGAGGGGTGTGCTAACCTGATGAAGATATATGTACATATATGCAGTGACTCGAATTTATAATACAATAATAAATATGGATGGAAAGTAAAATTTGGATACATGATGAATGTACGGGAAGCGGTGGGAGTGCAAAATGAATTTCTGGTTGTTTTACTTACTTTTCGTATTCTGATTGTCATTTATTGGTGTCTGATTGCTAGAGTTATTAAGATTATGAATTTGACTGTCTGTGGTATTCTCAATTTGGATTCTATTTGGGTATTCTGGATTGAACAATGGTCTATTATCAATAGCAAATGATGTAAGTGTCCGTTCGCCCAAATTTATAGTGCTCTGCACTATGTTACTCTGATTTGTGTCAACGACTGGTGGTAAGTAAAAAACATCACTATCACTTGCAACGTTCAATGAAATGGTTCCGCCGCTACCGTTGCCTTTACCGCCACCAACTTCTTTTGTGTAGTAATGATTATCGGAGGACTGTTTAATTAATGTATCCTTACCATTACCATTAGAGTTGCCGTTGACGTTACCCTTGTGCGATGGATAGCTGTGCTGCGTTGGCACATTGTTTATCCGAATGCCAGTTTGAATGTGGTGATGTCCCGGGTATGCAATATTTACCCCACCACGGCCAGGTGGCAGCATGTTGATGCTACCATGACCATGACCAGGAGACAAGATAATTCCACCACCAGCTCCACCTCCAACGCCACTAGAGCCAACATTGTTACCCATAATGTTCGGTTGAATCGGTATCCGGTTGAACTGATCGATGTTCGTATTGATCGAGGTTCCTAGGCCATTAATGTTGACATTGTTTGGATGTATGGCTATTCCCCCTGAGGGGGATCCGCCCGAGAGTCCTCCGTTGACACCGCTTATTCCAATGGTGTTTCCGGCACCAGTATTGTGGCCGTAGCCATGTCCATGACTGTCATCATGGGCCGCGATATTGACACTGTTTCCTCCTCCTGTGTCTGCGCCTGCCACAGCCACGGATGTGGTGGTTTGTGTGGTCTTGTTCTTTTCTTCCGTAGCGCAGCACACTTTGAACACAACTTTCATATTGTTTGTGGAGCAACGGCCCCCAATGCGTCGATACAAGTCGTCTTTCGATGAAGTTGCTGTATTTGGGAACAAACAAATTTAATGGGTTTGATTAATAAAATTATCTTTAAGATATTTAATGTAAACGAACTCACAAATGAAGTAATAATCATTTCCAGGTAGGAACTCCAAGCCACCTGGCTGCGGTGTAAATGGCCGGAAAGTTATTGTAAAAAACATTAATTTTTGAGGTTTATCACATATAGCTATTACTCGCGGATCTGCATTTGTTATGCGACATGTTTCGTACTCCACTTTAGACACATTGTATATTATATATTTCTCTGTTTCGTTTTCAAATGTCCCTGGCTCGTACACTGGACATATTATGTGCACCTGGTCGAATTCGAAGGCCAGGTTGCCTTTGTTGACATCAATAATGTGATCGGTGTTGTCTATCCGAAATCTGCGGGATAAATTATTATTATTTTTATTTATTTATTATTATTATTAATAAACACATATTTTCAGACAAAACTCAAATTATCAAAATAAGAGAATCAGTACAATTATTCAAATTTAAATGGACCGCGAAAAGACGCAATCCACAGCTAAAGCCGGTCAATTTATAGGTCATTTTGGTACCGGTGTCATGGGGCGTGGCAAACACTATAGACTGGAGAAGGTTTCGTGCTTAAAGGGAAAGTAATAATTCGGGATAATAAATACTATTGGTTGTTTAGCTATTATGATCAGAAATGATAATAAATAAGATAAAAACGCGATCAACGAAGTTATTCGTCAAAATATCAGTAGATATACCATTATGACAACGACAGGCGAAGTGCCATAATTTTGCTCCTGTTCAGCCTTAAAAATGTCTAATTTTGAAACTAGTATTGAAACTATTAGAAAAAGCGTTAAAGATTATAATTTAATGACACGAAGCCTAAGGAAAAGATGTTTACTGGCAAAAAAACCTTCAGTCTCAAGGTTTAAGTTTTCTGGGAAACACCTAAATTGAGTTAAAACTATTTTTTTTTTTTTTGTATTTTGGTATCTCGTTAGTATCTAAAACGACTATGGTTATCCGAATTTTCCACAAAATATTCAAAAACCGTACAAACTGCGGCACCGTAAACAATGATTTCCCAGCTACGGAACTTTACCATTATATGTGTAAAAAACATTTTGGATCCTCATTCATTCATTCAAATATCCACCGAAATCCCGTACCCGTACTCAAAAAAGAGTTAAGGGGTATATTAGATTTGTGGTAAAAGTGGATGTGTGCAACGCAGAGAAGGAAACGTTTCCGACCCCATAAAGTATATATATTCTTGATCAGCATCAATAGCCGAGTCGATATAGCTATGTCCGTCTGTCCGTCCGTCCGTCTGTCCGTCTTGATGAGCGCCTAGATCTCAGAGACTATAAGAGCTAGGGCAACCAAATTTGGTTTCATGACTCATGTCATATCACACTGCTACAAGAGTATTTCAAAATTTCGCCCCGCCCCCTTCCGCCCACACAAAAGACGAAAATCTGTGGCAGGCACAATTTTAAAGATACGATAAAACTTAAAACGCAGTATCGTAGAGAATGTCCATATCTGCAATATTGCCGAATCTGAATCAGATCGGATCATAATTATAGCCAGAATGAAGAAATTAATTTTCAGTTGCTTCCCCCTGCCCACTCCTGCCAACGACCAAGCAACTCATTTTCCTTCTCGCTCGCACACTCTGCCGCGTTCAGTGCGCGAGCTGAGGAGATGTAGAATCTAAATGGAACATGTACAATCTACATGTTAGATGTAGAATATACATTGTAGATGTAGATGTAGATAGCAGATGTAGCAAAAATATGTAAAATGTAAAATTTTTTTTTTTAATTCTAAAATTCTAAAAAATAATGCTCAAAAATGTATATACTGACTGAGTACGGGTATAAGTAGAGTCGCGTCCCCAGAAGCGACTCGCACGTTCCTTCTCGTTTTTTTCTGAAAATGTTGATGGTTTACTCTGAGTTTTTTTCTATTATTACAATCTGCAATTAAGGTAATCTCTAAAAAAAAACTAAAATTATTATGGGGAAGTGCTCGTAAGTCCTTTTTTTGAGGATATATGAAAAGTCATATTGTCACTACTATTATTTTGACCGCAGCTGCACATGAACCCGATCGCAGAGATTAGCAGCTACATATGTCAAAACAGATGAAAGACCAATAGGCCAACATTGATAAGAAACTACAGTAACTCTGAGGCAGTTCAGTGTTGGGATGATGAGATCAAACAAGAAACCGCAAGAATAAACGAGGGGGTGAAATTCGGATCGAAAATCGCTTCAGTCAATAGGAAATGGATTCTTCTGTAATGGCAACATCTAAACCAAAATTCCTAATTTCCTAATTTTGATTGCACACCAATCAGCTGCTGAGGTGCTGCAATCGATTCCCGGCGTTGCTGAGTGTGCCCTGCAAGCGAATGTCTGTTGGCTTAGAAGGGGCTTAGTTAAAGGAAACGTGGAGCCACTGAATGGGCTCCTAGTCGGAGTAGATTTTATGACCCGTTATGGTTCAACACTGGAAGAAATAGTAAGAAATATGCAAATCCAGCAGTCCAACTATTGGGTTTTAGTGTTATTCACGCGATACCACATTTCCGCTCTTTTTATACCCGTACTCAAAAAAGAGTTAAGGGGTATATTAGATTTGTGGTAAAAGTGGATGTGTGTAACGCGGAGAAGGAAACGTTTCCTTTCTGTCTGTCCGTCCGGCCGTCCGTCTGGTTGAGCGCCTGGATCTCAGAGACTATAAGAGTTTGGGTAATCAAATTTGGTTTCCAGACTCATGTGATATCACACTGCTACAAGTGTATTTCAAAATTTCGCCCCGCCTCCTTCCGCCCACACAAAAGACGAAAATCTGTGGCAGGCACAATTTTAAAGATACGATAAAACTAAAAACGCAGTATCGTAGAGAATACCCATATCTACCAGACTGCCGAATCAGATCGGATCAAATTTATAGCCAAAATGAAGAAATTAATTTTCTGTTGCTTCCTCTGCATCCCCCTGCCAACGACCCGGTACCTATCTCTTTCTCGCTCGCACACTCTGCCGCGTTCAGTGCGCGAGCAACCCCTAGCGGAGGAGATGTAGAATCTAAAAGGAACATGTACAATCTACATGTTAGATGTAGAATATACATTGTAGATGTAGATGTAGATAGCAGATGTAGCAAAAAAATTTAAAATGTACAATTTTTTTTTTATCATAAAATTCTAAAAAATCATATGCTCAAAAATTTATATACTGACTGAGTCGCGTCCCCAGAAGCGACTCACACGTTCCTTCTGGTTTTACTTTGAGAGATAGGTTCCAAATTGCTATCCAAAACGGTTACGAATATCGAGAAATTAATAAATAGACACATTAAAGATGTATACAATTTGTTAAATATTTCAGAACGACAAAATAGATTCGTATTCGTTGAACTTTGAGCTTTTTCTGTTCGTGAAAGAAGTAGTAATATGATAATGGGATGTATAATGAACGTATTAAAAATCCACAGATTTATCTATACATATATGCTACAAATGTATTTATGTACATATGTATATATGTATATAGGTACATGCTTGTATGTAGACTGTAATGAAAATAATCAAAATCGGCGAAGAATATACGAATAGCTGAAGGAACAAAGACGATTGGGACGAACGGCTGCAAAGCCCATTCCTATCCCATTCGTGGTCCCCTCCACGCACGCACGCACGCATGACTACAACCTCCTCGTCGTTTCCTTGGTTTCGTTGTGCCATTCCAGGTTACTCTCCTTTGTTTTTTTTAAGCGCTTTGTAAATTAAAAATCACCCCTAATGATGAAGTACGCATATTTTACATGCCTTCTTTAGCGACAAACTCACCATCACGCATCGACTTGCAACTAGGGTTACATGCTCTTGCTGGGCGCACGGTGTTTTTTTTTATTTGCACATATTTGAATACGTAGCCACCCACCCAAAATCCCAGTAGGACTAGCAACAACAAGACCAGATGCACACCCCAACGACGCACTTACCTCTCCTTTCCACCTCACCTTTTGCGTAGAAGAGGGAACCTTTCTGTGAGATATGTTTATGTGTATATATGTATGTACATCATGGCAATTCAGTAATGCGAGTTTGATCACTGCAATGAACTACAATGCAAATGCAGTACAGACCCAATGGATCCGACAAATGACTACAAGACATTCGTTATGAAGTTTGTAGTTCACTTAAGGACGAACCTATGAAAACTGGTTCTTAGCTAGTTTTGAACCTATCTAAGGAAATGTTGCACATATACTAAATACTAAATATACATATCATTGCATCCAGTGAAACAACAGCTTCAGATTCCTGAATATTTAACAGTTTGAACGGTCTGCTTAAAGTTTACATTCAACTTACATGCTGTTCGATGTATTCCAATGCATGTAGAAGGTTTTGGCGCAGCTGGACATGGTCGAAAGCAAAACGGTTTCTATGCAGATCAGCGTGAGCAAAGTGACGAACGATGTAGCGCCTAATGTGGGCAAGGGAATTAACATTTTGCATCGCACCAGCGAAGAGGATGAGGAGCGGTTTTTATTCTTGTTGTAAATGTGATTATGGACTCTTCGCGTTGTGTTCTTGATATCGGGATGTTCACGTTGATGTTGCTTTATTGTTCTATTCGCACCTAATTCTGTTGATGTTCTTGCATCCGATTCGACTTCTGCTTCTTCGCTAACAGCCGCTATAGCTGCTGTAAAAGGTTGCTGCTGTTCCAAGGAATTTTTGGACTGGAACGGCAAAAATGTGCTGTTGGCAACGCTCTTGCTTTTGCTCTTCGATTTTCGATGCATAGCTGGTTGGTTAATGCTAATCGTTGTCGTTGTTGCCTGGCTTCGACTTCGAACACTTGGCATTCTCGTGGTAGTCGTTGGCATGTATAGCTTAACGTTCAATGGATAACCAGAATATGGCTTTACCCGCTGCTCCTGTGGACACTTATTGCAGTTAGGGGTAGCGTGATCTCCTCCTTTCGCCTCCTGATGTTTCTGCGGCTCAACCACCTCCTTTTTTAAAACCAAGCAACTCTGAAGTTTGTTGCGACTTAACTGGGGCTTATTGCAACATGGCACGGATGATTGCCAGGCATTTCTTACTTGGGCTTCTACCAGTGGCTGGTTCTGGATCTGTGACTGCGTCTGTGGCTGGGTCCAGAAGAAAGTAGCATGCAACTCCTTTGCCCGCTCTGGCATTCTTTTAGCACTCTTTGTTCGATGTGAAATATTGCTTAACTGATCTATATATGTTGTGTGTGTGTAAAGTGCGACCGCCTCAATGGTTTATTTCACTGCAATTTAACTAATGGCTTCGTCGGCACATGCCGATGTGTATCTTGCTCCATCTGTAACGTAACCAAGATAAGAATTAATGTGAAGCGATATGGTACGTCAAGAGTAATATGTAGGTGTAATGTGGTAGACCCGCATCGGGCCTCCAATTTCAACAATGCCAAATGCCAGTACATGTACATGAGCGTTGACGGGTCCACGGATGTCAAAATCATCATTAGAACTCTAATGATCGTGCTAGCATAAAGCGCATTTGAGTAATAGGTGATACGGTGCAAGACTTAAAACCAAGACATTCTTCCGTGTAGGATCACACAACTCATCTTTAGCACATTCACTTTCACATCCATTTCCCCAGCATTAACCTTAACCCCACGAACTGACACTTCCACCACAATTATGTACATACATATATGTATGTACTAGTTTCCACAAATATTGTATCTCAAATGAATACTGATACATATCTTATAGGGTCATTGGGCTATGCTATTGTCAAGTGTCCTGGACTCAGGAGCATAGAATCTCTGGTAGAATCGTAGTGCAAGTACGTATTTCTGCTTTGCCTAGGACTTTACAGGACCACAATTGGAATTTAATTGGAATTAAAATTCACGGTACGGCCTAGTGCTAGTGTGCTAGTGCGATTTACCCTCGGACTCCTGTCGTCACCTTTTCTCTCTTTCGTTAATATAAACTTCTTGACGGCAAACACATCCGAGTGCATACGTACGTATTTATGTATGTATGTATACACCAAATGAGACGTTTTCTGTATACATACACGGCGACAGCGACGACGACGACTCACTCACACAGTCCCGAAGGGAAGTAAGCTGTGAAAATAGAACCCAAACTTGTAGATATATTCTTTGCTATTTTCAAATCTGGACTCAATTTTCATTTAAAATGTTCAATTTGTAATAGCAAAACTTTCCCGAGCATTCACACATACTCATAAAAATAGGGAAACACAAACAAACACGCACACACAGCCACTGGGTTTTTATGTACACATTTTCTTTCCATTTCACTTCTCAAACGAATCACATTTTCCATCGGTTTTCAAAATGGAATGTATGTTTTCTGAATGAAAAACAGGATCCCGAGGATATTTACATCAAGGCGCTACCGTGCACAGATTTTTATTTTCTTAAATATTTATCTAAATATAATTATAGTATCAGCGTGACCGTGACGATAACGATAAAAAATACCATCCGGCCAAAAAGTAAATACCATTAAATACCATATCAGTTTCGAGAAATACCATTTAAATACCATACCATAAAACGCCAGGGCCGAAACTTAACCCACTTAACACCCCTCTATTTAAAAAGTAGAGCACCCTTTGTTAAACCACTAACCATACAGTATATAGATGTGCCAGTTCATACAACGAAAGGGGCGCAGCTGAGTTTGCAGCGTACGTTCCCAGATCTTTGGCTTTGGGAATGGCCGCGTTGGGCTCATGAAGTCACACGAGCCGACTGGCAGCAAGCATGCATGTGTTGTGTACGTGTACACTCCAAAATATATGATTGTATGCATAGAATAATTTTTAGCTGCCGAAACCGACTTTGTTCGAGATTTCAGTTTACGTAAACGTGTGTGTGCCATGTATTCACACATACTGTGCTTGTGTGTGGGCTCTACAATTTTTGGCCGCTTGAATTGGTTTTTCATTTTGTTTTGAGGGCTGATGTGATGTAGCGACCTATTCAGGGCCGGATCAACCCTCAACCGGGCCCTGGGCAACCATCAATCTGGGGCCCTCCTTTATTTTGTATTTTTCTCAGTGGCTATTATATTTTTTATTCATTATTTGGAGTTCTGTTTTTTTAACAAAATTTTTCTGTTATCCCTAGGGGGCCCTAGGCAACTGCTAATCCGGTCCTGGACCTATTCCCGTCGTAAGACTTCATATTTTCTTGAATATGTGTGAATACATGGCACACACACGTTTACGTAAACTGAAATCTCGAACAAAGTCGGTTTCGGCAGCTAAAAATTATTCTATGCATACAATCATATATTTTGGAGTGTACACGTACACAACACATGCATGCTTGCTGCCAGTCGGCTCGTGTGACGTCATGAGCCCAACGCGGCCATTCCCAAAGCCAAAGATCTGGGAACGTACGCTGCAAACTCAGCTGCGCCCCTTTCGTTGTATGAACTGGCACATCTATATACTGTATGGTTAGTGGTTAAACTACGGAAAATAATACTGTTTGTAAAGGCTCCTTGTAACTCCATCCTCCTTTTTACTTACAAAACAAAAATGACCACCGACATCTTTAACCTGTAATGCGTAAAATATGTTAAATTTCGTGGAAATAATAAATACCCCCCTGGTCGACAATGGGATAATGTTCTATTTTATTGTATGAAATCGTATTCCATAATTTTGATATTCAGTTTAATATTGCACACATAGTTAGCCCTCTCAGTCCTATACAAATAATTTTATCCGATAGATACATCAATATTCTACAAGATTGGCTACTTTTAGAAGTCCTTTTTATTGCATTGTTTATATAAGGTTCAAACAAAAACGGACAAAGCATAAAACGTAAATTTTGACTAAATGTGACGTCAGTGTTGCTGGTCAACCAAGTTTCTTTTATGCGTACATATGTACTTTTGTATACGTTATTTCCTTTAATTGATGCTAAATTTGTTGTTCCAAGCTTCATTGAAACATTAGTAATGACTTTATCCTAGATTGACATGTTTTTTACCTATTAATGCATATGTTTTGTGTTTTATAAATACATTTATCCCGGTTCTGATACCTATTATTGGTACCCATAAGCTGTAAAATTTCGTTAATATTTAAAACAAAAATGTCAAGTCCATAATGTCCATTTGCCCAAGGTATGCAGATTGTTGCTCATTCCGTGCCAAAGATGTACAACAATGCTGTTACTTCAATTCCCCATCTTGCTGAAAATTTTACCATACAAATCAAATGCATCTTACGGGATGACGCAACAATAAATCTTTATTCCAAATAAAACCCGTAATTTTAAATAATAATCATTTTTAAATTTCGACGATAATAATTTGTATCAGACTCGCCGTATTTTTCACGTTATTTTCAGTTCATACCAAGCCAATTAATTGAAAAAGTACACCAAACCATACGCTTCATCCTTGTTTATGAGCACCAGACGAACGTAGCTTACTCTTTGGGGGAGCAAAAGCCACACTTTAGGCACACGAACGGCTTGTGGAGATGTTTGCAAGTTGTCTCGTGAAGGTCTTGTTTTTGTTTGATTGTTTCACATTTTCCACAGTACTGGCACTGATTGGAGCCCTGTTGCACATGGCGAAACCCTGGCTCTGGCTCTTCAAATCCAGACGGGATTTGAAAATGTCTCTTCATATTTTTCCCCTCTTTGACCTGACGGTGGCCATCAAAATTGCGTGTGTATGAAAGGAAGTCAGTGACTCTGATAAGTTGGTGGTGGTGGCTCTAGAGATTTCGCAGTTGTTTGATAATGCTGTGGAGGAGGCCGCCATCGCCGGATGTAAGGTTGGGCTTGGGAAGAATTTTCCGAAAACGCATCCCTACAAGCTTCGGTACAGCATCATACGTCTGTCTAGGATCATCATGCAATTGGAGAAGAAATTGAGCCCGCTCTTCCCTTGTATTGAGGGGGAAAGACGTTGATGCTATTGGGATTGGGATCGTTGTCGTCGTCGTTGATTGAATTTCCTGAAACTTCTCAACCGGAGGTGTAAGGAGCGGCATCTGATAGTATTCGGTGGGAACGATTGGTTTTCTTGGACAAAATCGATGGAAAATGGTGTTTGTGGGGGCATTGGTCTTGTTAGTTGGTGTTCTGATTTAGAATGGAGAGAAAATATTGATTAATATTAATAAAACGAATGTTGAATGTAGCATACCATTATTAAAAGGGACTGCGGCGGCTGTTGGGGTTGGAATTGCTTCGGGGTCGTCGTCGTCTGCTGGATAAAATATTGGATTTGTATCTGGATCACCTTGATTAGATGCATTCTGGTTTTGGGACGACGATGACACAAACACACCCTGGGTCGGCAAGCGGCCGTTTGAAAACAACCTGACAATGTCATCAACCTCGTATCCCTCGAGATCTAGTTTAAAACTGAAAAGGATAAATTTTCTTATTTGACACATGGAAAAATTAATTTAAATTTTTTAAACAAACCGTTTTGCCATTTTCACCAAATCAACTTGTACTCGTATTGTAATTGTTTATGTTGTCAACACTGTCACTTTAAAATTTTTTAAATTTTTTTTTAAACTTTTTTTATTTGCTGTTAATGTTGTCCTTTTGTTTGTTGGTTAACCAATTTTTGTCACTTACTTAAGTTTATACATGTATGTATTTGATATACAATAATAAACATTATCTCTTTGTACCCAAAAAATACTTTTCGATATAAAATCCGTTACAAAAGTAACGCGTTTTCAACTTTCAGCCAATCAAATCGTTCGAAATTTTCTGTAAGCATTTGGGGTGGTTTTCTGGGCAAAGTCCAAAAAAATGCTCGCGCGACCATGAAACAAGAAAATAGTGCCGAATATTCTTCTTCACAAGTCCGCTGAGAATCAAAAAAATATCAATTCATAATGTTTTAAATCATAACATTATTAATAACGATGAAGAAGATTCAACTGTTTTCAACTTTCAGCCAATCAAATCGTTCGAAATTTTCTGTAAGCATTTGGGGCGCGAGATTCATTGTTGCTACGCGTTCCCGTAAAATACATGTTACTCACACCACGAAAATGAGGGGCAAGTCACCACGAAAAGTTTCTCTTCACTTCTAAAAGGAGTGAACATTTTGAAAACCCACCACGAATTGAGAGCGAAAAATGTCAGTATTTTTTGTGCGCTAAATGAGTTTGGCGGTCATTTTCAAATGTCTATATGGGCAGTTCCGCCAAAAGGTCCACCAGGCCAAAAATCATAAAAAGTCAATAAAACCCGATTTCTATATAATTTTTTCCGGATATTTTTTTCTAAATTTATTGAAAGGTAACTAATTTACTTTATTCACATATAATTTCATTAACTTTCATCCTAAAACCTATACAAATAAGCAAAAGTTCACGTTTTTGGTATTTTCTGGTATTTTTATAGACATGTTTTCTTTTACTATTATCTCCTAGGAAGAAGATGATTCTTGATAAAAGTTTCTCTTTAAAGTCTTTCTAATATATTAAACTACCCAAAATAATTATCAGAGTGTTTGTCCAACCTCGGCTAACAATATATTTTTAGGCTTTTATAATCGCGGAATTTGGTAACGTCACGCCAGTAACGTTCGCCAGATGCCTCCGCGGATTTTTAACAAAAAAGAGGAAAAGTTTTTACATTTAATAAATTTGAAAATTAGCTCTCAATACTTCATTTATTAGCACAAAAAATGTTATACAGATAGCCCTATCCAATTCGCAGAGTTTTGCCATTTTGTACGCCAACCTCGAAAACCACTTCTGTTTTTTGTAACGCACTTTTAGGTCATACTTTGGCTTATATCTTCAAAACCGTACGTTCGATTATTGCCATTTTTCGGGTGAATATAGGTCTAACCAAATTATATTCAACGAGGATAATCTTTTTTCCAAATTTCAGTTTTTTGACTATCTTTTTCAACATTTTGTCGTACGAATGTAACGTAACGCCAGATTTGTCGAGTGTGACTGGAACCTCAGAAACCTCAGAAGCCGAGAAAACAAAATAGCTTAACCCCGCTCTATTTAATCAGGTTAGTAGCCAGTAAATATCAACAAAAAAATAATTAATAACACTACTAGACACGATTTTTCCTCAAGGAACAGAGCCAACTTTTTCTTAAAGATTTGGGGCTTAGAAATGGTTTGATGATATTTTTTTTTTCTCTGGCAAAACCTTTTTTTTTAAGAATTTTTGGCTGTTGGGCCCGCAACCTTTCAAAAGGTATTTTTTTTTAAATTTTTTCATTTTTTAGGTTTGGTTAACGAATGGTTTAGCTCCAAAGTCTCTCCATAGATTTTAATGAGCGATACCTTAAACGACACCAAATAAATGCACCTATACACAAAAAATTAGAGAACACAGGATTTTTTCGACTTTTCCTGAGTTTTTAAAGTCAAAATTTCGTAAAAAATACCGCACAAAAATCATCATTTTTTGCATTTCAATGCTTTATATTTCCCAGACGGTAAGCTGAAATCACAAAGTGTTTGGGCTTAACTTCTAGCTGTTTTAATTATCTTTTCAAATAGCAAAGTTCTTTACAACCAGACGTAAGATACTAGAATTACGTGAGAAAATCTAAAAATAGCAAAAAAAAAAATACCAAAATTCTTCAAAAAAAAGTTCTGCCATAGAAAAAAACCATATTTCTTTAAAAAAATTTAAAGCCCCATATCTATCAGAAAAAGTCAGTTTGGATCCCTGAGGAAAAAAAAAGTTCGATTTCGTCGAGTAGTGTAATTAACAATTATTTGAGCCCGATACTACCACGATAGTATCGATTGTTTTTTTCAAAACATTCAAAACTATCGATGGCTATCAATCGTTTGACAGCTCTACCACAGCCGAATGGTCAGAAAACTCAGCTGCGACACGTTCGGTGTATAAACTGGCACATCTATATACTATATGGTTAGTGCTTCGGCTTTTCGCTCGGTTTTTAAATCCCGAATTTCGGTATTTTTTTTCGCTAAACTCACAAAACTATATAGCCGATAGTTCGATATCGATATATACACAGGAAAAGCATAGGAGTAAGTGCTGTTAACGCGTGGCTAGGGACTGTTAATCAACATAATCAAAATATCCAAGAAATTTATTCATTCAGCTGCATTTTCTTGTGAGAAATGGCGTTTTCCAACATTTTGAAACGCTCCCTGCGCTCCGGGTTGCAGTTGCAAGGTTTTGGATTACAGCCACCGCAGTCCTCTGTAATTGGATGCTTACTAAGGTATAGCATCTCACCGCTTACATAATTGTAGAAAATTGCATAGAATTACTTTTGTTTTTTTTGCCTCTTCTCAGTTCGCATCAGCACCGCCGTGGAGCTGCGAAATGGTACCCAGATCCGGAATTCATGAAACAATTCAGTGGCCCTGTGATGTATCCCGACGAAGTAACTTCGCTCTGGAAAGTGCCCCCATGGAACAGTATGTACATTGTTGCGGCACATATTCCGTTGACAATATTTAGCCCTTCCATTTCCACCTTCCCACTCTAATCCTGAATAGGTAAAGTCACGCCCGTCGAGAAGTCGGTGCGAAATTTGACACTTAACTTCGGGCCGCAACATCCTGCTGCCCACGGAGTACTCCGGCTGGTGCTTGAACTGGACGGCGAGGTTAGTGGGCTAAGTGTTCTGAGCTTGTAGTTTGAGAGGGGAATGAGAACGATTAAAAGTACTGGTATCTTCTTTTTTCAGACTGTTATGCGTGCGGATCCACATATCGGATTGCTGCACCGTGGCACGGAGAAGCTGATTGAGTACAAGACGTATACACAGGCGTTACCGTATTTTGATCGCCTGGACTATGTTTCAATGATGTGCAACGAACAGTGTTATTCGCTTGCAGTGGAAAAGCTGCTTAATATTGATGTGCCTATCCGGGCTAAGTACATACGCAGTGAGTATATTCAGATCATATCACTACTATAAAATACATTTTTTTTCTATATTCGCTCCAGCTCTGTTTGCTGAAATTACACGCATTCTAAACCATATAATGGCTGTGGGGACACATGCCCTAGACGTTGGCGCACTCACTCCGTTCTTTTGGCTTTTTGAGGAGCGCGAGAAAATGATGGAGTTTTACGAGCGTGTTTCTGGAGCCCGTATGCATGCTGCGTATATTCGACCAGGTGGTGTGTCGTTGGTAATGTACATGTCAGAGGTTGTCAGAATTTATGAAGACCTAATCTCTGAGCTTTCAGGATATACCGCTTGGTTTAATGGACGATATCTATGAGTTTGCCTCAAAATTCGCCGAGCGCCTAGACGAAGTGGAGGATGTGCTTAGCACAAACCGCATCTGGGTGCAACGTACCGAGGACATCGGCATTGTAACTGCTGAGGAGGCTCTTAACTATGGCTTCAGTGGCGTCATGCTCCGTGGTTCAGGCATTAAATGGGACTTGCGCAAGCAGCAGCCATACGACGCCTACCATCTCGTAGACTTTGACGTGCCGATTGGCACAAAAGGTGACTGCTATGATCGCTATCTCTGCCGCATCGAGGAAATGCGTCAGTCCCTCCGCATAATCGACCAGTGCCTGAACCAAATGCCTGCAGGAGAAATCAAGACGGACGATGCTAAAGTGACGCCTCCGTCGCGTTCCGAAATGAAAACGTCTATGGAGGCACTCATTCATCATTTTAAGCTTTTTACTCAAGGCTTCCAAGTGCCACCTGGTGCCACATATACAGCCATAGAAGCACCCAAAGGCGAGTTCGGTGTTTATTTAGTGTCGGATGGCTCCAGCCGTCCATATCGCTGTAAGATCAAAGCTCCCGGATTTGCGCACTTGGCGGCGCTGGAGAAGATTGGCAAGCAGCACATGTTGGCCGATGTCGTTGCCATTATTGGAACATTGGACGTAGTGTTTGGCGAGATAGATCGGTAGACCGAAGATTATTTAATCAATATTACGCTTTCATGAACTTGTGTATATGAAAAATTGTTATTAAAATCCGAGCTATGATCGTAACAAATTTTGTTTATTCTCTTTGTATTCAGAACGCACACCACATCATGGATTTATTAAACCCATTTTTGAGTTAGAGTGGGAAATAGGCGATTTATTTTTGCAATCCAAAACCAAGAAAAAAAAATCCATTCCATTACAATTGTTGAATTTTCTATATCCTTTACAAATATGGACACACTTATCGTTCCTATATTATTGAGTTTCAACTTTATTTCCATAGTACTTTCACATAACTCTTAAAATATACAATATGTATTCTTGCCAAACAACATTGAAGATAAACTTTCTGGGTTTTAAATATATAGTTTTATATCTTTGTCATATCTATGTTAGCTTATATTTACCAGGTAAATATAAGAGTATGGAGAGTTTATGGCTCCGACTCCGATTTTTAGCTTCGCCTTCATCTCCGGCTCTATATCGCATGCGCGTAGGTTTATTCCAATGTTCGTTTTAATGTAACAATTTAACACACATTATGCATGTACAATTTTTTTTTGTTCTTTTATGTAATGAAGTAGCGCCCGTTTTCATAATCTTACGATAATAATTCAATGGCAATTCTCATTTAACTTAAAAGCTGAAAAGTCATACATAATACATTAAAGACTAAATAATTAATTTATACACTGCATCCAAATATAGATACATTAATATACTCGTATGCAGATACCAGATCCAAACATACACATTGATGTCAATAGATAAACTCCAGCAAATAGATAATTTGTCGCGTAGCTATTTATGGACTCGTTTTTTGCTTTCAAATAAAATCCACCTGCGAACAACGACTGGGATGTGGATGTGTCTGTGTTGCACTATCAAGTTATGTTATTATAATTTAGTTTGCTATGCATTTTTATCGTATCTAAGAATTTTTATTCTACGTGATCACATTGAAACTTTTGTTTTAAAAACGCTTTTAGGAGTTATTTTAAGATACATATTTTGTAATATATAACATATTATTTCTAGAAGCTTTAACAATTTGCAACGTACATATGTATTTACTATGAAAGTTTCCAAGTGGCATTAACCTGATTAAGATTGAGACATAATCTATCAATTAGCTACATATGTACATACATCTCCCATGAGATTTCGCAAGAAATATATCCCATGGCTTGTTTCTAGTATCGGCCAAAGCAACGGTAAGACGTATGTACATCAATTTAGGCAGATAAATCAATCAGATCATCAATCAATCAAGCATAGTCAAAAATAACTAATTCATTTTTTTACATTTTCCAGACGCTTTTAAGCAGCGTCATTCATTTATGTTAATCAATAACAATTGTAGCCATTGTAAGAGACGTTTAGAGTGGCTTGGCTGAGGTATGTATGTAATTCTGACTGAGTACGCTTACATACAAGTTAATTCATTCGATTGTGTTTGAGTTGGTTGGTTAGGTTCAAATTGTCTCTACTTCAACGCTAGTTGATTTAGTTAAACTATATTATAATACATAAACTAAAAAATACTAATACGTCATTCGCTAAATGCTACTGTGTGTGGGTGTTTATGTATATTATGTTTTTGTTTTTTTTCTTTTCAAGCTGAAACATTCACATATTTTAAGGTTTAGTTCTTTCGAACATTGCAAGCTTTTTAATTTTTTCCGTCACTTTTGATAAGCTCTTGCGTTGGTTAGGAGCCAAGAATGATGCACTCATCGCTTAAAATTTCTTAAATCGGCTTCTCTCCAATACCCTTTATTTAAGACTATTTGCAGATGTCGGTAGATTAATGTCGGCAGTGATTGGGTCGGACGTTTTCTTCATTTTGTCGCAGTAATCATTAAAAATATCACGAAAGCGTATCCAGCACTTTTCTGGGATAGTAATTGAGGTTCGAAAATTATTTTTCACCTATAACAAATAAATCAGATTTTTTAATGTATTATTGTATAATCAGTGCTAATACATACTTCACTTATCCGCATATAGACTCCACGATTATTTTGTCCAATATCAAAATAAAAGTTTTTATTATCGACTTTCATATGACGCTCTTCGGGCAAATCCCCTTTAAACCTAATGGAAAAATAAATATCATTGAAATATATTTATATTTTCTATTATCCATATTATATAATATCCAGATGTGGGTCCGGAAACGCTATTTTTTACGCTATTACTTTACATTGAGTAGAACAATGTTAGAAAAAAAGCCAAAGCAGGAGGTCAAACAAATGAAGTTTAAAAATAAATCATGTATACAATATACATATGTACATACATACATATGTACCTATAAATAAAATAGAATATATATTTTTACTTTACCCTCCATCATTAGCCCCAAACTCTTCCAGCAAGTCTGTAAGCGCATCTCGAAACTCGATCATTCCTTGAGCTGGTAATGCGATTTGCGATCGAGGTCCACCCCTTGTTATGGTTTGTGATACCTTCAAATTGGTATTGTTAGCCTATATTAGCCAATATTTGTCAACATAATACATATTACCCGAAGAAAACGACCGCGGGCATTCTCCTTCAGATCCAAATAATATCTTCTATAATCTTTGATCATCATTTCGGACTTCAATTTACCATCCTCCGGCAAATTGTCTGTGTTCGGAGGGCCTGTGTTTTGACCAGCTTATTATTAATAATTATTTTATTAATTCCAAAATAATCTAACTAAAACAAAAGAAAAACGTAGATTCGGCTGGCCGATGTTGAAATACCCTTGCAGAATCCAAAAACTTATCAATTAAGAATTAACAATTGCAACTACAATATTATTTTTTGCTTAGAACGTTTGCTTTCATATCTCATTTTCTTATAACACAACTTTCAAAAAAGTTTTTTTATACTCCACATACATATAGATGTGTATACATATAGATATAAGTGTGTGAAGCAATGCTTTGCGGCAGTACCGCGCAGCCTTGCCCTATTAGTCCCCAAAACACTGTATGAGACCCTAAAATCTTTAATTTAATTTAAGTGTAGCATTAATAAAGAACTGAATACAAAAAAAAACATAGATATAGATATAAATTTCTCCAATAACCACAGTGGACTATAAAAGGGACAAACGGACGGCCAAATCGATATAATCTTTAAATTTCTCAATAGAAAAATAATGCGACTAGTTTCGACACATTTTTATTTTGACTACCGCAAGATTATTTTTATAAATTGTAAGTTCTTGTTCACTCTGCAAGGGTACATCAATAATTTTGTACCTAGTGATGCATAGTAATCACTAAAGGATGATAAGTGGTCGCGAAATTCGGCTGCAGTTGAAAGGGCCAAATATATTTGACTTCGTCTGCCATCAGCACCAATCTGAAATTAATAAATATTCCTTAAGTACAAGTATAACCAATTTGCATTCTAGTGTCCAGACTGTACGAGAATACGACACTAGTCTGGCCTTTGCTATGTCAGATATAAAAAAAGTATTCTGATATTTATCAAATTTGTGCCATTTTATACTGATACTTGTTGATTATGTTGAGAAGGAGATTGATTGACTCTGGCAGATTATTGAAATGTTAGCTTTTTTATCTTGTCGAGACAGAAATTATGTGCGTTTCATGTTTGTAGTTTACACACGATTTTTATCGTTGGGTAGTCCGAAGTGATCTTAATTTGTAAGATTATGTATGTGTATATAAAGGGACAAAATTAAAATAGCCTTTTTGTTGGTCTATCTTAGCGCAGGACCGCTGTCTTGTTTAGGTGTAGATTAATGTACATTTAAAGAAAGAAAGGAAAATTTGACTATGACTTTTCGTTTTTGATTTTACCTCGGCTACTTTAATAAAACGCCCGCGCCGATTTTGTTTTACATCTAGATAGAATCGCTTTGATTGTATTTGAAGCATCTTTGTAGCCAGTTCCTGTTCCACTGTTCCGCCACCTTTAAGGAAATAGGAGTCATTTAGAATATTTCGATGGTAAAAACGCAGTAATCGTTAGTCGACATATGTACCTTTGCCAGAGGAATCGAAATCGTTTCTGCTTGAGGAACCCTCCATATTAGCGACATTATATTCTAGAATAAACAGTAGGGGAATGTTGGTCAGTCCACAGGCGACTCACTCGCTTCCGCTTCCACTTCGACATACTTGATCCTCCTGAGATGCCTTCATCTCCACTTCCAAGATCAGACATTACGAAATACTGTCAATGAACAATTTTTAGCTTGGTAAGTTTTTGCGTCTATTTCGTTTATTGACACTTTCGCTCTTTGATTCAACTTCAACCCGTCACTGCTCAATCCGTAGCCTACTATGAAAAAGTATATACATGCGTGGTTGATATTCATATGCAAGTATGTAATGCACGGACACAATTGAAACATAAGGGAATGGGAATGAGCGTAAATTTATTCTCTCTTGTACATATGTATGTATGAATCGACATCAGCTGTTAGCTTTTCCCTTACACAGGCAAAAACCTTGAACGTTTTCGCAATTGCATGTGTACGACCATCGTACATATACATATGTATGTATGAACATGTAAGAGTATGTGTGCATGTCATATCTGTATGTAAATGTACTTTTTCACTTGCATATGATTGTTAAGATTGATTAATTTAGTGCAGAAATAACCCAAACTTTATATAATTTAATCACAGCAAACGCCAGAACTGTGACCAACATTTAACTTGTAATGTTCCTACGTACACTACACCCACACATAGATACAATTTCGAAAAATTTATTTTTGCATGTGAGCTTAAGTATAGGTCTGGTTGATTATATTATAAGCATGTGTGTTTAATTCTGTGGACTTTGGTCTTGAAATGAAACATGAAATGCAACACTTTCATTTGAATTATTTTTTCAATTCAAATAAAATCACAAATACGTACACACAAACACACACACACACACGACTTTTTCACGACCGACAGAAATGTAAAAACCTCTCGTGCGGTGCGTTAGTCAACACTAAGACGATACTAATCGGCCGTGAATTGTTCGCTAGTCAGCACTGTGAATACCCATATTAATCGGCAGGTCCATTGACTACATGGGAGTAGAAGAATGTATGAAAACTAGGTACGTATGTACGTACAAATTTCAAAAGAAATGCGTTAAATTCTTTGTCAAAACGACTTCTTTTTACGGGTGCATCAAACGGGTAGTCCAAGCCCTCAAAGGGGCCCTACGCAACCATCCATTTGGTGAACCTCCTTTTTTTCACGCCCTTACTTTTTCCATTTGATATACAAACTTATAACTTTTTCTTGGTTGGATTATTATTATTTTTGTTGTTGTTAATTTTCAGTGGCTATTATTTTTGTATTTGATTATTTGAAATTTTTTGTCTTTAGCCTAGTACTCAGATCGAAAAAAACACCTCGCGAAAAGAATCAGGGTTGATATTCGTATGAAACCGATAAGAAAATTTTTACGGAAGGCAGTACTCAGATCAACAAAAAAAAAAGGTCGGTATATACTGGAAAAGTATCCGAAGTATTTGCTGGTTTTTTTTGGTATGTTTAGACCCACCTCGAAAGTTATATCAAGTTGATATATTTTGCCAGCAAACACAAAGCAAACATTGGAATATGAGAAACAAAAAACAAAACGAAATATTTAAATAATGAAGACAAACAGAATCTAATTAATGCAGTATTATATGAATGACAATTATATGTATATTATAATATATTATTTTTATTCATTTTCATGAATAAAAAACATATATTGCTTTCAAAACATTCTTCACGGTGTCCGGCCCGGGCGGCGTCGCCGCTGATAGTGAGACACATTACCTTGCCAATAAAATATTGGGGAGCCCAGGATATGCCTGGGGAAGAGCGGCACCAGCCGAAAAAAATGCATTTTATGAACTTTAAACAAAACCAAGCAGCTGTCTGAACAGTTTAACCGTTCGGAATGCAGTGCACACCTCTGGTCACACCACTGGCCGCTCGAAGAATATAGGAAATTTGTTGCTAGCAAACAGTTTTTGGATCTGAGTAATAGGCTTTACCAAAAGTTTCGGTAGGTACTATTGTAGAATAGAGTTGAATAGTAAAATATACCGAAATAATATACCCAGGAATATACCGAGTGCCCTAGTATTATACATATATACGTGAATATAGTTATCGATACTTTTTAAAGATATTTTTAATAAAATCCCTAAAAAATCTTTAAATATGAGAAAACGCGTTAGGTACAACTCAAAAATTCGTGTTTAAACTTAAATCACAATCAAAAGCTTTTTCGTCTTTCAATTTGCGGCATTTAGTGGGTGGTGACGGTTCGTGACGGTTCGGGTTTTATTGCATGAATAGCAGCTAAAAAATATACATACATCATATTCATAGTTTTGTTTTGATTCGCGTGATTGTGATTCCCAGCAATCTACAGTTTTGTGTATAACAATTGTGTGTGTGTTTCTGTTGTATAACAATTATCAAAATTTCACCACATTTATACTACTCTGAGTTGTATGGGATTTAATGTATGTACAAACATATATACATACATACATATCTATATGTATACATACATATGCATACATGAAAAACGAAACTGAAATTATGCACTGGAATTATACAAAACAACGCAGCACAATAACAGTAACAGTGTAACAATAGCAGGCTCTATACTAAACTTACCCAAATACAAGTGAAACGTGAGTACATAACTATGTACTACTCGCATGCATATTATGTAAATATATATCTACACAAATACTTATTTCTGCTGCTCCTGCTCTTGCTCTCCGTTTTGCATCCAAAAGCGAAAAGCACCGTGAAAAGCGAAAACAGAAACATCGCTAGCGAAAACCAAAAGACAGAAATACATGCATGTGTACATAATATAATAAAATACGAGTACCGTACCGACTCGCTGCTAGTATCTTTATCTTTTATTTTTGTATATTTTCTGTGTGTTTGTATCCAATCCGCGGTACATATACATAGGTACATACATATGTAGGTAGGCACAGTACATAAATATGAATGTACCGAAAAAGAATATGTACGTATGTGACTGCGTGTGCACATACATACATACATATGTATAGCATGCGAATAACGCGAAAATTTCACAATCGATGAATTGGATTGGCTTTAGTGCTGTTATGCTGTTATGTTAACCTTATCTAATTTATTAGTTCGATCTAATAGTGTGTAGGTTAAACTTTGGATCATTTCTCATTTCTTGAACATTTTTTGACTAATGACGACAATCGTAAGTAACACTGTCCGGGGATGTATATCCATACATATGTATGCATATACTTACGTACATTTAGGCGCATGAACCGGTTGAAACATTCATGTACATATGTATGTGTACGTACTGCTGGCCGAAACTGTTTTACTAAACCGTTTTAAGTATGGCAATTGGGAATTTACATCTGCACACATGTGTGTGTATTTACATATGTATCGATCAATTGATATCTCTGTCTACAGATCCAGCACAAATGGCGCGAATTTGAATGATGTGTGTTAGTGTACGCTACTGCCACTATTCCAGTATCCAGTCGCTATCAATTTTCCATGATGTTTTCTGGAAATACTGGCCTGCACGGGCCTGCTGGACCTGGCCAGCTCCAGCTCCCCATATTATCCCAGCCAAAATCACCCGCCCCACCCCATTCCAGCCCCCGCATTGGATGCAACTGTTTTGTTCTTGGTTCGATCTGTGTTAGCTTTGCTGCTGCTGACTCTCTCGGACTGGGTCTGACTCAGTTCTACTCGTTGCTTTCGGGGCTCTTTCGTGACAGGGATACGTTGTACATGTGCACGAATACGTATGCGATACACCTACATGCATATACATATGTACTTTGGATAGACAGGGTGCCCTACGTTATTGGTCCCACGCTGTTGGACAAACACACAAGCAAGAGTGCAACTGTGATTAGCTATAGTTGTAATTTTTACTGCTTGTTACAACTTGATTTTTGGTCTATTGCACCAATACCATCGTATTAGAACCATACCATCTAGGCAATGTGTCAATACTAAGAAAAATGGTAACTTTAGTAAATGCTAAATATTGTATGCGCACATATCATATGTACATATATTGTTTAGTATGAGCTTGTTTTTGGTGTCGAACCCTGTAATTCTGAATAACTGTACACACAGCCCCACACATGCACACAGCCACACAATATATGAGCTTTTTCGTCAGTGCGTACTGGTTTGGATGTTGCTGTTTCTGCTGCTGCTGCTGCTACTGCTGTTGTTTCTGTTGTTGTTGCTGACTTTGCTAAACTTTCTGGTACAGTAGTTTGGACACACATGTACAAATGTAGGTACATACAGTCGTACATAGCTACATAAGTGCACATATAGATATGTACATATGTGCAAAAGTATATGCATAACTTGCCATTGCCATTTTTCGCTTCGTTGCATTTTGGGGGATTTGCTTAAATATTATGTGTATGCATATTTCAATCTTTATACGTTTGTACGTAGTCCTAGGTACATACATATTTGTAAATAACTTGTAAGTTATTGCTAAACAACCGTAATGATTGTAGATTAACTCTATGGATGGATGCAACTATGGATACTTTCTGTAGATGTAAATACATCTTGTGTACATATAAATACTCTATTTATGTACATATGTATGTATGTATGTCATATTATTATAGCCTCAATAGCATAGGAACGAGGAATGAGCTCTTTGAATATCCCCAAATCCAGCCTTACTTTAGTATAGCCCTCTCGCGAAGGACATCGATCTCACTTTCCATATGAGCGATCAGTTTTTCAAGTCGACCTTTCTGTGACCAACGCATTACATGTAAGTTGTAGGTGTTCATTGTATGTACATAGGTATATGTATAGTCTTCGCTTTTATAAGCAGCCTTTTTAAATTTAGGTACTCTCCGGGTTACGGTATGTCAGTCTGTCCGTCCGTCCGTCCATCTTGATGAGCGCCTAGATCTCAGTGACTATAAGAGCTAGAGCAACCAAATTCTGTTTCTAGACTCATGTGATATCACACTTTTACAAGTGTATTTCGAAATTTCACCCCGCCTCCCGATTCACACGTTTCTTCTCGTTCTTGCTGAAATTAATCCGATTTTTACAACTATGATATGGTAGATACAACTGGTTTTCGGAGATTGGTCTAACGATTAAGCTAATGATGCTAATAAAGAATCCATGTACTATGTTTGTACATATGTATGTATCTATGTATAACATCAATTTTTATTGGGTGGAGAGTAAACGAGAAGGAACGTGCGAGTACTTGCGAGTACTTATACCCGTACTCAGTCGGCATATACATTTTTGAGCATATAACTTTTTAGAATTTTAGAATTAAAAAAACATTTTAACATTCTAAAATGTATATTTTACATCTAACATGTAGATTATAGATGTACCATTTATATTCTACATCTCCGCTGCGGGTTGCTCGCTCACTGAACAAGGCAGAGTGTGCGAGCGAGAAAGAGAATGAATAGCGGATCTCTGGCTGAAGTACGTGGGGGAAGCAACTGAAAATTAATTTCTTCATTATGGCTAAATTTATGATCCGATCTGATTCAGATTCGGCAGTCTGGTAGATATGGTCATTCTCTACGATACTGCGTTTTCAGGGTTTGTAGGGGCGGAAGGGGGCGGGGCGAAATTTTGAAATACACTTGTAGCAGTGGGATATCACATGAGTCTGGAAACCAAATTGGGTTGCCCTAGCTCTTATAGTCTCTGAGATCTAGGCGCTCATCGAGACAGACATCGACCCATTCACTTTTTTTGATTACGGATATAAAAAGAAAAAAAAAAAAAATAATGCTTATAATAATGATGAACCTGCTAATACTGTAACACTGTAGTACTGTATTTTGAGAAAAATAACACAAATATAATATGTTTGTTTGAAATCCAATCTTTTCAGTCGTAGATTTGACGTGTCTATACGTAATTCAACTTATTCGGCACGAATAACTACTATATAAAGCCATGAGAGGCGCACGGAAATTCATGTGATCCACTACGAAAAACATATACGAGTAGTATTAGAAGGCTTAAATAAATATCGACAGGTTCGTGATGGAACCGGGATAGAACGATTTAAAACCACAGTTTTATATATAAATGGACGTTTAATAACAAGGAGATGCAAGTGGAAAGTTTATTGCCAGAGAAGATCCCACTGATAAGTAGTTCCTTTACTCATTCGCCTAAAGTAGCTCCAATAGTCTTAAGAATATTGCCAAGGCAAGAAAATATTTCTTTCGCTGGTCAAGAAGATTTAATTAGAATCCTGCAAGCAGCTCTGAATATTGAAATGGCCTCAACTGAGGATGGCAAATTGGGTACGACAACAGACACAGTGATTGCGACAGCGGCAGCATCGAACCCATATCAAAGTAGTTCAACCAATGGCAACGCCAGCAAGGGTGCCGGTTCGAATAATTGCAAGCGCCAGAAGTTTTGCGGTCTGGCTGAAACCACTAACAGAAGCGGCGGTGATCTTAATGATCCCATCTCCATCCAAGCTCCTGGCGTGGAACCGGATAAGAGTGTAGGAGACAGCGAAGGATCCCAACATCAACATCAATCTGGCACCGTCGATAAAGCACAAGCACAAACACCGTCAGTTCCAGTTCTCGATAGCTCCAGTAACTGTGCGAGCAGTAAAAGTCCGCAAAAGATTGGCGGATATGAAAACGATCTCTATATTGCCCCGGAGCAGGCTCTGGTTACGAGCGTAGAGTTGGTAGTGCCAGCGCCACAGACAGCGGCTGTGCGGCACTCTGAGGAGCCGTGTTCAGTGTCAGTGGGAGACTCAACTCTGATCAACAGCAACAAACTGCAGTACAATTCGGGTGCTCTTTATAGCACGGGTTCCTCCAATACGACAAGAATTTTGGCAAATGATAAAATCGATGGTTGTGTAAATGACTCCTCCAATTTGAATGTAAGAATTCCTACTAATTTAGCATTAGCAGCAGCAACGGGTGATATTTTGCTGGCCGATCGAAGGGCATCGATATGGGCTCCACATGATGAAGAGCAGGAGCAAGCCACAACGCCAGAGACAACGGCACCAGGCGACACCAAGCAGGGATCTGTGAGTGTAGGCTCAGAGCTGCCTTATCGCACGGTACAGCAGCAACGTAACTCTGAACTGTTGCTTCAGATCGAGAAGGAAGGCTCTGGAGCAGTTGAAGTACTTCCATTAGCCCTGCAGCATCATCACGATAATTTGACACAGGTCCAATACGGCCAACAGCAAATTATTGATAGCCAGCTTCATAGCAATATGTACGCACAAATGATGCAGCAACAGCAACATCACCACCATCAACATCAACAGATCATTCATGACCAAAACTCCCGACATCAGCAACATGCAAGCTACTCCAGCTATAACCCACATTTTCAGCATTCTGAACTCTTTGGAGCACATCAAAGTTCTGATCATCATCATCAGCAACAGCAACAGCTCCCACATCACATGGAGTGTCATGGGCATCTGCATCAGCCGGCTCCTATTGCCCAACAACAGCAGCAACAGCAAATACACGAAGCTTATCACGATCTCATAATGGATGATTTTCACGAAGATCCCAGCTCCGCGTACAAATTGTAAGTAATAAAAAATATTCAGTATTAAAATCAGGTATAATAATACTCTGAAGTACTAAAGAATTTTTTATCGGCAACACATTATATTTTTGTGCCATTTGTGCATTATTCCATTCGGTTGATTCATTTTTGCATTCAACTTTTACAGAACGCTCTCTCCTGCTAATGCGAAGCCGGAAAATCAAGACGATGGCTACGAGACTAGTGCTGGCGATGTTCTGACTCCCAATTCCCACAGCTCGTCCACACACTCAGTCACACCACAGCATCAGATGCAACACCCCAACATTGGGCTAATGCAACAAAGTCAAAACAAAACGGAAGAGCTGGTGTCCTCCCAGAGTACAGTATCCGTTGCCGTTACCGCTGCCGGCCCCTCGGCTTCTAGCACCAATGGCAATCAGGCACAAGCTCCTCCGAACCTGCCACATCTTTCAATGGCTCATAGCCAGAGTGTTAGCTCCCGAGGTTCCAATGCTAATGCTGTTGGTGTCGATCCATATAGCTTCATGGGCGAGGAGATGCGCATGCTTTCCCCTGTTAGTCGCCATATAGAGGACGTCGCCTCAAATACGGGCAGCTATGCAGCCGTACCAGCGCCAATTTCAGTGCCAAGTGGAAACACAGAGTGTTCCAGAGGGGACATATATCAACATCCACAACAGCACCTGCACAACAGCGAGCCTTACAATGACACAGATAAAGTAGAGTCCAATGACAACTCTCTCTGCGGGCTGCCCTCTAAGCCAACTCCGAAGAAAAGAGGTCGAAAAAAGAAGCTTATAACTGAGGGGGACGCAATGCAAATGTCTGCATCCGTTTCTCAACAGGGGTAAGTACTGTCTGAAATGCACTTATACATTTGCCACAGGCGTAAGAAATCATGTCTGGCAACCGCGGGTATTACCCATGCATATTCTGATATCGACTTTTGCTCAACAGAAACTGTGCCACTAATTCTGGCTGTGATGATGCTACTGGCGATTCACTACTGGGAATGAAGCCCAAGGAGCGCAAGAAGCACGACAGATTCAATGGCATGTCCGAGGCAGAGGTCATTAAAAGGACTATCCCAGACCATCTATGTGATAACCTCGATATCGTTATAGTGAGTTGTAAATTTCGGATAAAATGCGATCACCCTATTTACCAAACCAGTCTATGATCGAGACCCATTTCTGAAACCTTCCACTAACATTTGGCAGGTCGGTATAAACCCTGGTCTCTTTGCGGCATACAAGGGACATCACTACGCTGGACCCGGAAATCATTTCTGGAAGTGCCTGTACTTGGCTGGACTCACGCAGGAGCAAATGAGCGCGGATGAGGATCACAAGCTGCTTAATCACGGCATTGGCTTTACAAATATGGTGGCGCGTGCCACAAAAGGCTCGGCTGACTTGACCAGAAAAGAAATCAAGGAGGGAAGCCGCATTTTGCTCGAAAAACTGCAAAGATTCCGCCCCAAAGTCGCCGTTTTCAATGGCAAACTAATATTCGAGGTCTTCTCGGGTAAAAAGGAATTTCACTTTGGTCGTCAACCTGATCGTGTCGATGGCACTGACACTGTGAGTTATTATCTACCTACTATAGAGTAACGACTGTACATTAGGATCTGATTTAAATGTGCATTCAATTTGTTTATTACTTTCCTATTGAATTTCCCGTACTCAAACACTTTTAATTATTCAATTCATTTTATTGCAGTACATTTGGGTGATGCCCTCATCATCAGCACGATGCGCTCAGCTGCCACGCGCCGCAGATAAAGTTCCCTTCTATGCGGCGCTAAAGAAGTTTCGTGACTTTCTGAATGGTCTTATACCCAACATTGATGAGTCGGAGTGCGTATTCACAGATCAGCGCATACGTCAATGCAGTGAGCAGCAGCAGCAACAGCAGCAGCAGCAGACAGAAGTCAGCAGTACAATACAGTCGCATGTCGATCAGCAAGCTGGCTTGATATTTGTCGATGGAGGTGGTGGTGGTTGTGCTAGCGAAGGCGGAAGCGTTGATGGTCCAAGCCAGATGTCTGAGAAACTATTGCCACATATGACACCTAATGTGCCATCCCCTAACAGTGTAAATGAACGTGGAACGTTTGCATATACTGGCGGTGATAATACTATAAGAAATCCCCCAAGCACCACTACCATTGGGGAAAACAGCTATTTGTTTGCACATCAGCAGGCGTTATCACAGCAGCCGCAAGAGAAAAAGAAACGCGGCAGACCCAAGAAGGTGAAGGGGCAAGAAATGACTGATCCTTCCACGGGAAGCAAAGTCACAATGAATAGTCAACAAATGGCACACCACGACTTTAATAATATTATGAATCTTTCCATGATTGCGGGTGGGGCCAATCCGGAAATGCCCAAGAAAAAGCGGGGCAGGCCAAAGAAGCTAAAGCCCACAATGGATAACATAATGCCAGCCAAACAGCAGCAGCACCAACATACCAACACAAATACCAACTCACAGACAGCCGGATTGTCTGCAATGCACCCGCTCTCGATGGAGCATATTGCATCATCGCCACAGAGCAACCATCAGATGCCGCCCAGTCTGTACAATACGCCGCCACCTTCGCATATATTGTATACAGCATCGGCGTCGCCAATGGCATCCCCAGCACTGAACTGCAACTACACTCAAGTACACGGACATGGAACTCCGCCAGTGGGCCAGTCGGCTTCTGCTGCTCATGGTACGCCACCTATTCTTGATCAGCAGAATGATCTCATGTTGTCCCAAAAACAGAGCCAGCCAATGGGAATGGGCATCGGCATAAGAGATCAACCGCACTTGGGCGAAACGCCGCCGCCTAATTCTCCGAATATGTGCACCGTGGTCGATTTCGATCAACCGGAAGATAACTCTAATGGCCAAGGGCGGGAGCAGAACCAAGGGCAGGCACAGGAGCAAGGACTCGGCATGGGGCAACAGCAAACGCAAGTCGTGGACAAGGCCCAATATGTTAGTCCAGGCCATGAAGCCGATGCGAACGCAGTACATTCTCAGGATCATTATCAGCAGTGGATTTCGCCACATACGCACCAAGGCCAGAAACCGATTCTCCAGCAGATGCATCAGCAGCCACAGCCATTGCAGTACCATCAGGAACCGTCGGAGCACTGGCAGCGCTATGAGGAGCAAAATCCCTATTTGCTAATTTCTCCCCACCATCAGCTGGAGCAGAGTCCCCAACTGGGAAACATGCAGAGTCAGAACCACAGTACATCTGTCCAAATCGGTTCAGACGTCGCACGTAAGAGCTTGTCAGGCTTAGAGTCGCTGGTTGATCAAATTCCCGCTATCAGAGAGCATGAGTCTAGCACCATACCACCAGCAACGGCCGCAGCTGCGGCTGCTGCTGTTGAAAGTCGATTATTGGGGCTACAACAACAGCAACAGCAGCAGAAACGTTGCCACCAGGACAACACAGTACAGGTGGAGTCCTGTAGATCTGCGAACGACGGCAGCAATGTACTGAATAATAATTTTTCTGTTAGCAATCTCGCTGCCTCTGCTGCGACAACGGACAACGTAACTGCATATAATAGCAGGGCAGACAACCGTGGCAGCAGCGAAAGTAGTAATAATAATCACAACAATTGCAGCACCAGCAATGAATATGCCATCCATAGCCCCACCGGTTATCCGCATCATGCCACACATTTGATCACAAGCGCGTTGGGAGCAACAATAAATAGTCCGGAACCGCATCCACATCCGCATCCACATCCACACCCACATCCACACCCACATACACATCCGCATCCACAAATGTATATGGATCATGCGCACATTAGCAGTCATATGGCTCATATGTCACCAGTCAATGTGAATTCAGTGTACGCGCCAACAGCATATGGATCACATCCCCAACATAGCACAGGTGTTCCAAGCGAATATGCTGCCACTCATGGCCACTACGGCCTGGGCAGTCCTGTGCAAGCTACAGGGCCAGGCAGCACAACCACATTGCATGTGCCAAGTCCAAATTATCCATATGCCCACCATCCTTATAGTCACACACCGCCACAGGCAAACTATCCAACTTATGGTCATCCTCATACTCACCATAGTCATCCAACGCATCATCTCAGCGTCTTTGATCGTCTCAAGCCGTCCGACATAAGCGGATACGGAGGTTTCTGATGGAAGCAAACAGAACCAGAACAACATCAGCAGAAATTGGCGTAACTAGAATCACAACGATACGAATAATGCGGCTCGATGCGAATGTGAATCGTAGGGTACAGCGACAGCTACAGCGCTTTTGCGTCCCGCCGCATCTCAGCAATATTTATCAATCTCCGGCCTTGCCGATTCTAGTTTAAGTAACCCTTAGATTTAATAAGTAAGATAACCAAAGACTTCGCCTAATAGATTTTTCTTTGATGTAGCGTTACATACTAAAATTGGAAAAAACAATAATAATTAAATATAATAATGATATAAATTATATTATATACGTAAACGAAAATTAAATTTGCATAGTAACAAAACATTTGTTACTCGAACTTTCAAACAGTTTGATAATATTCCTCTACTAGAGCCTTGCATGAACCGACACTAAAGGATACATTATAAGCAATGTGAAACTAACAACCATTCGCTGTCGCAGTATGATCCAATGATCCGAATCCCCTAAACGAAACTTTAAATGGCGTCTAGTTTCAGGGCAAAATTAAACTACCTTTACAAGTAATATAAAATGCCTTTGATTTATGTATTTTTTTCCAACATTAAAACCAACGAATTTAACTTTTTTATTAAAAAATGGGCCTGAAAATCTTTATTACAACCATAGCCCGCCATTTTTGTTATGTTTAGGTGATAAGTATCAAGACGGTCAAAACAGTGATAAAAGTGTAGCAACTGCCTTTAATATTGATATAATAAAAACTAACAGTAGATTTATGCATGGCTCTTATAAATACATACAAATACGTACAAATATGAAATGCGAATATAAAAAAAACGAATACTCATGGAAAATCGTGACCATTTTAACTTGTTTAATGAATAATTTCTCAGTGCTGATGTTTTTAAAATACCATCTTGTAATTTCTGTATAACAACTGTTGCTGTCAATAGTATACCGTCACGAATTTTTAACGGAAATTGTCACAAAGCAAGACACATGTTTATGTTTTCATATACATAAACTAGGATAAATAGTGGTAATATCCAGTACTAACATGTACATTACAGCATTCAATTATCTATTGGGTAACCAAGCAACGAGATCGAAAATAGGAGTAGCAGCTACTACCAATGTCAATGTACATAAATACATACTACTACATACATATGGATGTATATTAAATGATTATTGATATACTCGTATAATGTATATGCATGTACCCTAAGTGTCAATGGGAAAAATGATCTACTAGGCATGTATGTATGTTTGTGCACTGTGTCCTACTAATAACTATTAAACTTAATGCATACATGTGTGCACACCGCGAATTTAAATTTAATTACACAATGTTAAAAGTTTATAAGCAAAGGATTTATGTACTTTACATAAATTTTTTTGTATTTTATGTATTTCTAATATTATTTAAATATGTATTAATGAATGTTAGCAACGCATTACTACAACAATAAAATCAGTTTTTAAAGGTGCAATCAATAAACAGTATACCTAGACTATTCAACGGAACACCAACGTAATATTTTGAGCATCTGATTTGCAACTTTAAAAATAAATCAACTATTACCACCATAACGCGTATATTTAAAGATAGACACAAATTTAAAAGCTTCCATACAAACTGCTTAAAATAATATATATTTTGTTTAACAATCAAAGTCCAAATTATATGAATAGTGAAAATTATATATTCTTCATTGTTTTCTATGATAAAAAATACACATGTCCGCGTATGTTCTTATTATAACTATTTTAATAGTTTATTTTAAACAATGAAAGAACTGTATTCTCATTGCAATACAATATCCAGATTCATGATAGTATCATGCTGTGATAGTTATTGTCGAAGACTATTGCATTACAACTTAACGATCACTGTTTAGGCTGAATAAATGTAACTCTGTGCTAAAAAAAAAGATGAGGCTAGAAGGCTAATAAATGAAGCCTATACAATAAGAATATTTGTGGGTCATTTTCCACTGAAATGCGAAGATTTCTTTTGGACAACTATCGTTTTAAACTGTCTTAATATAGTTTATTATACGAAAACCGCATTACTTGGTAGTTTGTTCGATTAGACATTTCGCTATGTACTGTCGTAACTGGAAAACAAATCAGTACATTTTAAATTGCAGAGCCATATTACAATATGGAAAACGGTTCGTCATTTGTTACTAGAAATGTCTTTTTATATATATATATATATATAGTATATACATACATATGTATACCAATATTAACATATATTCATAATATTTCTGACAATTTCTGGTGATATGTAGGTACATATCAAAGTGCGACTAGTACTCGCAAGCTCGAACGCTGACATATGTACATATGCATATATGTACATACAAAATTATTTTAGCATAGAAAATTTGTGCCAACACATCGATCGTATTTTCACTGTGCTGTTGCAGATTTTGTAATCTATGAAATATTGAATACTGAAGAACTAGTGAATTTCAAAATTTGCCTCTCATAAAATATTATTACAGTTTGTTACTGCAATTGTAATTTTCATTGTAATTTTTTTCATTTCTGGAGACTTTTCAAAGATCACTGTCTCCCATAAAAATAAGTACATTCGGTAAGCTAAGCTAAGCTTTTTCTATATGCCGAAATAGAGAAATTATTGATGGCATGTCGGGAAGTTTTAGGAGAAGGGTTTGAAGCATAAATAATTAAATAGGCATTCATACTTATGCTTACTTATATAATTGTGACATAAATACAGAAGTAATACGGAAGACTGTGACGAAATGTGTATATTGTGTGTAATAATTAATTACTATTTATATATATTATAAAGTAATACTAATGTACGTATGTATATTCTTATATATGTATATTCTAATATGTTTTACTAAGATAATATTTCACATCTACGTGTTTTTTTGTTTGCTCATTATAGACAATGCAAACACTTTCTAGGGCATAATAAAGCCTTAAATGGTTTATATTTTCCTTAAATGAATGTAAGTATTGTACATGATGATTTATGTTGTCTGGCCAAATAGAAACAACTATAGCATTAGAGGCTAACAATGTGAGGCATGCTTGCTTTAAGATTTGGCCACGGAATATTTTTTGGAAACCTACGGCCTGGCGGAGTGTCAATATTCAGAGCTGAACCCTTTAATATTCTAATTTCTTAGATGTTGATAAAAGGTTTGCTTAAATGGTCTGATAAAATGATTAGTTCATGCCGTATTAGGTTGTTAAACCAAACCGACGCTTACAATTTAGCGTCCGCCGAGCTCTAATACTCGAATTCTATAAAGACGTTCGATTCTCTCGATATCTAATTGATTCTCGCAACTGCGGGAACTGCCAACAGACAGTTTGCTCTTTGCCAAAGTGGGGTCAGAGTGATGGTAAGATTTTGCAGTTGGAGATCAGAATTGGGCAGTCGTTCGCTCTTAAGCTCGCTTGGCTCGCAAAGGAACAAGTGCATTTAAAAAATTTTCTGCGCCCGCTACTGTCTAGCATCCACAATTTTAAAGAGCGAACCGAACGCAGAATCAAAGAGAATGTCCATATCTACAAGATTACCGAACCTGAATCATTAATATAGCCACAATAATGAAAACAATTTCAAGTGGCTTTGTCTGCCAAGCTCTTTGTAATCAAATAGTTAATTATATAGAAAGACCATAAAAGAAGTGCAAGAACTAACATTAGAGTCATTAGAACATAACTAGCTGTCGTGGTTCCGCTCTTTCTCACTTTGTTTTTCCCATCTCTCATGACAAGTGCGAGCAAAGGTGAGAGAGATGATCGGTCGGTCTGGTTTGCTCGTTTCCCTCCTTACGAGCATCGTTACCAAAATACAGAGTGAGATAGAGCATGAGCGACTAATCGATAACGGCTTTGGCGCACTTGTTGAGGGTGACGACGTTAATTGATATCTGCCTTGGACCCAGCTCCGATCTCCGCCATCACAAGTAGACACTTGTTGATTCCCTTTCACGTCCTCGCCTATTTTGCTGTAGTGCTAATTTCTGAATCTTGTGAGTGCCCACAGATTAGGGGCAGAAATTTGCACGCCAACAGTGATGGCGGATCGTCTGCATTGGTCGTTACCTAGGTCAAGTAGCTCCCAGTAAGTGTGGTGAAATGACTACGACCCGACCCATAAAGTATATATATTCTTGATCAGCATCATTAGCCGAGTCGATATAGCCATGTCTATCCGTCCGTCTGTCTGTCTGCCTGTCTGTCCTTATTGATGAGCGCCAAGATCTCAGAGACTATACGAGCTAGAGCCACCAAATTTTGTTTCCAGACTCATGTGATATCACACTACTACATTATTGGCCTTTAGCCGCATATGCTTGTTTGCTACTAAATTCCATGTTATTATTATGTTCGCTTAAGCTTTGTTCTTGCTTGCCCTGCTAAGCGCTATCTCAAAGCCCGCTCTTCGTTACCCACGACTCTACGCTGTTTAAGGTGCTTCTAAACGATGCAGCGGCTGCACAAAAAGCTTTTATGTCAGCCACTACTTGCTGCACCTACCATAGAAGTACCGCAGAATGTTTTTGGGAATACTCACAGGTCACAGTCTGGCTGCGGCACAGGCATTCCAACAGTGGCAACGGCAAGAAATGCGATGAAACCGGGGCCCTCGAGACCCTGGAGCATCTTATCTGAAACTTCTCGGCTCTCTCACGGGCAAGGAGAAGATACCTGTGTGCCCGGTGCGATACTGTCATCACTGGCAGATGCCTCCAAGAGGACGCCAGGGGAACTACTTGCCTTTGCTAAAAATACCTTGGTCCTCAAGGACTTCGCAACCGCTTAAGCCCCCATCCGAATAAATAAGGCCCATTTCGGCATTTGCTTGGCCGCCTGAGGGCCGCCCGGGTTAGCCTAACATACCTATATTACATAAACGATACAGTTGCAGATCGAGCAGAAGAAAAAATAGTTATGTATATGTATGTTCATATCTTTATTTAGTCATAATTTTATAATATATGCACATCTTTTGCCATTCATTAAATATATAGGAACTTTATAAATATGTATTTATATCTTTCATTTTTGTAAGTTCTACTCAATTTTTGCAGCAACTCTGGTTAATACACATGTACGTAGATGTTTATATTAATATTACTTCTTCTTTTAATTCTAATAACTTCCCGATTCACAAATCGTGGATGTTGTATAGGATGTACTCAGATGTCTCTATGCAGATAGCTAGCAACGGTAAATTTGTATTAACACTTCCCTCCCATTTGCACACAAAATAATTTTGTAATATGACCAAGTCACGAAACAAAGCCCATTGAAAGCCCAAAGAAAGATGACTTTAAGGATTCAAAAACAAACAAAAAATATTGATGCATATACATTGTACATATGTACATATGTAATCTGAAGAAAAAGAACGAAAAAATAAATATATGTATATATATCTATGTGGGTATTAGAGAGCTGGTGAATCTTTTCAGAGGCTTTCGCTATGTAGGTATGTATATGATGATATGTCATATATATTTATGTATAAAGAGGATTGCAATGTAACATTTGATCTGATCTCCCCATATTATATTCTGTGTGTTGAGGATGGGGTTCACATGTATGTATGCATGAACGCACGGATGTTATATGTACATAAATATGTACCTACATACATACATATGTGGGGAACTTTGGCAAGTGTAATGGATTTTCCTCCGATTTTCACCGAAGGTTTTGCGAGGATTTCATTTCGTTCTAGTATCTGCATGTGTTTTTTAATTATAATAATATATAGGTATAAATATGTATGTATGTAATGCGAACTACAGCATGTATGAATATTTTTCAATTATTTCTGATACAACACATTTATTCTTTTTCAATACTGGCATTTCCTTACTCATAGTTTGTAATCTATTTAAAAGTGGCCTTCATTTAACACCATGAGATTGAAAAAATTGAATAAACAGACGCCCGCATTTCATATACATACATATGTATACTATATTATATATTTTTGTCTTAAAGTTAAAATAAAATATAGTTTCATTTCGTTTTGTTTTGTTTGGTTTGTTTTTTTTATATTAAATACTATAGGAACTTTTTAGTAAAGTTTTTCTTAGCTCTCGTAACATACTCTTACACTTAGTTTATACTGGGTGTACGTATGAATGTATGTGCAGGAGAGGGAAGGGAACAACTCAACTAACTGAATGTCAATACGATTTGTTAAGAAATTGAATCGGTCTAAAGCTTATCAAATCTGTTTTCATTTAGCTATTTTAGCCCATTTGTTTTTAAAATCTTTTTAACTAAATGGAAGGGCAGGAAGAATAGTTCAAACATATATGTATGTAACAGTATGATATTTATGTTGAGCTTTCCCACAAAAAGCTCAGATCTGTATTTGGAAGCCTTACAAAAAAAAAGTAATGTAATTGTGAAATAGTAGTAACCACTGCCTAACGTTTTTCTCTCTTTAGAACGTTTAAATAATACATAAAAAGTAAGTAGTAAATAGTAAATAATATTGTGATATTTAATAACAAATACATATTTAACAAGGATGCTCTCTGACAGGACCAAATAAGAGTCATTTTTCTGGCTATTATCCAACTATCGAACCCGTTGGATATGCAAGCCCCCCACTCATATACTCTAAATGCACATGACAGTATTTTAATGTTTTTTAATAGGAACTGGAAATTATTCGAAAGCGAATATTAAATCTTAATGTAGCTTTAGTCATAGAATGTGCTAACCATGTACATATGTATGTATGTACATACATATATGCATGTTTCGCGAAATAAATCATTGGCACATTTACCCTCAGCATTTTTAGGTAATAATAAAACAATAGTTCTTATTTTTTATTTTGCTCGTTTCGTTGATGCACACTTTCGAAAACTTGAATAGTGGGGTTATACTTTAAAGACTAAGCTTGTATCAGTTTTTGATAGGTGTCCAAAGGGACTTCGGCATGCCGAAGTAGCTTCTTAGTATTAATTGTATCCTTGTGACTATGATTATATTCTAAAATAGAAAACAAAGGCATAAAGCAATCAAATGCTAGGAACTCAGTTTGCGTCTCATTAAATCTAATGCTTTTGTTAAGTCATTATATGTATATGTATATGTCATATTATTTACTTTTGGTAGAAGCTGCCATGGCCTATAAACGTTTAACCTTCCATTGCTGCAATTATATGTATAAACTTTTCGATTATTGCTACATTTATATTTTGAATAGTTAGGAACACTTCCGTATCATTTTGCAATTCTTACTAAGGTTGAAGTACATAGGTATTCGTGAGATTTCTTATACATGTATTCATTTTTTAGTATCATGAAATGTCAAAAATTTCATTTATGTGTGTATTTCTATAAAATAGGAACTTTCAAGTTTGCATAGTATAGTTAATATGTATGTATGCTGGAGTGTAATTTCCTCCACATCAAGTGTTATCATCATGTTTCCTTTCCGTCCATAATCTGAATAGAATCTCATATTGATTAATGGGCTTGGAAAATGTTTCGAGAACAAAACTCACCTGCACACCAATCCTTATCCAGAATAACAAGATAATGGCAACCCTTCAGTTCATTTTCCACCTATAACTAATAAAAGATGCATTACTAACTTTATTCGGGATGTACATACATACAAATGTACATATGTATGTACATATGCATGTACCAACATACACGCCCATTAAATATGTAAGCTTGTGTGCTCTACTCCAACTGAAATAAAAAGTTCTCCATCAGCATGGAGAAGAAACAAAAAATTTTCAACAAACAAAAATGCAAACAATGAATAAAACCAAATAAGTAAAAAAAACGCAAATATGCAATGAATTGATTTGAATAAAATAAAAGATTTATTTTTGTACATGTTTTTAATATTGTATATAAATGTAATTCGGTTGTTGTATTTACTTTTGTCTATTTATTTAAATACATAATGCTAATTAAGCTATCAATCAAGTTTCAGTATCAAGTATCCGCAATAGTAGCACCAAAGGCTCAAACGGCATACATATCAAAATGTATTTTTGTAGACATACATGGGTAAATCTTCAAGATATTGGCATAGCAAGAGAGATAGAGAGAGCGAGAGAGCGTGAGAGAGAGAGAGAGGGGGAGAGAGAGGACCAATGCCAGTTGGTACCTTTGGGCGAGATTGAGGGAGAAAATGAGACAGAAAAAAAGTAGAGGTAGTACCATGTACTACAGTACATTGTACATACTAACGTTACACTTTTAGTGTTTTTATTAATTTACTCAAGTTGTCACATTCTTCCTTATTACATTTTGTAAATATGTACCTTCTTGCTGAATGTACGCACACCTAAGACTCCTTTTAAATAAGTATTTATATGCATAAAATATGTAGTAAAACTGAATGTGTCCTAATCCTACCTTTATGTAAATTTATAGTATAATTGTAAAATTTGCGAGGCGTTAAAATTGTATTCTATTCTATTTATAAGTTCGGTATACATACATATTACGATAATAGTGCTTGTTTAAAACAACATAGTTTTAGTCTTTGACAATGCCAATACATTTTCGTATTATATTGTACATGCTTAAACTCGTACAGTGCATTGCACTACTAGAAGATAGTTTCAAATGTATCGATTTCTCCTACACAAAGCTCAACGGCACAAAGTTATCGCTTACGAGTTTCTACCCAAATACTCGTTTTGAATTTTACATCTTACTGTCTTACTCCTTAAAAACAGACTGTAGGTATGGTATGCCTATCGAGAGTCCCCTATTTCTCCTACTATTCTAAACAATTAAATGCAAGATCTTCCTTACAAAGATTTCCATTTGAAAGCAGTTGGGGAGGCATGAACAAAGCAGCAAACAAATATTTTCAATTATACACAATTCATATTAAAAACGAGTATACAAACAAAATAAAAAGTAATAATGCTGCCACGTTTATAGGTAGGTAAGGGTGTGGCTACTGCTACTGGCTACGAAACTGGTTCAGATAGGTTAGATGGGGTCAGTAAGAGTAGAGTTTCTGTTATTATGTCGTCGTAACGTAACCCTTCTTACCGGTGATATGATTTCGGTTGAATAGCTGATGCATGAGATCCTGATTGCCACCGACATTTTGCACATCCTTACTCCCAACGTCGGCAGCCGAATGATGCTTGATATGGCCTTTGTCCTCGCAAGCAGCGGCGTCAAAGTTAAGCAGACAGTTCTCTTCTGGGAGCACATCTGTATCTGGGCCAGCACCAGCACCCGGCGTATGCGTATGCCGTTGTGTAGATATGTTAGCAGCGTTCGAAACAACGTGCTGTAACAGAAAAGCTTTTGATAGGCTGTAGAAGCGCTTTTCTCTATCCGAATCGTTATCGTCGCTGCCGCTGCCATTGCTATTTGCGTATAGCTCGGTGGTTTGTTCAAGAAGCTCCTTCATTTTGCATATATGCTCTACGCTAAAAGCGTGCTTTTGCATATTGACCTGTGTGACTTGGCAAAGCTGACAGTCCTGCAGATCCATGTCGTGGTCCTGTACGACGGAAACGCCCTTCCCCTTCAGGTCGTTGCCAACCTCTTTCCCACTGGAGCCGTCGTAGCTGTTGTCATCCGAAATATGCGAATAATGCCGCTGATTTCGAGATTTTTTGTCTTTGGCACGTGAATTTTGAAACCAAACCTGTAAGATCAATGTAAAAGTAAGAGTTTTTGTATTAGCCATATTTCTTATCATGCATATTCGAAATTGGGTGAGACTAAGGCCGCCGCCATGGATCTGATCTTCAGATCATAGTATAGCTCTATGAATATTATTTTTGCCGTCCTAGCAAATCAGCAAAATTCTTTCAATTCTTTGGTCCTTGTTGACGTTGCCTCTTGTCTGTTTCCTTGCAAACTAGTCCATCGGTTTGTAATCTATCTGACTGCTACTGGCACAGACAGTTGTGTTTTCTTCAGGCAGTATTACCATTGCGAGTATTTCTTAATGCTGTATATGAATGGAACATACATAGGTCGACGAACAAATGTTTGTGGGAAAAGCTAGTCTCTTTCTCAATATATTTCAACCGAAAGATACAAAAAAATCCAAATCGGACACCTACCATATCCTATTGTTTATATAGGAGTGTCCCAACTGCTATGAAATTTAAATCTTTACAAAATAGAGCACAGTTACGAACTGATTTGATGTACATGCATATGTACATATGTATGTACATAGTCCATATTCGTCTGCCTGTTTCCATTTACTCCATTATCGGGTATCACGTTCATTTAATTACCTTTATTGCCCTTTCTTCGAGCCAAGCTCGCCAAACTGGAGGTTTGGAAGATCAGTGGCTTAATCAATACGTTATTGCATGATGTCCCTGTCCCTCGCACACGTTTCACATTATTTTTGTTTTTATTTTACAGGATGCTCTTTTGGGATTTCATCTCACGGTTTCGATTTGTGTCTTTTCACTATATAATCAAATGAAATGAAATAAAAGAAAACATACAAAAATATATAAAATCATAATTAATTGGATGCATAAAAAAGGAAATTCTTAATAACAAAAAGAGGAAGGGTGCTCTGCTCAGATGTAGATTTTGTATTTTATCTGCAACAAGGAAGAAATGCTATCTGCGGAACGAACCTTTTTTATTATTTACATTTTAGTCTTGTGAAAATAATCCAAACAAAAGTGATAGATTTTAGGTGAATACGATAATGTGCGCATGTAGCACATACAATCCTACAATATATTTGTTTTCTCACGATGCAATCTTTTTTTAAATATGTAGCTCTGTCGATCCTGACTCAAATGATTTTACATTGATTCATCGTTAGCGCCCTGATCTTATCTTTTCTGATTTGTAGACCTTAGCCCTGGAAGAGTGCTCCTAAAATAGTGAATTATCTTGCTTGGCCTGTTACTGTGGTGGGTGTTCATTTAATTGGGCGATACAATGGGTCTTTTAATGTAGGTACATACATATAAATGGTTTTGTCCCAAGGGTTACGTTGTATTCGTTTCCGAACCATTTACATACAAATGCATATACAAAACTGCAGTTTAATTACTGTTGAATGCTTTTAGCTTACCTGTACTACACGCTTCTTGAGGTTTACTTTCTTGGATATCTCCTCGAGCATTTTTCGGCTGGGATTCGACTCGGATTGATAGCATTCGTACAAAAAGTTTAATTGCTCTGGAAGTATTGTCGTGCGTAGGCGCTTATTCTGCTTCGATGGGGCATTGACCGGAGACACCGAGGTTACGTTTTCCACTTCATGGACCTTGAGCGTTGAGGATATTTTAGCATCATCTTTCTGGCTAGCAGTGTCGTCATCGTTAAAAGTTAGAGTCTGTGAGTTGTTTTCAATCATGGTGGCATCCAAAAAGTCCTCAAGGTTTTGAAAGAACTGGGACTTCTCTTTGTCGTTTTTTTGTAGTGACCTGCCAAATAAAGATTTTTCATCCTCAGTGATCGACATTGAAGTGGGTGTCACTGCCGGCTGCTGATGGCCTCTGATTTCAATTGGTTGCGTCTCGCATGCCTCAACTCTAGCTGAGGTGAACTGAGCTGATTCAGATGAGCTCGAGTTGATATTAATGCTGTTGTTATTCAGCCTTTCCTGTTCCTTCTTGTCGTCGGCCAGCGCCAGCGCCAGCCCTTTTCCAAGTCGTCTCCTCTCGACGTTAGAGTGTTCCTGATGATTCTGTAATTGCTCCTGCAATTGTTGCCCCTCTTCTGGTTCGCCGATAACGTTCATGGTTTCATCCGCCGTCGCGTTCGGCAACTGCGACGACGGTTGGTACCCTTGCCCATCAGGCATCGTTTGGGGCGAGGCAACTAACTGAAAAAACTTTTTCGACTCATTAAGCTGATAGTATTGCAAAAGGAACTCAATTGTTGGCTTCTTGCTGGAGCTGAAAGTCTGTTGAGGCGGCTTCGTGTTCAACGATATTGCTTCACATTTGCGATAATATTGTAGCAAAAAGTCATAGTTGCTGACTTTTTTCAGCTCGCTCTGTTGATAGAAATTAGTTAAAAACTCCAATTCAAAATCCGTTTCATTTCCTGGTTGCTGCTGATGTTGCTGGTGCTGCATCAGAAACTGCTGTTTCAGCTCAGAGTTCGTTTCATGCTGCATAAAGTATTGATACAGAAATTCATATTTCTTCTGCGGGGTCTCCATCTCCCCCACGGACGTTATATCATCTGCGTTGGAAGAGCTATCCGAGTATTTTCGCTTTTTTGTATGAGGCTGTTGATGCTGATGCTGTTGAGCCGCTGCATGCTGCAGACTTTGCAGTATGCTACCGAAAGGACCATAGCTCGCCTCTGGATTGGGGTGTTGGCCGGCGGCGGCCAAGAGTGCTGCTGGATTCATCAGATGCATCATTTGGTGTTCACGCAGTAGCTCCAGGTGGCTGAACTGCAGCTCACATTTGTCGCAGTCAAACTTCGATGCGGTTCGTTGCGGCTGATCCAAACTATTGCTTCGTTCCCGCTGGGGAGGCGTTGGAGTCGTGGATGGGCTGAAGTCAGTGAGTGACGAGGACTTGCTAAATATATGCTGTGGCGAGGGCGAAGCACCAAATGGCTGTGACCCAGCGTGCCCGGATGGGGTTACGATAGACACGGGTGCTGAAACAGTCTGTGGACCCAGCGGACCCGGGGGACAGATGCCAGCATGATGTATATCCATGGAAGAGTTCGAGTCTTCAGAACTTAGATTTTGGGCAATTTGCGCAGCAGCAATCTGAGCTTTAGCCGACTTCTTGTTGTTCTCCTCCTTGAAGCAGTGGTTCTTCTGGTGACGTATTAGCTCGTAGTAGCGCTGGAACACCAGACTGCACTTCTTGCACGCATAGTTAATGTTCTGCTTCTTGGTCTCTTCATTCTCGAACAGTGAATTGTTTGGCTGATTTTCATAGATCTTGCGTTGCTTCTGCCTGGCATTCTGAAACCACACCACTATGACGCGGGGTGACAAGAGCAGCAGCTTGCTTAAATACTCTAGATCACTGTCCTTTGGATATGAATTGTTCTCGAAGAACTCCTGCAAGACCTTAATTTGATAGTCCGTGAAACGTGTTCTGTTCGCCCGTTTACCTCCCGACGTCGACGATGAATTTGACGAGCTGGAGGAATTGCTCTCAAACTGATTGCATGCTGTTGCCGAGCTGGAGACGGTGGCCGTGCCTTTGTCGAATGTTTTGCCAGCTATTTGCAGTTTTTTCGGTGGACCCATGTTGCTCCCCATGCTTTCTAGCTGATGGCTCAGCAGGTCGTTCATGCTGCCATACAAATTGCTAGCAGCCACACTATTAGGAGTCGGTGGACGCGACATTACATCAGAGCTTCCGCTCTCTGATTTGGTTTCGAAGCTATTTGTTTGTGCGTGCTGTTGCTGTTGCAGTTGCAGTTGCTGCTGGTTATGACAGTGAACTGCAAGCGATGAGCCTGCGAGCAACGATTGATCATGTAGGGTGTCAGGCTCTTGATGCTGGTTGGACTGTTCCGGCGGATCACTTTGTTGCTGCTGTTGATGCTTCAAAAAAATAAAGCCTTGTTGCTGCTGCTGATGCTGCTGTTGCTGCTGCTGTTGCTGCTGCTGCTGCTGCTTCCGGAGAAATGCAAATTCACTGGACACAATCGTATCGTCCTGCGGCTCCGATTTTATTTGCACTTCCACGGGAAACGGCAGGCTCTGCTCTTTGCCCCCTTGCTGTCCAAAACACAAATTGTTGCTTAAGTAGTCGGATATATTGCCACTGGAGTTGGTTGACGCTGGACGGGATGCGGGGCCAGAGGCAGGAGCCGGGGCGGGAGCCGGAGCGGGAGCTGGCAAGATTGCAGGTGCCGACACGGTGGCTGCTGTGTTCTCCTTAGAGTTTGCGTTTCCCGACGGAGCGGACGAAATCGCAGTCGGCGTGGATATGGTTGCGGGCGACGCGGAACTGACAATATCATTTAAGGGCGTTACCTTGGTCTGACCTGTGCGCTCGTACTCCTCCAAGTTTAGGGTAGTTGACGGTGGGTTATTGAAGTTGTAGGGTGAGTCCTTGTTGCGTTGTCGTTCTTTAAACAGAGTGTTTCGGAACCAGTGCTTAACCACCTGTAATGTCAAAGCCAAATTGGTCACAACGGGTCCAATCGAGGCAGTTTGCCCCATACCCCCTACCCGCATACCTACCTTCATTGGCAGATTCGCCTTCTGCGACATTTCCATAATGCTCTCCTCGCTGGGCGAGTTATTTATGTCGAAATGGGCACGCAGTATTTTCAACTGATCGTCTGTGATGCGTGTGCGAGCTCGCTTTTGGTTGTTGTTCATCTGTTGGAATATGCAATGTAAGGATTATAGCCCAATAGCCAAAAACTTCTTCCCCATATCAACCTAGCTACCCATTTATTATTTATTATACCCGTACACAAAAAAGAGTTAAGGGGTATATTAGATTTGTGGTAAAAGTGGATGTGTGCAACGCAGAGAAGGAAACGTTTCCGACCCCATAAAGTATATATATTCTTGATCAGCATCAATAGCCGAGTCGATATAGCCATGTCTGTCTGTCCTTCTGTCTGTCTGTCTCGATGAGCGCCTAGATTTCAGAGACTATAAGAGCTAGGGCAACCAAATTTGGTTTCCAGACTCATGCGACACTGCTACAAGTGTAAAATTTCGCCCCGCCCCCTTCCGCCTTCACAAAGAACGAAAATCTGTGGCAGGCACAATTTTAAAGATACGATAAAACTAAAATCGCAGTATCGTAGAGAGTGACTATATCTACCAGATTGCTGAATCTAAATCCGATCGAATCGTAATTATAGCCAGAATGAAGAATTTTAAATTTCAGTTGCTTCCCCCGCCACCCCAGCCAGAGAAACGCTACTTATTCTCTTTCTCGCTCGCACACTCTGCCGCGTTCAGTGCGCGAGCAACCCCTAGCGGAGGAGATGTAGAATCTAAATGGTACATGTAGAATATACATACATGTTAGATGTAAAATATACATTGTATATATATACATAGATGTAGATAACAGATGTAGCAAAAAAATGTTAAATGTAAAATTTTTTTTTAATTCTAAAATTCTAAATAATCATAAGCTCAAAAATGTATATACTGGCTGAGTACGGGTATAAGTAGAGTCGCGTCCCCAGAAGCGACTCACACGTCCCTTCTCGTTTTTATTTTAGTTTTTGTATTAGTTTTTGTTTCTGTTCTCTGATAAGGTGAGACAAACGAAACGAACCCCCCCACCCTACTCTTATTTAGCAGTACTTAAGGCTAAGCCCCACCCCACTCACCTGAGAGTTACTGTTGATGCTGTGCTGGGCCGTGGGATTGTTCGCGCTAGTGGATTCTCCCGTCAAGTTACTTGCTCCGCTCCCAATCTGCATGTCGCCCGCTTGGGAAGCTGGTGCTGATAAGGAAGCGGAGGTCATGCCGTTGTTTTGGGCCGCGGCTGTTGAAGCTGTACTGCCGGTGGCGGCATTCGCGCCAAATATCAATGGAGGGGCCAGATTCATGAAGTTAAGAGACATTAAATGATGGAACTGCATGAGGTTGAGCATGTCCACCGGGTTAATGGGCATTCCCGATGAGGCAGCAACGGCACTAAATTGCTGCTGCATGTGCTGCAGATTTTGGAGATTCTGCAGGCCCTGCAAGGATTGCTGATTAATGCCAGCGACTCCGAAAGCCCCAAGCTGGGACTGCGGCGGCACTACCTGCAGCTGCTGAGAAAAGTCGGCAGCAGACAACGATAGAGGATCTGCCGACAGAAGGCCAGCATCTGGGTGACACTGTTGCTGCTGCTTAAGCAACGCCGCAGTCAGTGTGGCCAGGTGGTGCTGCTGCTGCTGGGTTTGGTTCGTGTCAAGAGTGTGCGGGCTGGGGCTGGGCGACAGTTGCGCCGTCTCCTTAGAGTACTGCAACTCTAGTCTCAGCGGTGACAGTGAACGTCTTGAGGTGTTATTCGATTTGGGCCCTGAAAACAAAACTCCCGATGAGGATCGATATTCGCTTAGAGTTTGTTCGTTAATGCTGTCTTACCTGCGTCACTAGCATTCGGGGGCTCTCGTTCCCCCGATGACAATTTGTCCATCTCGCCGTAGCTTGGAGTTGGTGTCGGCGGTCGGGGACTACTGGTACTGGCACTGCCACTGCCACTGCCAGCCGCGACTCCAGCTCCAGCTCCATCGTTGGAGTGCGTCTGCTCCATGTGCTTCTGCAGGGCCTGTGTACTACGAAAATTGCGCTGGCACAAGGAGCACTTGGTGGCATCGCGCATTGTATGATAGAGCATATGCGTGGTAAGCTTCTCCTGTGTCTTGAATGCTAGTGAGCACTGCTTGCAACGATATTTGTAGACGTGGCGCTCCGAGATAACCAGACTCATGTGCGAGTCCTTAAAGTGGCTGATCATTGCCGAGAGTGTGCTAAAGCTCGCAAAGCAGGGACGGCTGATGTGACTGGTCGCGAGGCAGATGTACTCTCCATTCTGCTCTGGAAAGTGTTGCGTCTGCTGCGCATGCTGCAACAGCTGTTCCTCGTGTTTGAAGCTGGCCTCACACTGCTGGCAGGAGAGTCCCTGCATTCCCGCCGAGCTTGCGGTGGAGCTGGTCGCTGCGGCACCAGGGAACACAGTCGACACACAGTCTTCGGTGCTTACACTCCCCGTGGTTGTCGCACAGTCTTCCGGTTTCGAATTGCAATTGGATGCTGTGCTCGTTGTTGCGGTTACGGTTACGGATGGGCATGGGGATGGGGAATCACTCCAGGCCTTACTGTCGACCAGTTGCAAAAGCCTGGCGAGGCCATCTTTGGTGACGCTGTGCACGCTCGTCAAATGGGTCTCGAGCAATGACTTCTCCCGGAAGCCATTTTCTAAACAAAGGGGACACTGCACTCCCGGTGTTGTTGCTGTTGCTGTTGTTTTTGCTGTTGCTGTTGTTGTTGCTGTTGTAGTTAAAGCCGTAGCCGTAGCTCCTGTCGAATCCGCATCTATATTGGCTGTTGGTTTGCTTTCCTCTATGCCCGTCATTGGATCGTCCTGCTCTTCGAGACGCTCACGCTTAATGTCTATGGGGCAGTCGGTTATACAAGGATCCATTTCCGTATCTGCTTCTCTAGGCATGTTGATGGCACTGCAGCGTTGTTGGACCGCCGCTATGGCTGCGGCTGCAACAGCGGTTTGGAAGGCTTGCAGAGCCGCCGTGTTCGTTGGTATACTCATGAAGTCGTCACCCTCTGCCCCCGGGTGCACCGTTTCAATGTGGCTGGCCATGTCCTTCTTCGACTGCACAAAGTACTCGCACAAGTTGCACTTGAAAACTGTGGTGGGAATGCTGTTTGAAGCACTCAGACTAAAGTCATTCATGCTTGGAGACGCGATGCGACCGATACTCTTGCCACACGATGTCGAGCAACTCGAGGTGGACTTTGGAGATAGTATGTTGCTGTCTGCAGCTGCAGCTGCAGCGGCAGCGGCAGCGGCCGACGAGCCAGCTGTTGCCGCTGCAAAGCCAAGCTCCGACGATCCCCCAACGGGTGCGGTTGTTGCCATATTGAAGCCAGCTTCAAAAATGATATCTGGAATAAATGTAAATGTATCGTGAAAGAATAACGGCAGTGGTATTTAATGCTGAAAACAAATCCTTCTGAGTTTTCAATAGCGACGAAACCTTGTCCTGCCCGTCTTCATTTAACATTATGTACTCGTATGTATATATGTATGTATGTATGTATGTATGTATGTATGTATGAGCATACAACTTATTACATCTTCGTCGGTCAGCGCAAGGGATTGGGATGAGATTGGGATCTGGTCAAGCCATTGGCCTCAGCTGCTGAGTTGATTGAGTTAATTGCCAGCAACGAAGCGTGGTGTGGTGCAGGGTTCAAAGTGGGAATATCTGGGATTCTGGGATGGGATTCCGTCTCAAATTCCATTAACAATTTTAAAGCAATTTCCATACAGTCTGATTGCATCAAATTAAAAACCGAAATCAAGACAATGTCGGTAGCAGGGGCGGTGGACACGGACACGGACACGGACACGGACATGGACGTGGACCGAGGAAGTAAAACGAAAAGGAAGCCAAGGGGGAATGAATAAATCTAACCAAATCGAACATGTTCACGTGGTACTTTGTTTGTTTCCACTTTTCGACTTCTTGGTTACTTAACATATATACATATGTACACATATACATATACACACCAGCATAAAGCATGCATGTACATACATACATACATCCATCCAAGTTAGGCAATAATCATGCGCAGCTGTTACCGCTGCCGCTGCCACTGCCACTGCCGCTCCCGCTCCTGGCAACAAGACTGCGAACACACACACACACACACACACAACAATAAAAAAGTCGGAATACACTACACCCGATAGGGCAATATCCGATAGAGCAGAGCAGAGCAGAGCAATGGAATATCTTAAGGGCAGATTTAGGGCCCAGATTGTAGAACCGCACAACACAACACATTCCAATATTGTTATTAGCATAAGATAAATAAGTAACTCAGATACCTACATACATATATATGTATATATACACATACATATTGTATAGGGTCGGAACGAATTGCTTCTGTATGTAACCTGCGCGGATTTAATAGAACGTTACTCCTTTTGTGATTAACAATACCGAAATGAATTTTATTCGAATTTTATGACATGCATACATATGTATGTAGTACATTCAGTCAAACTGACTGACGTCTTAAATACGTACATATGTATAGGTATTCCTTGTGTCAACCTATAGGCAACCTGTGGCCAAAATCATAATGCGATCTGAAAGAGTATACAAGAAGAGGATTTCTCGGATGCAGACGTCCGACCAGCCCTTCCCTCCTCACTTATGTATGACTAAAGATGGGATGGGATGGGTATCATTATGTAGCGCTTTATTGCCAGCACAATCAAAATTACCCACATATTCACATACCATATAGCTTCGCGAAGGTGTGATTGTGTGCGAAAAACAACAACAGTTTTTGGGGACTGGAACTGGAATTCCAAGCATAGTTTTCGCGTTATATTTTAAAATGAAAACAGAAGACGGAGGGATTATATGATTATATGATATGACATGTATGTACATACATACATACATGTGTGTACACATGACATACGATAATTAAATAACCGTTATCTAGTAAGTGCCATAATCGTTTGAGATAGTATATTGAAATGGTTTAGGATATGTTCGGGATCATTTGAGGCACAAGTTCTAGCGGAAGCGAAGGCGCAGACTGAGGCAGACCAGACGAACGACTGAGGACGGGGAGCAATAGCAGTCGCATCCCGAAACACAAGGCCAGCGATTTCGAATCCGCAGGCACAAACACAAAGCCTCATTGGACGGGACGGAACGGAGCAGCAGGCAAGGAAACCAGAGGGAGACAACGAAAATCGTATGAGCCTCATTGTCTACGTTAGCAAGCATTTCAATTTTGCATATAAACCTCCGACACCCTACAGTGGTGCGGAGCGGCATGTGCAATTATCAACATCTGAGGAGGAGGAGTGGGTGAGTAGAGCAGAGGGCGCGCGCATTGGCAGGCTCGGATTCGTGTGGTGTGGTGTGGTGTAGTGCGGTGCGGAGTGGATTGGAGTGGTGCGGCGACCGTTTGTTGTGTCTCTGCGTGGCCTGGTCTCACTGTTCTGTGCTCTGTGGTTAGGTGCCATGCCTGCGGTTCGGCCCCGCACGACGCCGCACATCTGATATGGGAATCTCACACTGCACTGCACTGCGGAGTGGATATGTATGTTTGCCTTTTTGGATTGTGGGCATCGCGCACCAAAGAGGAGTTGGAGTCGGAGTCGAGTCTGAGCCTGAGTCTGAGCCTGAGCCTGAGCCTCTGAGGTTGAGGTTGAAACTGGCGTGGAGCAAAGTGTGCACGTCACTAATTGCAAATTCGATGGATACACATAATCGTTTTTGCATTCTTAAGTAATTTGTAATAATTTCCTTAAGGGTCAGCGTCAGCGTATAAATCTCAGAGCGCATATAAATCGCATCGGGAGCGAGCGAGGGCGAATGCGAAGGCGAAGGCGATGGCGATGGCGTTGGTAGAGAAGAAGATGAAGGGTACGCAGTGAAGAATTTACGTAAACGCGACGACGATACCGAACGTGAGGATGGGGATGGGGATGGCGATTGCGATGGGGATGGGCATGGGCATGAGGACGAAGAAAAAGACGAAGACGATAATAATCGAAGAGTGAAGCAAAAGAAATTGAACTGAAATCAGCGCTTAATGATGAGTTACGAACGAACGAACGAACGGACCGAACCGAACCGCAACTACTACAACTACAATGCAATATCGTTATGTTATGTACTCGGCTGTAGGTTGTAGGTTGTAGGTTTTAGGTTGTAGATTGTAGCGAGTGAGCGGTGGGCTGGGAGAAAATATTGGCGGGCCTTGGAAAAATAGGGAAGACTAAACTACTCAGACTCAGACTCATATTCGGACATTGGACACACAAAATAGAAATCTATTGCATTCCCCATATGGCACTTACATGGTGTACATATGCATGTACGCATATGATACATACGAATGCATGTAGGTCTTTCAGAACTAAGATTCGATTTAATTGATTATTACATACCTTCGCTACCACGGATCCGTTCAGTCACTTTGTACACCTCACTTAGTCCGGGCATCTCCTGGTTCTCACTACGACGCTGCAGACAAATGAATTGCTCCACCTGCATGTGCCTTATGCCCTTCACATGCTGAACCATTTCATACAGATTTTTGGCGGCAAAGCTGCACAGCTGGCAAATGAGAACCTTCTCGATCGTTGCCATGGCCATCGACTGTTGATCCTCGTCCGGACAAGGACATTGGGCATCGTCAGATGCCGTGCACGGCGACGACTCCTTGTGCATTCGACTCTGCTGCGTAATGTACAACAAATGCTGGAAAATCATCCGCATCGTGTCATGTCGCATCTGCTGGGTGTGCATGGAGAGCTTCTGTATGGAATTGGTGTGAAAGTCGCAACAGTTGCACATCAGTTGCACCACGTTGGCACTGAGCTGGGGCTGATACTGCAGTTTGTACTCATTGCGGGCTCCGCCCTCCCTGATGTGGTTTATAAAGTTCAGTTTCTGCAAGTGCTTGTCCGTCTTACTGTGCAGCTGGAAGTTGGCCTTTAGGTTCGTTTTATAGTTGCAGAGCCGGCATATGTAGTTGTTGTTGTGTATGACCATTATGTCGGCGGATGCGCTCGAGGACTGTCGGGATCGATCCACCAACAGATGCTGGTTAAGATCGTCCAAATTGTTTGTGCTGAAGGAGTCGCAGATTAGGCAACTGTAGAGCGCCGTGGGCCACATATCTGGCTTCGCCAGTGGATGAGAATCGCTCCCCGATTCACCAGATGCTTCATTTGAATGGCCGATTCCCATTGGCATTCCCAGCCCCAACCCCAGGCCCAAACCCATTCCCATTCCCATTCCATGGCCATGCTTCATGGGCTTTGGGGAATATGAAAACTGATCCGTCGCGCTAACTGGCGAGGACGATGTGGGCGACATTTTGGTATTAGACGACTGCTGCTGCTGCTGCTGTTGCTGCTGCTGGTGCAGGAGTTGAATCATGAGCGCTTGGTTGTAGGCCAGATCAGCCAGTGCCACCTCCGGCATGAAGCTCCCAGCACTGGAGCCTGAAGTACTGCCACTCGCGCCCTGCTGCTGCTGCTGTTGCTGCTGTTGCTGCTGCTGTTGCAAGAAGTTGAATGCCTGGATGTGCTTTATGTTGTTTTGCAGCACAGCCATGTTGTGCGTATGCTTCTCGCTGGTCATGTGGATACGCAGATTGCGGGCAACGGAAGTCTCGTAGCTGCAGATGTCGCACCGAAACGAGGGCTTTGGTTTGACGCTGCCGCTGCCGCTGGCCACGCCTCCTACCCCCGTGCATCCAGGCGTTGGCGTCGCAACCATAGCTGCATTGCCCCCAACGCTGTTAGAGACGACAGCGGCGCTCGCGCTCCCGCTACCGCTTGAGCCCAGCACAGTTTGTTGGCCGGCACCGGATCCTTGTGGCGATGAGCTGGACAGCAGCAACTTCCCACTCGCAGCCGCTGCCGCCGCAGCAGCAACCATATTTTGTGAACTATTCAGCTCCTGCATGTTGTTCAAGTGTTTGTCCGATTGCATATGTATCGAGAGGTTACCCTTTGTGGTCGTGGAGTAGTTGCATATCTCGCATCTGTATGGCTTATAGCCGCATGAGTACGACTCGCCACGGGCCAGCCGAGGATGCTGTTGTCCTGTGGCAGAAAGTAAACGGGGAAAACAGATCCAACAAAAATTACATATGTATGCTGCTGTATGTATTTAAATATGTACATATGTATGTATGTAGGTATTCGTACCTGCTAGGCAATAACCACAGGCGCTTTCCCCATCAGGATGCTTTTCACGCATATGGATCTCCAGCGTCTCCTGATATTTGTAGTGCCAATTGCATTGGGGACACTTAAGCGTCTTGCACGAGTTGCGGGTGGACATCTGGACCCCGCTATTGAGTCGAGCCGAGTTTAGCAGCATTTCGCAGCTGTAGTTAATGGAAGAAACGAATACAATAATAATACACATGTGTATGAACGTACGTGTGTGTGTGTGTGTGTGTGTGTGTGTTTTTCTACTGATATAAATGATAACAAAGATGATCACTTTATAACCAAAATTTGCATCCTCCCCTTGGTAAATATTTGGGTAAACTATTTTTATTATCATAATTATTTAATTTGGCTTTGGCTTTGGCTTCGAGCCGACGCGACGCGACGCGACACGACGACTGCACAGCGTGAATCTGGTGCGGCACATCGTACGTATCCCGTACGTATCCCGTACCGTATCCACATTCAATAGCGGTACCCGGCACCCCACAATTGACGAAATTTTAATGACACCGAGCTGAGCCGCCGCGACCCAGTCGCCACCACTAAATTGTGACAATTGGGGACCCGGACAGGGACAGAGGCATTTATTAAGTGAAATCAGCGCAATTGGTTTAATTTTTTGTCGGTTAAGCCACCGCCATATAATATCATCCATTTGTACACACACATCTCATACATATTCCACCCTCGTGGAATGATTCTCATCAGACCAAAGCAAAGCCCACAGATCATCAAATCTCCACAAAGATTTCTCAACAATCAGTTAATTTAAATACCTACTGTACTGTATACTACGCGTACGGCCGTGCGCGTATGCGTATGCGTGCAGAGGGATGTGAGATGTAACCGATGTACATATGTACATACAATGGGGGGGGCATGTTCAAATCTGGCCACCTACAAATTAACGCTGCAGTACGTTCAAATACAAATACTCGTATGGGAGAATGTCCCTGTGTAGTACGAGCGACAGCATTAAATAAACGTTTTCCCACATAAATAACAGAATAACAGAATAACAGCATAACAGAAGCATTAATGCAACCAATTAATGCAGGGGGAATGGAATGGAGTGCGCAGATCGCAGTATACGAGATATTTTTAAGTGGGATGGGATCCCAGGGTGATGAAATGGAACACCAATACCTTAGCCCCAACCCCAACCCCAAACCCCCACCTAATCAAGTGTGATGCAATCAGTGGTGGCCAGATCCAAATCCCAAGGTTCATTTGCGTTTAAATGAACAACCCGCAACGGACCTCAGGGCATAACACATCCTGCTTTCTGCTTTCTGCCTTCTGCCTTGCCTTCCTGCCACCCTGCCGTAACTGCTGCTTCTGGGCCTAATGAGTTATTGTGTGGCAATGCCCAGCAGCTTTCCCCCAGTCAAAGTTCAAACAGTGTCAATAATTACGCATATTACAGCAGTAAGGCAGAAAACACGTAATCCCAACCCTTTCTCCTTCTTTCTCCTGCCGAAAGATCTTGCACCCTGCAGCTGGTCCAGCGGACCAGCGGACCAGCGGACCAGCAGACGTGCAGCAACCCTTACACTAATGTCTAAATGAATCGCTCGCGGCATGCTCTAATTGCCCGGCTGGCTCCCTGGCTGCAACCCCACACACATGTTGCTGCTGCCGTTCGAGAATTCTGATTCAGTTCTATCGATATGGGATGAGGGATATGCTTGACTTACCGGGCACAGTCTATTCCTTGGGGTCGCCCATTGATGTGTTCGGAACACGCGCCGATTGTGAAGCTGGAAGCCGCACCAGACGCATTTCCTACGCTGGTCACCGATGAGGAGCTGGGCGATATCGCCAGACCGCCACTGTTGCTGTTAGGAGAGCGATGTGGCTGAGGCTGCGACAAAGGCAGGGCCTGAGATTGAGACTGAGACTGAGATTGAGATTGAGCCAGAGCCAGAGCCAGATGTTGGTGCGATGGAGGCGGCGATCTAACCCGTTGTTGGATATCAATGAGCTCGCAAGTCTTGCAGTCGACCCCCTTGAAGTCGGGATGCTCGGGACATAGGCTGGCGAACAAGGAACTCTGTTGCTGCTGCTGTTGCTGCTGCTGTTGTTGTTGCTGCTGCTGCTGCTGCTGCAGCAGCTGCTGTTGAAGAAACTCCGTGAGAAGCTTGACCCTATTGGCATTTGGTTCGTTGGCGGCCAGCGCTGCCAAGGAGGCATGGAAGGAACTGACTTGGGGAGGGAATATGCTAACAGCCGCAGCCACCTGTTGCAGTTGCAAGAAATCGGCGCCTGCTGCATCCGACTCGTTTGGTTGAGGTGAGGTGCAAACAGAGGCAGACGCTGCTGGACTCTGACTCTGACTCTTGCCATCATCCAGGTATCCACACGATGTTGTTGGCGGCTCTATTCCTTGCCTACATTTGGTTGACTTATTGTTACTTATATTATCAGTACTAGGTAATGGGACCTCTCCCTCAACCACGTTTGCGGATGCGGATGCGGATACTGGTGAGCTGGATGAGGATACTTTCGATAGATTATTAGTCTTAGCAGTTGCTGAGTTTAAGGAACCAAATTTCACAGCTACTGATTTCGCTGCTACTTTAGTCGATGATGATGCGAGATTGGCACTAGGCGCTGCCATTCTATTTCTATTAGCATACTCCTGATCCTGATCCTGATCCGGATCCCGATCCTGAACCTGATCATGCTCTGAGTCTTGCTCCATCTCTTGCGCTACTCCTTTATCCTGACTCCGATCTTGATCCTGCTCATAATGATCATGATGATCGAGCTCTGGCTCTGGCTCTGGCTCTGAAGCCAGTGGAGTACAATTTGCATCGGGGGCCAGTATGAGCTTCTCGTCAGCACAAGTGGCATTTATGTCCAGGGGCTGCAGGAAGGATATCTGCGGCTTCTCATCCATATTACGCTGGATAATGGCACTGGAGTACTCGCGATTCAGTAGCTGCTGCTCGAGCTCTTCCAGATTGAGTCTGTGCTCTGTGTTCGCATGCAGGCTAAATGACTTCACGTTGCCAAAGGATAGTTTGCATATAAAGCACATTAAAATCGGTTTTTGAATCTTAAGGGCTCTATTCGGATCCTGGCAAGTTGTATTTGCATCTTGCGCGGACACAACGCGGAAGGAATGGATCTTTGGACTCGATTTATAACCAAATCCCCCAGCAGAACCAATACCAGCACCAGATTCAGCATCAGCATCAGCGTTAGCGTCAGCGTCAGCACCAGCTTGTTCCTGATCCTGATCCTGATCCTGATCCTCTTCCTGTTGCTGTTGATGTTGCTGTTGTTCTTCCTGCTTTTCCGGTCTTCGGTCTTTAGTCTTCGGTGGTCTTTTCACTAGTGTCGATGTTGAGGCATCTGAACTTTGGAGAGAGACAGAAACAGATCCACATCCATTGGCATTATCAGCATCGATAATAAATGCGCTGCCATCGATATTGTAAACTATTTTGCCTTTGAAAGTTTCCACATCAGAACTGGACATTGGAGAGCCGTCGTCATTAGCATTATTGAAACTGCAAATAGACCAAACAAACAAAATTCACAATAAGTAAATGCCACATTAAGTGTTTACAAGTGATTAGAAATCGGGTTTAATGGCTTTATGGCGTCTAACCCTAAAGCATACTACACTACACACTATCGAATAAGATTCACTCCACACAGCGCAGGGCCATGTCATCCTATCCTTTTCATCATCCAACCCCCTTAATTTAATTAAATGTTTCTCCAATATAATGACCGGAACGGAACGGAACTTTCCTTTCGCAGCTCTCACATTACCAAAGAAGAGACGGGAAGAGCGGGAACGAACAGGAACGAACAAGCCCACGCAAAGCCCCAGACACGTCTCAGACTGAGGCACAGGTCGAACGTGAACCCATGTCAGTGGCCGGATCTATGCGTAGTGAGGGGTCCGGTCCGGTCCGGTCCGTCCGAGCCTAAAATTAACCTGCTCAAGTTACAATTGATCACATCTACTCGTGCTCAAATGAAACATTCGATAGTCGGAAATAAAAGTTTGAAGTACACAGTGCGTTCTGTAAATATTCGTACTGGTGCATGATACGAAGTTATGGTTTCACGGCACAACACAGCAACACAGCAACACTACACGGCATTATCTATGTAAATCCGTACGTAATTTACACTTTCTTACTTGACTTACTTGATCACTGGTTTGGTGTGGTCACAAATAGAAGGAAGGGTTCACTGCCTCTTCTGGTTGTACACAAAACAAAGGAAGTCAAGGTTTTCCTTCTTCTCCACCCCACCCATCCAGCAACCATCCCTTTCCCTTTCCCATCCCATCCTATCCCCATTCCCATCCCCACACATCCCTCTCCATTCCTCTCCTCTCCTCTCCACTCCTCTCCTAACCATTCCGCGATGTCTGCTTGTGCTGCGCGTGCCTTGTTGTTGTACGTCTTTATTTCTGTGGAGTCGTCGTTATCTGTTCTTCATATTCCTCAACTGGTTTGACTCAGTCGTCTTTGTAGTCTTTTGCTTTGGCTTTGCTTTGCTTTTGCTTATGCTTATGTATGTAGCCAGTACCCAGTACACCCACACACAAATTCCGTGATATATCAGCCACCACCATCGAGTGGCATGTGGTGCGGTGCGGTGCGGTGCGGTGCGGTGGGGTGGGGTGTGGTGGGGTATGGCTTTAGTTCAGTCTTCGACTTTGGATTTTAGTTGATGGGGCAGCAGGCAAGTGGGGGCAGGGCAGCCGACTTGGTATGCAAACAACTCTTGAAGCACAGCACTCAAAAGCCTGGCCAGGCCAGGCCAGGCCAGGACCAGGTTCATGTTCAGGTCGATCTGCGCTGCGCTGCGCTGCGCGTCTGTCTTCCCATTACACCTTTAGTCTCCTTAATAATTTTTTGCTCTTTCTTGTCGGCAATGCGTTGCCAGCGCCTGAAACTTACTTATTTTTACCATTCCATTCCATTCCATTCCATCCCATTGTCGTCCCACATTAAAGGCAGAAGCAGGAGCAAGAATCTGCCCCCCTTCGCGCGTTTGGTTATACCCTAGAAAAGTTACTTGGACTTTGTCTAGTTGCTTGCAACGGGAGGCGAGCATTTCCGATTCCTCAACTCTATAGCCAAGTCCGTCTGTCCGCTCTGTACAGTTCTGTACCTCACCACTTTCAAAACTCTTTTTAGGCATTTCCATTTTCAGTATATCATTTCCAGCCTGGAATGGATCCCGTTTCATTGCATTCCATCTTCTTGTTTTAAATGACTTTAAATGACTCTGAAGCTTAGACGAGCACCCATGAAATCTGCTCAATCATTGCTCGGTCCAGAAGAGGACACACAAGAGTCACACTAAAATTAAAGGCAGGAGCTTTAAAGGAGGGTTAAAAACAGTTGTTTGTTGTTGCACTCTTAACGCTGTATTTAAGCAAATTGGCTAATGAAAATCGATTTTGTATGCGTAGATCCTATTTCTTGGATGGTCGGAGGTCGGCAATAACCTCAAAACTTATGAAAACAATTGTATATCGCTCTGTCAGTGAGGATCAGGGCTCTAGGCTTACATTCCAGTCTTTCTAAAACGGTAAAACGGTGCGGCTAGTAGTGCTGTAGTTTCATTGAACACAGCTGTAAATGTCCCTTCCGTCACTGGACTGGACCCAGGGACACAGAAGTCACGGAAGCCACAGGATAGGCCACTCCGTGGTCACTCTCCCACCGGTGCCGGTGCTTGAATCGGTGTGGCAATCTCGATATTTCTACTCAGTCTGACTTTGAACTATTTAAAGAGTTTCACTAGCATTACCGCATTACCGCACTACCGCACTACCGCACTGCTGTACTGTACGCTTATTAAACTGCTCCCAGACCAGACATAATTTTTGTTTTTCTGGTTCCTTTGATGCACTCTGTAACTATTTGCTCATCAATGCATGAAATTATTACAAATTACATTCTTAGGGACTGCTTTGTACACTTAGTAGGTATTTATTATTAACATACGTACATACATATGTACATATGTATTTATGTAACTCGTAGAGCAATAATCGCAGGCAGATGCTCGGTTAATAATTTAGCTCATGCCAAAATGAAGATTGGAATTTCAGGAATTTTCAGCCAAGGATCCAAAGGGTTCAACCGAAGTTTTCCTAATCTTTATTAGGTATAGGTATAATATGTACACTTTTATGTTCTTTCTACCAATTGAATTATGAAACGGTGTCCAATTGAGAGATGCATATATTAGATTTGGTTATGTTATTCTCCAAACAAATCCAAAACAAAATGAGGCAGAGGTGAGAGGTCAGTGGTGAGTGGTGAGTGGTGAGTGGTGGGACAGGTCGTGACCTTTAAAGCAGCTTTAGCAGCTGGTATTCCTGTGATCACACATCCTCTGTGAGCTTAGGCCTTAAGGTTATGAGGAGGGAAGCAGCCGTGGCATGTAGCATACCTCCTGATCAACATATGTACATATACAACAGAGTATTTTGGGAACCTCTCCACTTGGTTGCGTTCAAGTTCCAGATTGTTCATCCCCCTTCAACCCCATTAACCCCTCAACCCATCAACCCTTTTACTATCGCATCTCATCTGTTGATTCCCTGTGTGTCCCCCTTTTTTTTTGTTGTACACAAATTATCACCGTATACCCGTATACCCGTGCAACGGTACATGTGTACATGTGTATGCAAATTACAGCCGCTCTGAATGCACTTGCATGCAGAAACGATTTATTGACCTCAGTGAATGCGAGTGCAACAATAGCTGATACACATACGAGCACACATGCACACATACACACATAATTACAAGGCAATACACAGAACACATGCGAAACTGCACGCATAATAATATTTAAGTTGTCATCAGAGCTGGGCTGGAGTTGTCATTAAATAGCTATAAAGCAGTTGGGAAAAACGTATTTTCAGATAATTGTCTAGTCGAGAGTTGAGTGGAGTGGAGTGGAGTGGAGTTGGGTCAAGTAATTACCCATTTTACATTGTTTGTGTTCTCTTTTACCCTCTGGTTGTTGTCATCGCTGTTATTCTGGTTGTTAAGGGCTCTGCCTCTGGCTCTGGCTCTGGCTCTGAGTCTGCTCCTCCCCTCGCCACTTAATAAATTTGAAACAAGCAATTCGTCCCTTGACTTTATTCACCAGTTATGAGTAAAGTATTGCTCGTAATCCAATTAACAGGATCAAATCATGCCCTTTGCCCGCTGCTCGCAACATATGTATGTATGTACATACTTACTATTTGATATATGTATGTATGTACATACTATATGTACATATATATGTATATACTCAGATACAAAACTCATGTCAAAAGTATCTGCGATTCCATAATCGTATCGATATTAATTACACATGTGTGTGTGTGTGTGTATGTATGTACATATTAGGGTTAATACCTACTGGCCAAAGGGGTACTGTACTGTACGGTACTGTAAGGTACGGTACGGTACGGTACGGTACTGCCAGTGACAGTAGAGTGTACCCCAGTACCCAGTATTTGGTAGGGGACAGGACAGGGGAGGACAGGACGGGTCGGGGCGGGGCGGGGCGGATAACGTAAAGGCAACAAGTAATATATGTATATGTATTGGTTCAGGTTTTTTTTTTACTAAGAAATCGTCTTTTGTTCTCGGAGATTCAGCATAAAAAGTTGCGAATATAAAACAAAAGTGTCACTTGCCGAGGGAGGGTCTGGAGGTACCAGACGAGGTCCAGTCCAGGTTTAGCTTGCATTGTTTTTCCCTTTGTCGCTGGCTTGGCTTGTGTTGGCTGATTCCCTCTTTTTTTTTTGTTTGTAGGAATATGTATTCATGTATGTATGTATGTATATGGCCATTTGATTTTTTTTTGTACTGTGGCTTCCACAAAAGCTCCACAATCATTCATTTCGGTAAGATCAATGGATCGATACGATATACCTGGGGAGGCAGAGAATTGCGACAAAAAGGAAACCAGGAGGCGAAAGCCAAACGGTATGAGTTCTCGCGATCGGGTCGGAAGGGAAGCGAAGGGATCTCGCAGCGTCCGTTGATGAACTCTTTTCAAAATTCTCGAAAGGAGTTGCACAAAAAGAACAATAAATTTCATTTATTTTAAGCCTTTTCAGCCTTCATTAAAATTGTCGCGGATTGTTTTCATCGCATGAATATGTTAATGAATGATTGTAAGCAAACATACATACATACATTGTACAATGTACAAACATATGCAATGTCACCGCATGGGGGCAAGGCAAGGGCAAAAGCAAAAGCAACCAAAATGTCCAAAATGTTCGCTACCGACTTCGTAGTCGGAGACGGAGTGTGACACATCACAATGAGCCTCTGAACCCAGCCCATTGTTGGAGCTCTGGGGCCTTTTGAAATATGTACATACACACACATATGTACATTCATACATGAGCTGCGACCCGCCATCAGCAAGAACAAAACGATCGAGGCAAATGCATAAATCTGATTTCATTAGCTTCCAATTCTGAATTTCTTTCGATGGTGTTACAACAAATGCGAAATTAAATTGTTAAATATTATTCTGTTATGTTGAAACATACATACATATGTACATACATGTGTATATGTATGTACATAAATGTATGTATCTATCACTACAGTCTATATCTGCTATCACTGTCGATATTTTTTAATTACCGCAGTTTCGTAGCTTGGTTTTGGACACTCTCTGCCCCTCTGAGGACGGAGATAGGTGAGTTGCACATTTCTACGAAAATTACAGGGTACATGACCGTTCCCCCTCCACTCTCTGCTTTGAAAAGTGACATCGGGTAGAACTGGAGTCACCAGCGCATCGACACCAAGACAGCAATTCATCATTTTCGGCAGTTAAATTGCCCGTTAGTTCAGACCCCGAAAACGGGAACAAAAACAAAAATGAATGAAACTAGACTAAGACAGGCTGAGGCAGAATCTTTGGCGCTGATGCTGATGCCGATGATGCCGATTCAGAGTCACCCTCTTTTTGCAATCAATAGCCAATACACAGACACAGACACATATACATACATATACAGATGCAGACAGACAAACACCTTTCGAACATTCATAAGTCATCATGGTGAATAGGAATCGAGAGGAGAAAATGTCCAGGGGCTTCATTATGAAATATGCATACCCTAGTCGCAGTCGTCAGTCCCCAGTCGTCAGTGTATCCCAGCATAGTGTATAGTGTATTATAAGAGCGTACCAATGTAACAAACACATAACAAACAAGGCAACATAAGCCCTGATGCCTGCCCTGTACGAGCATAAGGGAAAATACAATGAGAGCTGTGCAAAGCAGAGGAAGGCGCAGCACAATTTGAATCCATAAATTCATAAGCAAGAGCTGCACACAATGAACATGAGCACGAGGATGAGGACGAGGATCTGGATGTGGTTGTGGATGCGGAGTACCAGTAAAATAGAAGGCCGAGAAGGAGTAAAAAGCAATAATAAAACGAATTAATGCACTGTAAATATATATGGACACAATATCAAAGAGGACAAAAACAAAGATGAAGAAGAAAATGAAAAAATGTATTGTGTTTTATTGAAAGAATTGTTTTCTTTGCCTTCTTTTCTCAGAACAGAACAGAGCAGAGCAGAACAGAACAGTGTTCTGTACGTAGGCCCAACACAATGAATGCGGATCATGTGAGGTGAGTCGAGACTGGAATCGGCATGGGCATCGGCATCGGAATCGGAATCGGAATGGGGATTGTGTGTGATTGTGATTGGAATGGGACAGTGAGTAAAAGCTGGACGGAGGCAGTTAAGCTGCTAAATCGAGATGACAGTGTCTGAGTGAACACTGGGAGACGACCCAGACATACTTACTATACTCGTAGTTGGGTATATGTACGTATGTACATATTTATGTATGTATGTACATAGTCCCATCAGGAGCAAACACATACGCACACACGACGACGGGACAGACGACGGCTATGCCAGTTCGGAAACAACGAGAAATTACGGAAACGACTACAATAGGTAGGTCTTAGGGGGCCTATGGGCATGACACAATGAAAACTGAGAGAGTGCACATACTCACTCACTTTTGTACATTCATATGTATATGTATATGCATCTGTGTGTGTGTGTGTGTGTGTGGCTAACAAGAATCGATCATACCATGGATAAGCCCTAGCGAACTGTTTTTACGTTATTCTCGTATTTTAAAAATCAAACAACAAAAGTGTAATTCAACGTTTAAGGATATTCTTCAGTCATAATCGTTTTTGTTTAGTACCATTATCAACAATAATCCATAATAATTATTTTTAAACACTACCTAACTAATTGAGCCAAGACGAACCACGGTAAAGCAGTTTTCAGATTACACCAAAGTGTATCAATTTGTATGAAAAATTAATAAAAATATGTACACATTTTTTCTCAACTTCCTATGATTTTTTCAATAATCAAAAATTTATTACGGATTACACTACTCGACAAAATAGAGATTCGGAAGATTTCCGCTTCCAACCAAACGGACTTTTTCTGATAGAGTTATGGTTTTTTTTCTATGGCAGAACTTTCTTTTTGAAAATTTTATAAAACCGGTATTTTTAAGCTTTTTTCAGAGGTAGCGCTTCTTTTTTTCACATAACTTAAGTATCTTACATTTGGCTGTAAAGAACATTGCCATTCCGAAAAGCTAATTGATGCATCTAGAAATTGGACCCGAGCACTTTGTGGTTTTAGCTTACCGTCTGAGAAATATTAAGCTTTCAAATGCAAAAATAATGATTTTTGTGCGGTATTCTTTACGAAATATTGAAAGGAAACGTGGAAAAAAATATTTCCTGGGTCCTTTATTATTTTGTGCCTAGGACCTAGACTCTAGGTGCATTAATTAGGCGTCGTTTAAAGTATAGTTCATTAAAATGTATGGAGAAACGGCTGAGGCTAAAATTGGTTGACCAACCCTTTGAAAATCACATCAAATTGCTGTGCGGCTGTTCTAAGTGGATTAATGTTTGGTCCCTGATTATTGGGGCTGTAACCCCAAAAAAGGTAACTTCTATGAGAATATAGATTAGCTTGAGCAACCAGGTACTGGCAATCGATCGGGAACTAGCTTATGAGCAACTAGCTACTGGTAATTACCAGTAGGGTAATCAATCGGGAACCAGGGGTGGTTACGCCCTAGGACATGCATGTGTTAAACTCTCCCCTGACATACTTTTTCGGGGAAAAACCATTATAAAATATGTATATGTTCAAAACTCGACTAACATTGGCGGATGGAGAGGCGAACTCCGATCACTCTTTGAGACAGAGTCGCTATAATTGAGAGGTGACAGAGAAAGTTGATTCCTTCATGTGTTCTGGCTGTATATGGCTGGCTGTATGTTATATCTCTAGCAGTACATGGAACTTACCAATTCAATTAGTTGGTTAGTGCATCGTTGGCCATTTGTTGCTCTGGAAGGGAGAGGGTTATATACTAATTAGTTATAGAATACATGTGCACACCTTTCTTGTGCCAGAAATACATATGTGATACTCCGATGATCAAGAAAAAATGTTTTAGCCAGGATGTTTTGATCGATCAGCTCGACTTGTGGTTGAATACTTGTGTATTCGATTTCAAGAATTGCAACAGTAGGAGGGAGATGGTGATGGAGAGAGAGAGAGAGAGAGAGAGAGAGAGATGGGCGAGTAGTTAGTAAGTGCGTGGTAGAGCGGGGAGTAGCGGGGACAGCTAAGCTACACTAATCTCACGCAAATACAAATCTTCCTCACGTTTCTTTTGTTGGAATCGCACAGCTACATATGTACATATGTACATCTGTTTATGTACATAAAATGAAAATGATGACAAGTTTATTTCATATTCTGCATGGGAGGGTATGCGAAACTCTAGTTTCTGTCCAATGAGCTCAATGTGCGGCTGGATTGGAAACGGAAAAATTCCGTTTGCTGAACCCTTTCTTCCTCTTCGCTCGTTTGGGTTAGGTTGCTCCTCTTCCCCCTGTTGTCGAGCGTTAATTAATTATTGCATTCACGTAATTGGCTTTATGTACATGCATAGGTGCATACATATGTACATACATATACTCGTACATTTGCCGTTCATTTATTCGCCAACACAGTACGCATAAATATAAATGCTGAGTTTGAGTTAGACATGAACTTGGCAACGCCACGGAACCAGATTTTCTGTTTGTATGCGCATGAGCACAGCCCCCACCGATCATTTAAAAAGTTCAATGCCCAAAAATTGTCGTCGATGTTGATGTAGTTTGTACACACACACACACACACACACAGAGAGACAACACATCACACACACACACACAAAAGGTGTTGAACTATTTCAAATGCGCGATGCGGAGCGGCCCCCGATCTTGGAGCTCTCGCTCGACTCAGACTCAGACTCAACCGCACGGCACGTACGTTGCGCACGTTGCCAGTGACACCCCTCCCATCGTGATATCAATATCTTGGGATCCGATTTTCGACACTGTTTCAGCAATGGATAGGGGGTCGGGTCGGGTCGTCCCAACAGACAACTAAGACCACTCATTGCTAGAGCGACCAAAGCAGAATATACATACATACATACATACATACATACATATGTATCCTGTTCAGGCAGCTTTCGACTTTCTTGCTCCTTCGAAATCTTCCCTGCCTTTCGTGGCTTTGGCATCCCGCCCCGCGTGCAAGGTTCGAAACCAATCTAACCTAATTGGCAGTATCGAAGATAATTGTTGTTAATTGGTTTCCTTCCTCTCAACTTTCCTCTAACCTGGCCAGCACGTATGGGAGCAAATCACGCATGCGGAATATTTGTATCTACATATTCCCAAAAAACAAAGAGTGTACCACTGTACACTGTACACTCTACACTGTGCAGACGGGATCCGTTCAGGTTCTGTTTTTTTTGGGTTAGGCTCCCGCTCCAAGCTCGAGATGAATTCAAGATCAGCAGAGAGCACAGCACCCTACGCGAGTATGCAGTCATTATGAGTTATTATCGCATCGCATTCACGCTCAACCAGTAAACAGGTTCCAATTCCAATTCCAATTAGCCCTAATATCTCTAATTTCTTACCTTACCAATTAATATTGTCCATAGGACCTCTCCTTTGATGTGATGTGATGTGATGTGATGTGTTGTGAAGGGATGGGATGGGATCGCACATATGTACAGCAGCAGGCGTATTGGCAGGCTGCACTCTTTCCATGTGGCATGGCAGCCTGCTAATTGCGCGACAATTCAGTGCGCTTGCTTAGCTTCTCAACGTTTGTACACAAATTTGTACACATACACCCGGTCCCCCTCCTTTTCGACTTAATACTAATTATAACCATGATTATTTTTTTCCCATTTTCTCTCTTTCGCCGTCGATTCGGACTCGGTAAACTTGTTTTGTTGGTTAACTGTTGGTTGTTGGTTGGTGTGTGTGTGTCAAGTGATGTGATTGCGGGCGATTCAAAAAGTAATTCAAAGAAGACGACTCGGAAAGCAATGTGAAAAAATAAGAGGGGCATAAGCGCAGCGGAAGTTGTCGAGACGCTTTTTCACTCATAATTAAAAGAGATTATTGCTGAAGGAGGCTTCTCTTTTGTGCGTATGGTAAAGTGTGTGTGTGTGTACGTGTGTGAGTGTGTGCATACATATGTACATACATATGTAGGTGCTTCAAAACTAACGAACAAAGTGCGAGAATTATGTTTACTCTGATGTATGTACATATGTACATGAATATGTACATGCAAGCATACATAACCTGTACATAACCTGCCCATAACGTTTCATCCCGTACAAGATTGGTTTTGTACATATAGTGGTACGTATGTATAGTAAATAGTACACGGTGTACATGGTGTAGGGATGGACTCGGATCGGATCCAAGAAAATTCATATGCATAGTCCGAAATTGTAAGAATACACATCCATCTAATGCAGTACTCGATGTAATTTTAAAGGTGTCTACCTAATGTATCTGTAATGCTTGAGCATTTTGATAGCTATGATACCATAGTGTGTACAAGTGCAGGGTTTCTCCTCGGTACAAGTTGCATTCGGTAGAGCTAGTCCGACTCGATTGGTTTCCAATCGCAAATATATTCAGCATTTTCTTGCATTTGCGCTATTCAAATATCCTTCTTTTTCATTTACGATCTGGACTGAAGATGACGAAAACGTGAGCGGAATACCATATCGGTATATACCATATACATATACATATACATATATACCATACATGTATATGTATTGGGTATTTCATACCCTCCAACTATTGCAAAAATAAATTTATTTTTAACTTATATTTTATTCGACTCGCTTCTCATCAATGCAAGCACAATGTGACATAGTGAAGGGCAACACAGTGAGCAGTGAGTAGCCGCTTTCCCTGTGGTCAAGGAATTCACTAGTCCCAGCGGGTCACAACCGAACGATCTCTAACAACACTCACACACACACACACACACACAAACAAACATGCGCATTCGCATACGCATACGCGCCTGTGTTCATGCGCTTCAAGTGGGAGAGGGAGATAATAATGATTCGCCAATTTAATAATAATTTCTCTAATAATTATACAGTAACTATAATTATGGTCACATTAAAATACGAAATTCGTTGAAAATTTTAATTCCAACACATTGTTGGGCTTGTGTTTTTTACCCTTGCCTGTCTGACTGTCTGCCGGTCTGCCGGTATGCCTCTCTGTCTGTTTCCCTTTTCCGTGTGCTTGTCTTGCAGAGCTAATTCCACGATCAGAACCACATATTTAATTGTTCTGTTCTGTTCCCTAACCACGGCCATGACTCAGTCAGTAGCGGTGGCGAAAAATTGTATTTCCCAAGTAGTTTCCTAACTTCAATTGCGAATTGGTGTCAAAAACTAAGCGACTAGTTTGGACCTCATGAAGGCATATGTTTGTATGTATGTATGTATGTTTGTATGTACATTGTACAGCTGTGCTCAATGAAATATTCAAGCAAATGAACCCTTTTTGAATAGAATGAAGAGCAGATTTAAAGGGTTTTATTTTTGTCTAGGATTGAGACTCTAAAGTCATGAAAAACAAGAAGATGGAATGCGAATGTAGCGGGTGTCTGACGGTTTCTAATGCTTACATTCCAGTTATGCTTTCCATAAAGGTACCATTGTTCAATTTGGATGATAGATACATAGATGTCTCAAAAAGAGTTTTGAAAGTGGATGTGTGCGGCACTACATACATACATATGTACATATGTATGTACATACATATTTACTATCGACTTAGTTTGTCACCTGATGAAGAAAATATTTTTACGTAAGCCTTTCGGGGTTGGTCGGAGATGCCGCCTTCTGTGCTTCATAGCACACTCTACATAAATCCTGGTACCAATGCTTCAATCACGGTTAAAGTACACACAGATTTATACATCGAAATACATCGAGGACGAAATCTTTGGTCTTCTATTGGCCAGCCAATGAGAACTTCCTTTGCGACTCCTTTGCTGCATGCCCTTGCTTGGGGCAAGCAACCTTCTCTCGCCGACTCTCTCATCGTCTAATTAAACCCCAAAATCCATACAGAGGGTGGTTGGTTGCTTGTTGGTTGTGACAACAACATCAGGACGATTAATTAGTGACTATTTTTGGTACCCGGCAAAGCCCTGTCCCGTGCCTGTTATTGGCTACGGCCCAGTTCCAGCACCCATCTTGGGGATGTGATGGGATGTACGTGACGCAAGTACATACTTATGTACATATGTATGTACGTATACGTATGTAGGAATGTTCATATTAAATTGTGCATTTTCGGCAAAATGTCCACAGTGACAAAAAACATTAAGAGTGCCGATATTATTTTCTAAATTTGTATAGGTAAGTTAACTAATTTGCCCATTCGACATTGTCGTGAATGAAGGGTTTTATTGGCATTAGGTACCGCTATATTCCCCAAATATTCCTCAAAGTCTCTCAAAAATATTGAAAGGTGTCTGAATAGAATCCCAAAAAATTGTCCTTATCTTTGCTAAGGGTATATAGTATTTATTTTTACTGCTGTTACGGATATACTCACGTGTTACATAAACATAGGCAATCTTTTTACATTTAACTTGGAACTGGGAAAATTACCTCTGAATATTTAAGCTACATATTGAACATATGTATGTACATATGTATATATTGGCTTATACATCGTTATCTGCAAAACCGTACCTTCGATGATTGTAATATGGTTGGTGAATATAGCGGTACCCTCGTTCAAATAAAATAAATAAATAAAAATAAAATAAACAAATAAAAATAAAATAAATAAATAAAATAAAAATTCAATTCAAATGAAACCCTTCAAAATTTGTCATACGAATGAAATGTAACGTCCAGAATAGAAATGACCAAATGCACATACATACATATACATGTATACATACATACATATGTACATAGGTATTTATTTACTGTA